AACGGGGGCTCCCCGCTTGGTCTCCTTGCACCGGCGCCGTTCCGCCCCTGACCTGATCTGGCCATTTCCCCTGAGCGTGCTGAACATGTTGCACAGACCGCGGACGGTCATTCCTTCCTGCAGCATCAGCTGCTTGAGGTACCCGTCCGTGTCGCTCGGCTTCTTGCCCGCGAAGATGTTGCGCTCGCCGAAGAAGTTCTCCGCGAGCTGCATGTCGACCCAGGTGTTCTCGACCAGGTTCTCCTTGACCAGAGCGTTGTAAAGGTGGACGGCGTACTGGATGGAGCGGCTGCGGTTGAAGGCTTTGAAACCCACGTCGTGCATTTTGGAGCGGAAGCTGAATATGGCGATCCCGCAAAGGACCGGCGACAGCTTCAAGATTCGATGTTTGGTCGGGGGGGAAGTTCCATGAACGCGGTTCGACGGACGGCTGGGGTTTCTGTGCTTGAGAGTAGGGTCAGCTTGGAAGTACTTGATATCGCTCTGGAAACTGCGGAGGCAACCGCAATCCTTCTTTTCGTCGAGATCAGCATCGTCGGTTTGGTAGTGCTTGTCGATGAGGCCGTCCATGAAGTTGAGCTCCTTTGTGAGCCGGGCCAAAGGCTTGGACACGCGCGGCCCGAGGGTGTGGTGGATGTCGAGAATGATCTGGGCCGCAAAGGCAAGATAAAATGGTGACTGGTGCTTTTCTCGTAGTTCACGAATGCCACGGACTGACTCGTCTTCGATGGGATATCGGTCGGAGTTGTACAGAAGATCCATGAGGTCACCATAGAAATCGGCGAAGATGATGTTGTCCTCTTGAATTTTGTATGGCGTCGACCGCAGCATGTCGGTAACCTGAATATGAACTTCGCTCCAAGGACTGCCACCTGGGGTTTGCGAACAGCATCTGCACATTTCCCTTCTTTTGATGGCGTTTATCGCTAGCAGCATTGTTTCGTCGACGTCTTTGTAGAAATCATCTAGCATTTCACGAGTGAAAGTGCGCAATCCATGGATGAAATGACCCCGTTCTTTGATCAGGTCCAGTGCGTATCGCGCCCCAAAATCGTAGGCTCCGCCATGATCCTTCAGTAGAGGGAGAACCTGGTCGATAAGATACCGGGCCAAGTCGATGCCGGTATTGGATACGACACCAGCGGCGGAAACATCCACGGTCCCGTGTGAGGAGGCGAGCCAAACGAGCTTCACCTCCCGCCTAATTTTGTTCAAATCGGCCAGCAGCATCGCATATGCAGCCCTAGCGTCCTCGAAAGTAGTTTGCGGCTCAGCCTCAAATACGGTACCATCATCTGCGTGGACCTTCGGTGGCAGCTCAGAGTCACTGGCGTCGAGAAAGTCTTGCGAGGGCTCCTCTACGGTGAGGAGATTGAAGGAATTTTGGATTGATTCGTCGAGCGGTCGCTTCTGAGAATCAGCAGTAGAACGACACTGATTTAAGATGCTGAGGACTTTCTTGAGGATGTCAACAAAGTGGGAATGTGTCTTGTCTGATTCGAGGCTTGGATCGGCACCGTGGTCGCTTAGGCGGGAGCTAAATTGAGATCGCACTCGGATGACTCTTGTTGCAATGTTTATGACGGACTCGGGCACTTCGATTCTCGGTTCCTTTGCAGAGGCGATGTACTCAGCTAGCGGGATGAAGCTTTTGATTGGGATAATGTGCTTCTTGATCTCAGTTGGATCTAGCCGGGCCAGCTTCCTGGCCTTTCCTTTGAGCCGCCCTGGGGGCTTCGTTGGCACATCATCAGAAGAGCCAAGGAGATGGGGCGGGCAGCATGCCAATTTCGCCGTCAAGGCAAGCCAGCCAGCCAAGGCATCTGTGTCGGCATTGTAGCGTCGGTATACGCTGACCAGTGCATCAGGAAGCATCGTGACATCGGCTGACGGGAGGCTGACGGTGGAAGAGCAGAGGTGCGAAGAACGATGATGTGTGTTGGGGAGAGAAAACTGCAGCCTGAGGATGAACGCGGAGAAGAATCTTTTGGGGGCGCGACGCGTTTCTGCTGGGCGGCGAGTTTGTCACCGCTTTCTCACATGCCGTGGCAGTAACTTCTGGGCGCTGGCAAACATCTGCCAACAGCCGTCACCGCCAAGCAAACCCGCAAGCACCTTCAAAAACACAAGACAGGTAGAGAAGAGAAGGGAGTACTGGGAACAAAGACGGCCGGTCAAGCACCACCGCCCGGCAATGTGATACCGAGGGTCGGGAGCAATCTGCCACCCACAAACACAAGACAATCACCATCCACGTCATCCCGACAATGGTATCTTTTACGGAAGGACTGGCAAGAGTTGTCGCACATGGAGAAAAGCTTTCTGCTGTTGGGTTTACCACTAGTCGCATCAGTGTTTTCAACTCAGATTCACTCCAATGTTTGCAGGAAATGTCACATCCCGGATGCATCAAAAACTCCTCATTCTAGTCTACCTAGTTTTCATACGTCTTATCATGAACGTATCACTGACTCGGTCAAGGGATTTGGGCGCCGAGACCCCTGAGATCTTCAGGGGATAGAAATGATCCAAATATCGACAATGGTTTCCTTATCATTTTCAGGCACTCAAAGGCAACTCGGCCATTGCACATTCCACTCTTAAGATGACCTCGAAAGGAATACTCTGAGGCATTATACTAGTTGACATCTTTTGATTTGTCTGATGTGAATCTTTGTTTGGGATACAATAGCAACTGCTAATCGGAAGCCTCATGATGCATGATACCGGCAACAACCGTCCATTCCTAGCCATAAACCATATGATGCTCACTGAACAAGTTCACTGCTTCACATTGATTTAGCACTCTCTACCATTTGGAGAGTATAAAAATTTAATATATGGCATTCAGATGAAGAATTGACTTGCCATGGGACATTCGAACCTGTTACGAGTCCGTCCATCCCTCTACCCCGGTCCTTGATCATCAACGCTAACCATGTCTCGGGTTCTGAGGCCTGCACTAACCACAAGACGGGAATGTGGGTAGTTGATTGGCTCGATGTTCAACATGATCCACATGCTGTCCAGGTGTACAATAAAGAGTTGAAAGATGATGGCATTGAAATGTCGGGAACAAGTGGTCTATTGGCTTGAACAAATTCGGAATCCTTGCGGTATTTTCGATACAGGTATTGGAAAATGAGTATAAAAGGAGGTCGTCGTTCCCTAAGAACACAAGAAAACTCCCTCCTACCATCATCAAGACAATTCTTGTTCTATATCTTCGAAGCTTTATTCCGACACAACTCTATAACGCAACCCGCTGGAAAAATTCTTTCTAAATCTTCAACATGACATCCTCTTTCTCTCTCCCTGCAACTCTCAATCCTCCTCTGACCGGTCGCGACGCCGTGGCGGACACTATGTACCGTTGCGCCGTGGCCTGGGACACGAATGACCAAGCTCTCTTTGATTCAACTTTTATGCCCGAGGGTGTCTTTCTGGTCAACGACCGTGCCATGACCGGCCTGTCCGAGATCCACAGTACTGGGCTTGCTCTCATCTTTACCATCGACACGACGCATTTCGTTACTAATCTGCGCGTTACCATGAAAATGGGAGCCGGTGAGACCGCAGGAGCAGCTGGCGAGGAGAAGGAGGCTAGCCTGACTGCTACCGTTTTCGTCCAACATTTTGCCGGTGGTAAGGGTATGGAAGCGGACCAGCCCAGCCTGATGTCTGGAAGTCTGTACCGCGGGGAGCTAGTTGAGGATATTGATGGATTGTGGAAGTTCAAGCGTTTGGCAATAAAGGCTACCTGGGTTGAAGGCGATTGGGGTGTTGTCGGAGGTAAATTCAGTGAAGTCAAGGAGTGATATATACACAATCATGACTTCGACCAAGTATTTCAGGTTGGTCTAATACGAATGTGTTTCCTTCGATACGAATATCTATTTTACTTCAATACGAATATCACCAGCACGGACTATAAAGGCAGTTTGGTGTCTCATGCAACTCTCGTAAACCTGAGCAAAAAAAGAAAGAAAAACTTAAAATGGATGTATGAAGGATGCAATTATGTGCCAGAGTGTGTATCATGTCCATGGCCGATTTGACGGGTAACGAGAAAGGATGAATCATGATGAGAGGCGCATAACAGTAACCTATCTCCAATCGATGCCAACACGAAACGTTGCATATAATGAGATTTCCATAATCCAAAATAGACCTTCGGCAACTAGGTGAGGTGTAGTGATCGGCGTTAGACAGATAGAGTATAAGCCTCAGTGTTCACAACACGAAGTCTTCGTTGGCCAATCAATCCTACTTACCGGCCGAGGTACAATAAGAAATTAGCGCGCGGCTGACCAGGGCTATTCCCTTGCGTCGCTCGTCTGTGGATTTCCCTGGTCTGTTCTCGAAAGATTACCTAACCGAAGGAGTTCTGGCTTGCTCACTTGACCGATTCAAGTTTGCGTGCCCGAGGAAATACCAAAAGGGGAAGTGCCCGATGTCTCAGCAGTAGACAGGGAAGTTGATTGGAGTAAGAGATCTGTAATACTGTGTACTTAATACTGTGCTGATGTACATCTCTTACAAACCCATGCTGTAGAAGCATGAAACGCTAGTAAGATACAACGCACAGTGCACCGGGTTATGGAATGTTGAGATAAGCACCGCCGCTTGTCAGCCCAGCTGTCAGAATGACGAATCGACACTATCTAACCCCCGATAGAGAGGCCGACAAGGCTTGGTAATTTCGTCTAACGGCCAATAGGGGGAAATCTACCACTCGCTGACGGCAAAGGTTGGTTACATCGAGGCTCACTGCCGCCACAAATGAGATCTTCGGTTCATGAGCTTATTCCTTCCCTGGTCTTCGAGGTCGGCGATAGTTCCCTCCCTCAAATAAGGGGCACCGAGGGTAAGGGTCAGCCATTTTTCTATATAACGGTCGCATCAACTTCCCATTCCTGGTCTGGTACAGACAGTTGAATTAGCAAGAAGGCAGCTGATTTCCATCGTTTAGCACCAGTCCATTCCGCTCAGATATCACCATGAACCGCAGAACGCTCCTCGACATCGCGATTGCCGCACTCGTGTTTACATGCATAGCATTCCTAGCTAGTCTTGGCTTGACTATCTTTGGATTCGTTAAACTCCACCGTCGTGGGTCAAACGGGCCTTCAAGCCTCTCATGGGTCAAAGCTTCCTTGACCCTGACCACAACGTAAGTCCTCCGCCTGACACTACCGGAAGTATGGGTCACTAAAATAGATGTGCCGTGTAGGTGGCTGGCCCTAGAGGTCATGGCCCAGACTGTCCCTGACACTAGTGCCTCTGCTGGTATCTACGACAAGGCCAACCCTAGCTTTCACACCAACGTAATTTGTGCTCTTTTTGGCGCGACTGCTTTTGTTGTGACCATGTTCACTGAAGTTGAGGTCGTGCGAGATTTCAAGACATCCTCGGCACAATGGGTCCCTCGCAAGTTGGCCTTCTCGATCCTCGGACTGGTTGTTTCCCTCAACTGCTTGAGAATTTTCCTCGCCGAGGCTTTGCTCTTCACGCAGATTGAAAAGCTGGGTTTAGTGTGTAATGCCATTGACGCTGCTACAATTCTGATTCTCCTGCTTTTCGGCATTACTGCTTTCGTGCTCCTTGTCAGGGCAAAAGATGCAGTCAGCTCCCGTGTAAGACTGAATACGAGCCATGCAAAGTCCCGTACTAACGCCTCATTAGATTTTCAAATACTTGGTCGCCATCTACATCATCACATTATGTCGTCTCTCGTACCAGTCTATCTACACCATCCTATACTTACTCAGCATTTATTCTCTTGATTTCGGCCCATATTGGACCATTTTCATGCAAATTCCTTCAGTCTTTATCTCGGCTTGGAGTCTGCTCGCGTGCCTTGGTCTTATTTACCACGTGGCTTCGCTCGGCTGCAAAGGTGAAGACGTTAATGATGGTCTCTCAGCAGACGGCGATAATAGTCTCAAAGATGAAGAGTTTTAGACTTGACTATTCTTCATCAATTCATATTCATAGTATACGACGAGAAAGGGCCCGCCGGTCAGGCTGCTGGTTAGAATTGGACAAAAGCGATACACAGTTTGTGGCTTTAGGTTGATGTTTGAAAGAAAAATTGCACATTTCAATTAGATCAGTTAGATAGATTTTCGCCTCAAATTTGACTTTTTTTTCCTGTTTGGTTGAATTACTCTGATTCAAAGTCCGACAAAGCGATCAAATGCTCATTCCACTACAACTCTCGCAATATCGTCAAATATAGCTTCAGCCCAGCGAAGATCAGTTGCCTCGCCGCACCATCTACGCACCGTCCCTCGAGCTATCTCTAAAGCCTCCTTCCAATCCTCCGGGAGTGATATCTTTCCACTTCTTGCGGCGGCAAGAAGGAGCAGGGCTCGAGCTATACACACTCGGGAGACATACCAAGTGCCGTGGTGTCTATGGTTGCCAAAAGTGCGGATCATTTGCTGAACGCAAAGCTCCAAGCACTTCTGTGCTAGTGGCATTACTTGGTCATAGATAGGGTCGGAAGGCGGCCTATGAATAATATAGTAGAGGAACGGCCGATGGATCCATTCGCGGAAGCTGATGGCACGCTTGGCTAGAAACTGTCCGAGCTCACTATTCTCGTGCCCTTCATGTTGGGGGTTGAGCTGAGGCGGTACATGAGAATACCTACGTATGATTAGCATTTTCTCATCTTGGCACTGTTACTTTGAGATATCGATCCTTACCAGAGATCTATTTGATCACTAAAAGTCTTACACGGCTTAATCCGACTGGAAATATTCCGGACCCAGCCCTCTTCTCCATCGTGGCCCATTACCGCCATGGCACGATTCATTATGCGACGATAAGAAATCTCTGCGAGGTAGTAGAACCAACTTTTTTCTTCCTCGGGAACAATATCTGACTCGAGTTCCTCGAGGGTTTGTCCGTGGATAGTCGGGGATCCTAACCTCGTTGGAGGAGATGGGAACATGTCTGGGTAGTCACAATTTGTAATCCCGCTCGGCGGCAATGGTATTTCGCATCTCAGCTCACTTCGGCATACTGTTAGTTAGAACCTCCATTCTATCCTCTTATCAAATTCCAAGACTTACTACTCGGTCTTTACACAAGACCAATATAGTCTTTGCTCTAACCGACGAGCTTCTTGTGAGACCGGATCCGGTGACCTCCTTCGGTTGCGTGCCCAGAGTAGGTTACGCAAATCAACACAGGCCCTATTAAAATAGAACCAAGCTTGGAGGGGAGACAAGGTATACATTTCGTACACTCCACACAGGAATAGGCACTGGATGTAGAGCAGGCACGGCTTCTGTATGCCCAACCGCTTCTTTGCAGCCAGATAATACATCGCTGCCGTGTCTGGATCCACAGCTGCAGATATCGAAGACCGCACCGATTCGGGTGTGTTGCCGAAAGTAATATCTGACTGGAAGGGTGCTGAAAGACATGCCAGCGCACACGAAATTAACTGAAATTGTTGCGTTAGAGAAAGCTCGCGCTGTGACTCCATGAGAGAGTTGGACCTACAACAAGGCATGATTGGCCATCCCACCTGGGCCCATTTTCTGCTGCAATCCGAACTTGATTCTTATAATCTGATACATCGAGGATAGGATTCTTGACGTGCACGTAGGCTAAGAATCTTTTTGATAACGATATGAAGTCATCCTCTTGGACGCCACGGCCAAGAGATCCCCGTGCCTCGACAACACGATCGTCACGGCCAGCGTCAGTATCGTCAAGGTCCAAAACGAAGGAATGAATATCCGGCACCAGACCTTCAAATACAGGCCAGCGGAGAATGCTCTCACAGTTATTGATGCTAGATGGGAAATCCGGGACATCAAATGCCAACAAGATGTCTTCGTCAGATAGATTCGAGGATGACCTTGTGGAATCAGCCGGGGTTGGGATGCTAGAGTGGTGTGGTGCGTGTGAGGATCCAGAAGCAGATGGGCCATCATTCGCAACTGGTTCTTGGCTCTGTGTTTCAAGTAGTGAAACTACATGGTTGATGCGATCCAGAATAGCTAAACTTGCCGGGTCAAACCTAACACGATGCTCACAAATTGTCAGCAAGCTATTCCAAATTGCCCTGCGGGTAGCAAGTTGGCACAAACGTCGAATAGTCACCGTTATTAGCTTCGGGATATGTGCACTGGGCGCCGTTTTTGGAGCAGAAACCACATGTAGGGCGCACGTTATCACAACGTGTTTTGCGAAGTCGACAAGGCTGGCAGGCTGTCACTGCACGTTTTCGCTGATACATTGCTGCTGTTCGCTGTCTCTTGTTGGCATGGTCGGCATCGCCCCCAGCCCGCCCCCCGGCCTTCGAGACACTGTCTCCCGGGGACTTTGAATCGGCCATCATAAGTAATACCTGGAACACTGAAGACACTCAAGGTTGCTTGCGCTCGGAACAGAATGTCGGGGGAGAACATGCGGGGAGTAGCGGAAGGGATTGTCGAGGACGTCAAAGGTAGATGCACCCCGCTTCCCCATTATACGCGCGGACCACGTGGCCGAAGCAAGGTAAAACTCAAATGAGTCTAGAAACTGATGGCTTTGCAATGGGGATGGGGTAAAATGATGGGGAATATCGCGTCGGGGAGTCTCGGCTCGGAATTGGGTTCTTACCAATCCGGAGTCTCCGGGGCTGCGCGGAACATTCCGTTCACCCTCCACAAGCTCAAAGTGAGCTGGAGACGAATAATGATCATGCGACATGGGAAAAAACAAAACCTGTGCAAGCCCCATTCTCGGATCTTTAATGAACGCCGAGGCCAAAGTAGAGTCGAGCTGAGGCAAGGTGAGTGCCACTGGAAAATCTGAAGCGAGCAGAGATCTGTCCCTTTTCGCCGACCTACCCTACAGACCAAGAATTAAAAGCTCCTTTCGTTGTTGAATTTCCTGTTGAATCCTTACCAAAGAGATATCTTGGTCTAATTAAGTACAAGTTCTATGCATGTGCCTAAATCCTTGAACCTTAGTCGCCAATCATATCCATAAGAGACAACGTCGTGAGTGCATATGCTCTTTCTAAAACAAGTTGAGGCCCGGAAACCAGTTTGATGTGATCTAACTCCTGAGAAAAATCTTAACATAAAATTGTCTGTCTGAGGATCAATCAACAAATGAACCACCTATTTATCTATTGCTGAAATGTGCGCTTATGTGTGATGATTGAATTTATCAAGTTTTCTACCATGTGGTAGTTGACTGAAATGGGTACATTCATTTTCAAAGGATTCTATTGCTTGAGTTATTATTTTCTATCTGAAGGTGAGTTGCTTCAACTTTCTTGATCCTGGGAGAATCTAGCTCCTCCCTGCGCCCTGACTTCATCGAGCATCTCCAATACCCGAACTGTCTCCGCCCACGGCATTACATCACTCTCTGTCTTTCCTGCCGCAATATCAAGAGCTACCGAATCAGCCTCCCAGTAAAAACCTCTGCCTGGACGCTCAAACTCATACTGTTTACCCTCAGGCTGCTGTTCGGTGAAAACAGTGAACGATGCAGGCACTGAAGCTACAAACCCTTGAACCACAATATGACCGGAAGTGCCCTCAATTCTACAGAATTGAGCAGGGGTCTTAACAGCCACGTTAGATGTCAAGATGCCTTGTTTTCCGCTTGGATAAGTGAGAAGAATGGATGTCCCAACATCGACTCCATCCTTCAGACTTTGTGTTGCTAATACTTTGGGTTTCTGCGCTTGGTCCCCAATTTCTGAATCGAGAGTCAATAATCCCCATGTTAAACTGTAAATGCCAATGTCCAACAGACTGCCAGCACCAAGCGCGGGATTCTTCAGCCGCGATTCAGGGCCGAGAGAGTCGAAGTTTTGGTTCATGGCGAAGTCACAAAACACACGCACAGCATCGCCGATGACTTTCTCCTTATGAACCAATTCTTTCAAAGTCTTAACAAGCGGGAAGAAGCGAGTCCACATTGCCTCCATTACAAAAACCTCCTTTTGCTTGGCTGCGTCGAAGACCTCCCTGGCATCTCTCGCGGTGAGCGTGAAGGCCTTTTCACATAGCACATGCTTGCCGTAGGAAATGGCCTCAAGACAAGCCTGTTTATGAAAAGCATGTGGGATGCCAAGGTAGATTATGTCCACCTTTGGGTCGCGGTAGACTTCTTCATAGCTGCCGTACACAGTCGGATGTTTCTTTTGGTCTGGCAGATGGCTTTCAACAAACTTGGTGCCCTTTTCAAAGGACGAAGAGCCAATTGCTTGGATGTGGTGGATTGCCTGGGCATTATCGCGCGCCAGAGAGAGGTCCCGGCTAAACCAAGAAGAAATCAAGCCCGTGCCGATGATTCCCCAGCGGAGAGTGGGTTTTTCTTGAGTCATTGTAGGAAAATGGCAAGCAGGAATAATTGATCTGTCCTCTTGTCCGACTGAGAGTGTTGTAAGAATGACAAGGAGGTATAGCGGTGATTGAATGCGAGGCAAGTCTACGCCCTTGAATACCAAGCCTGCAAGTTATGCTCCTCATAACTACGTACCTCTAGCTCGCTTTTCTCAATGAAGATGCATGGACAGCCTTGCCGAGATACCCCGAGATCTCGCCTTACCCTCCCAGCCAACTCCACCATCCCACTGCGGAGTGAACTGGACCCCTTCCTTTACTTGGCTCTCTCCTAGCCAATTGTATGTCAGAGATTTCGGAACGGGATCTGGATCAACCGACTCGGCGCCCTCGGTAGCCTTTTGATTATTATTGAATTAGTAGATCTTGACTTTGTTTCCATATATTTTCTTGCCTACGACAATCGAAGCCTAGTTCGGTTCTGGCCTATTGAGAGAATTGATTTTGGATTTTCTCTCACTAGTCCGGTGGAATTGTAGGTTTTGTTATCATTTGAGCCCCTAATGGATGCTAAATTTGAGTGATGCCCAGAGTTTGATACTCGTTGGCTATCTCATTGCGGTTTTGGGACTCTGAGCTAAACTCGCTACCCTAACCAATAACGACGACATGAAAAGGTTGGAAAGCTTCTTTGGTTTCGTTTGCCCCACGCTAATCATGTTTCTTTGTCAGAACTATGATAGAATTCATCAAAGAGAAGTGCTGTAGATAGAATATTAGCCAAAGAGTTTGCCAACTTGGTGCGCGAGTAGAGTATAGACCTTTTCATGAGAATCTGCAGACAATGAAAATCCCGCAGCAAGACCAAATATGAAATGCTCCTTGGTTTCCTCGAAAGTAGCCCACTCATCCTGCGTCTCCTGGCCGAAAGTCGCTTGGCGTCCTCGGTTCGTGCAAAACTGCCCATTCAGCCGCCGAGTTATCGAAAAAAACATGGGGTTGCGACTTACTGTGATAGCTGTAATCTTGCCATTGGTTCTTTGTGCCTTGACACCAATAATGCGTTCACCGCCTGGCCCATCGATGTCGAAATGATGGACAGGAGTGTCTTCTGACTCGACAAGCTCTTCGGAGACGTCGCCACTGTTTCTACCTAGTCCCCTTTTAGGTTCCCAGAATCTCCTGATGAACCTGCACTGCAACTGCAAGATGCCCGTATTTTCCGGGACCGTGCAGAGCCTTGCGGAGATACGTTCAAGTTTGCTGAATTGCTCGTCACCTGCGGTCCATGAAAAAGTCTCGTGTGGCGTCAATGCGTTGATGGGAGCATCTTCCAAAATGACAAGCGGTCGGAGCTTTACGTCACGACCGTGTACGACTGAAGAGGATGCTGGATGCCATAGAAGTCGTTCAGGAATCGAGAGCTTTGGAGATGTGATATCACACAAAGACTTGGGTGTGGGACACTGTAGGATTCCCAATGACCCAATTACTCCATTCTATGTACGTTAGTGATTGGAAAATAGAGGGGTAGTGAGGGCATACATGGCCAGTTTGTCCGGAAAGTCCAGCAAACGTATATCCACTAAAGCAGAGAAGTTGTCGCTTAGCGAAGTTCCGCCGTCCATCACCAAGTGTGATTTTTCTTCCGGACGTGAGAGTGACCTGAATATAGTTAGCACTATCCCTATGACGGGATAGAACAGACCTACATCTACTCTTTTCACAGCGGTGCCATGCAGAGGGTGCAAAATCTCGAGGCCGAGTGACAAGTTCTGGATCCATTCACCAGTATTGATGCGGTCCGCAGATTTCGTTATCCCATTACCCACGCCCGATCCCGAACCAGAACCTCTTCCAAGAATCCGTTTGTTTACCCCGCAGGATGTGCCAAGGCCAACTAAATTCTTATCCAAGTCCCAGTACGCCTCAAAAACTGAAGGAGTCACACGCAGCTCCTCCCATGAGTGAAGAAACAAGGTTTGAAAAGCTGTCCCGGATGCTGGTGGGTATGATACCGGGAAAAGTTCTCCTTCGATGGCTGCGTCTGTAATATCAGAGGAAATTGCATTATCCAATATCCCCATTTGAAGAGAACGGAAGTAGTGAGGCAGGAGAGAGAGACAAGCAGTCCATATTCGTCGTCGATTTGCCAAACCCATCCAATCGCTCAGGCCGTTTGTGATACCGAAAGGGAGACTGGTACGAGCATCAACAAAAAGGTAGAGTGTCTTGTAGTCAATAGGGAGCCCTGATTGCGATTCGTGCCTGGTCGTTCTTTCCCAAAGTTCCCATGCCCAGGGCAAACGAGAGCACCCAAGAGACTTCCAGAACGTAGGCTCAAGAGTAGCGCAGTGTACCACAAATGAAGCTATCAAGAAGTTGCTAAGGTCCTCCCCAGGAAGGTAATTGCAAATGAAATGAATGATTTCGTTTGGTACTGCTCCAAACGGGTCAATTGAAGAACGTGAGCGAGAATAGAGCGATTGAGAAGATGTAGATAGGGGGGGCAGCTCGATCGTCTCAACAGCGGAGTGTAAGGGATCAGTGGCGGAGTACTAAAGCAGTTAGCAGTTTGTTGACTACTCTTCATATGTAGCCTTACTTCCTCGCCGGGGTGGCATTCCCAACATTGGTCTGGGCCAGAGATATCACCATAGTCTAATTTTAGATGGACGGCGTTGTCTTCGCTAAGAACGGTGGCTGCGTCATACAGTGAGTCCATGTCGATTTTAGGAGAGTCCAGACCTTTCATTGCTGGCAAGGGCAAATTATCTTGTTAGTGTATTCCAAGCCAACCGTCAAGGAGAAAGTGGTGGATTACTCTTGTTGGAGGTGCTGTTACGGCTCCATTCGTACACCTTCTTCAACACAGCCATACAGCTAGAGTGGAAGGGGAAAACAACATCGTTTCCATTTGAAGCCACATAGCTAGAAATCGTCAGCGTCGGCGATATTATTTGTACAGAAACGAATTACCAATCATAACAATTGTTTTCTTCGACAGGGGGCTGGTTTGGATCTATATTGATGTGAGTCTCCTTGGCAGCGATATTTTCGCCGTAAAAAAAAGACAAACCGGATCCATTAAATACTTCAATCACCCCCTGTTTAGTTATTAGAATCTAGTGAGGCACGGGGATTGTTTAGACGGCATACCGCATCATCGTACCTCGCGCTTCCAGAGATCCAAGCCCTGATTTATGTTAGTTTTCAAGATTTTACATTAGCATCGTCTGTGTCCGTACTTGGAACCACCCACTGCTTTTGGATTAAATCCAAGAACCTGCAGATACTGGATCCAATCGGTCCGTTCCTCGGTGGCTAGTTCGGGGTCATATGATGCCCGCTCCTCAAACTCGTCATCCTCGTCCTCCTCTTCACTCTCCTCTTCGGATTCACTTGAATCCGAGTTGTACCAAATCTTTGACTTCAATGCCAATCTCTTCTTCTCAACTCTTTGGCGACGCTTCGTCAGAGCTCGTGGGGAGGCAGAGCCGAGCTGCGGCTCGAAAAGCGGTCCACTGCACAGGAAACAGTAGCAATCAAAGTTGCCCATGATGCCTGCCAAAATCAAAAACAGAAATGAGATGAGGGGTTTATAGATCCGGTGGGTTTAGGACGCGCTCAATATCTGGCTTTAGCATGGAGGTTTGATGTGTAATTTCGTGTTTTATGTGTGATTTCGTGAAGCGATTAATAACGCGGTCACGTGGAGGATATTGTTGAGCTGAAGTTCGCGTATTTCTCGCTTTCAGCGCCTCTAACCAAACACGGCCAAATCATACTGCTAGAAGACAAGAGCTTTCTGGATAAGCCAGTGGTGCCCTTCTGCCTAAAGTTGGCCTGTAATCGAGAAACGGCCGCGTTATCATTCGCCCCTTTGGAAATTAGACAGAATGCTACTGTACGTCTTGTCTGTCACGGGGAGCAACACTGGCCCACCCAAGAGGGAAGCTTTAGGAAGTGAAGTGGTGGTTCACGGAGACGTAATTTGCAAAACAATTTGCCTTGTATTAGAACTGAATGTTTGGTGTTGTTATGCTTGGTTCCCATTTGAGCTCCACGATTAATTCCCCTTTGATACATTGCGACGTTGGTTATCCTGATCTTGTCGTGAAATTAGAGATATTCACACCAATCACGTCCTTCATTCTTCTCCTCAATCCTTTGGTGTCTGCTGCCTCATGGCGCGATCTCAACCTGCTTGACGATCCCCTTCTTTTGTCCAGGCTTGTCCTCATCAACTGCGGACTCAACCCTGCCCAGCTTGTCATCATTCTCGGACTTGCCCTCAAAGATTTCTCTGATTTCCTCAAGAGTGTGCCCCTTTGTCTCCGGGAACAGGAAATAGATGACCACAATCAAAACCGCAAGGATGCAGCAGAAAACAATGTAGTACTTCCACGCGATTGCCTTCATCGCGATGGGGTTAACCTGATTGCCCAAAATTAGGCCGACGAAAGAAGCAACATATGTTGCGGACAGTCCACGTGCTCGCAACGTGTAGGGAAAGATTTCAACCGAGTAAGCTTGGAGCAGCGGAGTCCAGGCAATGTCGTAAAAGAGGTAATAGATGAAGATGAATGCAACGACCGCCCGCCCTGTAGCCTCGTTGTGAGACTGGACAAAGTGCGCCGTAAGACCAGTCCAGACGACATAGGCCACCAACATGCCGGCGGTAGAAAGAAGGAACAGGAAACGGCGACCAAGACGGTCCACCATAAATGCTCCAAGGAACGTGGCCGCGAGCCAGTTGAAGATCTGTAACAGGCCGTTGATGAGAGTCTGGTCCTTGACGCTTGTAATGCCAATCGTGTTGAGCACAAGGGTCAAGTAATAGGACACGACTCCGACTCCATTCCACTGGGCCATCCATCCAACGATAACAGCAATGAGTGTTCGTTTCCTGTTGGCAGGTGTCCGCACGAGCTCGATCCACGAAACCCCGGACAGAGTTTCAGCCTCTTGTTCAATAACCTTTTCAATTTCGCGCATTTCGAAGTCGACCAATGAGGAGTTGACATCGCCGCCGCCGTGGTATTCTGTGAGAATCTTTCGAGCTTCTTCTTTGCGACCGCGTGAAACAAGCCATCTAGTGATTGTCAGGGCCTGAAATAACAACTTATGCTGTGTAAACGAACCTTGGAGACTCCGGGAGGAAATAAACTCCTAGAAGTTGGCAGAATGGGATAGCTCCCTGCAAAAGCGAGGGGATTCTCCAACTCCAAGTTGATTCAATTTTGAATGTTCCAAACGTACACCATGCAGCAAAGATGGCACCAAAGTACTGTGGGCGGGTGAACCGTTAGCATGTCTGTCTAATTAGTAGGAGCCCACGGGCCTGGGGTACTTACGAAGAAGGTATTATAAAGTGCGGTGATCTTTCCTCGCTGTGTCGGGTATGCAAGCTCGGCCACGATGATGGGGCTCGGCTGGGAAAGAAAACTTGTAAAGAAGCCTAGCAGAGCGCGCGCAACGATGAAACTGTGAAGGTTGTTTGAGAGGCCCTGTAGAATCGCGAAGGCAATGCAAGTGACGAGTCCAATGATGATTGGGAGCTTTCGCCCCCATCGATCGCACACATACGAGACCACAAACATGGAAACCACCTTTCCTAAAGGATATACGGAGTTCATCAAGCCAAGCAATGCTCCCTCTGGATTATCGAAGAATTGTCGCCATTGGGGCAGAGTTTGCAGCCCGTTCATCATAGATCCTAGCATTGGCAGATGTCAACATCGGGGATTCATTATCGGCTTTTATCGTTCGTGGGAAGCCTACCATCGTATCCGACCGACGCTGAAGATACTAAGGGAATCAGGAGGCATAGGTTGAGTTTGACGATATGCCATGTTAAGTACCATGGCTTGGGATTCTCGGGCAGGACCTATATTAAACAGATTGTCAGTAAACGATCACTCCAAGTAGGAACGATAAGTCGAAAGAAAGATCTACACACCTGGGCAAGGTCTTTGCCGACGGCCAGCTCGGCCTCCTTTTTCCCAGAAAAGATACCCATTTTCTGCCGGGTTAAAGACAAAATGAAAATGTCCAGAGCTTATATTTGCTGTCCAGTTTATTCCTTCTGGCTGTTCAATCTCTGTGTGATCAGTATTGGGATAGAGCCATGGCTGACGGGATGTTGTAGGCTATATACACTCTCGATGAAGGTATGCCTCACCCACCCATCATTCACGCTTATGCAAGAAAAGCAAACTTTGAACCCCGTGGGGAGCTGTGGAGAGACTCGGGATACGACTCGCGGAAGCAACATTCCATCGATCACGTGGCGGAGAGGAGCCCGGGGAGTGTCGGTTCGAAATTGCCATCGGGGTCTGTCGGTATGTGGAGACGACGACGAGCTAGTCAAGGTTCCAGGTGGGAATATCTACGACGGGGAGTCGCGGATCCTGGATCTTTCATTCCAGCTGACACTAGTCAGTTAATAGTTCCAAGCTCCCCATCAATGTAGAGAGATCATTGGGTTTTATCCGTCCCTTCATCCATGACAAGGTTTCTTTAAACTCTGAGCCTCAAACGCGGTTTGACAAGCGGAAGAAAGCAGATTCACGTTTCCGAGAAATCCAAAGGTCAAATCACATCATGACCACCAGCACTCAAACGACATTGCCCAGTGACGGGAGCCGCATCTTGCGTATTGGTATCATCGGCTGCGGTGAAATTTCCCAAGTTGCACATATCCCGAATGTCAATGCCCTGGCTCACCGCTTCCGCACAACATATCTTTGCGATATCTCAAAGCAATCTCTCGCTTACTGTGCTGGAAAAGTCCTGGGCGGTGCTCCTTATACAACCACTGACCCAGTGGAGCTATGCTCTTCTCCTGAGGTGGACATCGTCCTCATCGCCAATGCCGATGCATACCATGTCGAGCATGGCGTTATTGCCCTGCAAAATGACAAGTACTGTCTGATTGAGAAACCTGCTGCTCTCTGCTTCCGTGACTTGGATAGGCTCATTGAGGTCGAGAAGAGCTCCAAGGGCAAGGTTTTCGTGGGAACAATGCGTCGATACGCCACCGCGTTCCTCGAAGCCGTGAAGGAGGTGGGAGGCATGGATCAGATCAAATTCGCCCGGGTCAGGGACATCATTGGTCCCAACTCAGTCTTTGTTGAACAGTCCGGCATGTTCCCGCAGAGGTTCACCGATTTCTCTGAAGCTGATGGTCAGGATCGTGTCCGCCGCGAGAATGACATCTACGAGCAGGCCCTGAAGCATGAATTTGATGTTCCTGTCACTCCAAAATCTATGAGAATGTTGCGTATACTCGGAGCGTAAGTTATCAAATCCTGCGAAAGAGCTGTGACCAGAATCAAATAAGCTGACGTCTTCCCTCTTCTTCTAGACTGGGCACCCACGATCTTTCCGCCATGCGCGAGATTCTCGGGATGCCTCTTGGTGTAGCTGGCGCTTGCTTGACCATGCCGGGGATTTTCAGTGTCCTTTTCCAGTACAATGATTTCCCAGTGTCATATGAATCAGGACTCATCAATGTTCCTCAATTCGATGCCCACATTGAAGTATATTCCACGGACAAAATTGTTCGTATCAATTACGACTCTCCGTACGTCAAGGGCCTGCCTGTAACCATGACCATCCGGGAAAAGGATGGAGAGGCAGGCTTCCAGGAGCGCACTATTCGGAGGACGTACGAAGATCCTTATACGTTAGAGATGCTGGAACTCTACGACTGTGTTATTAACAGCAAAACACCAAAGACCAGTGCACAAGACGCTCGTCAGGATATAGAACTATTCCGCATGATATTGAAGGCTGGAGAAGATAGGTACAAGGCTGAGCTAAACTCTGGAAATTAGAATAGACCAACTTAGAGTAAATAACCACTGATAGAATATGCCATTGGCCAGACTAGTCAAAAGACATCCCAAAAATGAATTTCATCAAATCTAACTGAATTCTAACTCTAGTGATTGTATTGCAATATTTGAATATTTTCTAGTCTTCAAGGGGCAAATGTCTTCCCTTTTACAGCCACGGATACAGTTTGCAGAATATCCGCAGCAGATGAGCACAAGAAGAACGAATACTCTCCCGCATCCACAACCCAATTGCTACTCTCCTCGTCGAAGTATGCAAAGTCTTTGGCGTGGACTGAGAGACCAACACTTCTCTCTTCTCCGGGGCCCAGTCGTACTTTTTGAAATGCGACCAGGGACTTGATTGGGTGATCTGAGGATTGAGATGCTCGTCCAACGTACACTTGTACAAGACTTCCCCCAGCCACCTCTCCAGTATTTTTCACACTCAAGTTGATGGAAAAGCTATCACCCCCTTCCTCAACTGCCTCAACTCGCATCTTTCCATGGCTGAATGATGTGTAAGACAGGCCGTAACCGAATGCAAAGTTTAATTTGCTTGATTCCACGCGGTCGTAATGTCGATATCCAACGAAGACTCCTTCTGCATACGTAACCTCCAATCTACCATCAACTGTGGTACCTGGGAAGTTTCCGTATGCGGGAGCATCCTCGATATTCCTTGGAAAGCTTACAGGCAGCCGACCTTCAGGGTTGGCAGCGCCAGTCAAGACGTCTGCAATGGCGTTGCCGCACTCTTGACCACCAAACCAGGCCTGTATCAGTCCCTGGACACTATCAAGCCACGGCATGGAGATTGCAACACCTGTCGAGTTCACCACAATCGTGTTGCTGTTCGCAGCTGCCACTGCGGACACGAGAGAGTTCTGCTGTCGGGGGAGATTGAAGGAATCCTGGTCCCGGCCCTCTGTTTCCCACTGCGGATCATGGCCCGTGAAAACGATCGCATAGTCGGCATCCTTGGCTACCTGCACCGCATCGCCTTCCAGGTCTGCGTCATGATCTGACTCCAGCGAGAACCCAAGACGTACGCCGCTACGCCCTTCAAGAATCTCGAGTCCGATATTTGCAGGCGGGTCGCTTTGGATGCGCAGACGGTATTTACGACCCTTCTCGAAGGAATGTTTGATCTCGGGCTCAGGCGCTGCCAAAAACAGCGAACCCATTGGATCAGAACAGTTGCCACTCTGCTCAAAGATGACTTCCCCGTCAATGCTAACCTTGGTTGGTCCAAGTCCAGAGCAGGCGATGTAGTGCACACCCGTCTCGGAAGGAACAAAATCACCGACAATTTCCAGTGCTCTGTTAAGAGATTCCTGGGATCCAAGGGGAGAATAAGCTGACCTGGGGTACCCGTGATCGGTGGACACGGGCTCAGCTTTGCCGCTCTCAAAGAGCAGTCGAGAGAATCCAGGGCTTCCGTCAAGACCAACAACAGTTCCGCAGCTTTGATCGTCTTTGGTGATTGGTGGTAAAAGACGCTCCTTATGAGCACCCTTGGAGAAGGTGAACTCTACCGAGTCTCCGAGAGCAGTATGCAGAGCCTCCCACGGTGTCACTTTGTAGTACGAATTCACACTTGCGCTGCCGCCTCCGTGTGCCATGGCGTCTTTGGCAAAACCGATCAGGGCAATCTTCTTACCTCGCACCTTATCCTTAGTGAGAGGGAGAATATCGTTGTTCTTCAAGAGAACCATGCCTTTCGCAGCAGCATCCCGAATAAACGCTCTATGTTCAGGCTTATTGGCCACGGCATCCTTGGAGCCGCGTTTCTCGAGAGATTTCAGTTTGTACACCCATTTCAGGACGGATTTGGCTCGCGAGTTGATGGTGTCTTCGGAAATTTCTCCATTTTCAATGGCTTTAAGCACGGCCGGTATCTTCCGAATCCGAGGGGGGCCGGGCATCTCAAGGTCGAGACCTGCAATCAAAGCATTGGAAACCGAGTTGGTACCACCCCAGTCGCTCATGACTAGACCGTCCCAGCCCCAATCCCCCCTCAGAACATTTTGGAGAAGTCGTTGATGTGAGTCGCAGTGCTCGCCATTGACCAGATTGTAAGCGGTCATTATAGCCCATGGATTAGCCTCTCTTACAGCAATCTCAAATGGTTTGAGATAGATCTCTCTCAACGCCCGCTCGCTAATTGTTTCATTTACTGTCGTTCTGGCCGTCTCTTGCTCGTTCGCCACGAAGTGCTTGATCGTAGCCGAGATGCCTTGACTTTGAAGCCCAGAAATGACCTGAGAGGACAGCTTGCCGGCAAGGAAGGGATCCTCGCTAAAACTCTCAAAATTGCGCCCGCCCAGTGGATGACGATGGATGCAGACAGTCGGTCCGAGAACGCAGTGTGCTCCCTTGAGGATTGCCTCCTCGGCAAGCGCCTCGCCCATGTGCCGTGCAATGTCAGCATCGAAGGTTGATGCAATGCAGCAAGCAGCCGGGAAGCACGCTGAATGGACGTTGGCATCAATGGCTGCCGAGCGTACGCCATTGGGACCATCTACGGCCTAAGACCCCTCAGTCAGCGAGTCAATAGAAGAGGATGTATTGTGTAGGCTTGATAACACACCTTGACAAAGGGGACGCCCTTGGGTAATACATCTGCGGTGCTGGAGAAGTTTGCCCCGGCTAAAAGAGATATCTATGTATGAGATTCTGTTAGACGCGGTATTAAAGCCATTTGCCCATCAGAAAGTTTGCACAATACCTTTTCTTCGATGGTCAGGGTCCGAAGGACGGCATCTACGTCCACAGTAGAAACCATTTTGATCAACATATGAAGCTACAGCACTCAATATCAACGTAAGTAATAGTTTGTGCTATGCTGGAAGCTTTTGACATGTGTCTCATCCAGTCTGATTCCCTAACACTTGGGGTGCAAGGATTAATGGGGAAATGTGCCTCAGCCCGAAGGCGGATCTTGGCCATCGGGGAACGCTCCGCGAAAGGAGACGATGTTTCCGAGCTGAGATCCACCAGTACCCACTGCGGTTGCGCTATCATTTCCATACCGTATTCCTGTTTTAGAGAAATATGGCGGGTGCAACTAGTTGGAGCTCGATACCTTGTACAAATAGTCTGCTGTGATTCTACTCTACATGGGCCGCTGGGGAGGTTTGACGCAACACTAAACACACATCTGACTGTCCCCGATTCGCTTACACCCCCTTATTTCATAACTCAGAATGCCGGCCCCTTATTCTGGACGCTGCCTTTGTGGCGGTGTTAGCTTGAACATTACTGCTGAGCCAGCCGTTGTGCTTTCCTGCTTCTGTACCCATTGCAGCAAGGGGGCAGGCGGTGCCAACCAAGTCGTAAGTTGAGAGGAGCACCGACCTGTACCTTGATGCCACAGAGTCGACGCTAAATAACATCATGACAATGGCCCCAGATCGCTAAATTCCCTGCAAATGAGGTCCAAGTCACTAGGCAGGAAAACCTCTCCTTCTATACTCTGGATGACACTTCTAGCGGCTCTCCCAAGGAGAAGGCCTTCTGTAAGACATGTGGTTCACCTGTTTGGACAGTCCCTGGTCAGGCCAAGGGCAAGTTTGTCATCATCAGGACTGCAATGCTCGATTCTGGGTATGATTTTTACGCTGTTCTTATCCCACCCGATTGATATGCGGTAGCTAACTTCTACTCAACAGCCTGGAACTCAAGCCAAACAGCGATCTGTTCGTCAAAAACAGGCCAACATGGATGAGCCCTTCGGAAGGCGCATCACAATGGGAGGAAATGCGGAAGTAGATAGTCTCTGAATGGTAGATTGTACTTTTTCCCAAAATTGTTTGGTTCAGTTTCTTCGGATGACATGGAAGTGAAGACACAACTTGGACTATGGGGAGGCCTTCGGGGAGAGATCCGAGGTGTGGATGGAATGTGGAGTTTTGATAATCACCAATCGGATTGTATTATTTTCGGAACGACCATGTCTAGCTCTTGATCCCGACCGAGGTCCGACTGGATTCTTTGATTGCTAATCAACGACGGACACTGGTGTAAATGTCTCTTACTTCCGTGGATTTTGCCATTCCCCATTCCGGCTGGTGGGCTTCCCCAGAGATCTCTTCCGAGCAGCCATGTCGGACCTGGGGCACGATCCAGTCCGTGAGCCACGGCCCAAGCGAATCAAGATCGACGTGGCATGCGATACATGCCGTACCAGAAAAGTGAAGTGCGATGGCGTACGTCCCTGTGAGTTCTCTTGTCGCCAGGTCATGTGTAGTCTGTTCTGTAAACGGAGATTAACGTAATTTGGTTTGCAGCTTGTGGGAACTGTGCGAGAAAGCTGGCCTTGCAAGGGACATGTAAATACAGCCAATCTACAACCTCATCCGGCCCTAAGCCAACCGCAGATTCCGGACAAGGTGAACCAGGAACCGAATCTCAAGAGTCTTTTATTACACCCAACAGACCTAGCTCCAACGTGTTTCCAAATTCAAATCGAAGCGGACGTGCTGGGCCAGCCCAGCCCATTGTAGTCGAAACCCCGAGGAGAACTTCTCTAGCTCGCCAGGCTCGAGCCTCTGATCCAGAGGATAGCAGTTCTCCTCGAGCGCTCTCGACAGGTAGCCGAGCACCAGCTTCGGCGCATACCCACAGTCCTTCTGTTATTGACTCCATGACTGCCGTTGTGGACGAGGGGACTACCACTCGGGAGTATTTTGGTAGCAGCAGCGCTGGCTCTTTCACGACTCAGATTAAAAAGGCTATTGATGCCCGCTTGGGCCACAGAGTCTCTATCCCTCCCCCTTTACCACCCTACAAAGGAACAACACCCACTCCTCAAAACACAATAAACGATGCCTACAAGGTATTGCCAACACGAAGGCAGGCAGACCACTTACTGGGGGTGTACTGGCTATATGTTGATCCACTCTATCCTTTCTTGGACAAAGCCAGATGGGAGAAGTCGTACCGTGCCATCTTCGAGGGTGCAGCCACCACGATTGATGAACACTTATTTCTCGCGTCCTTAAACGTGATATTTGCTCTCTCATCTCAGCTCATTGAGTCTCAGGACCCAGATCAGAGAGAGGAATCCAGCAGGGTATACTTTGACAGGGCACAAGGGCTCCTACCACTAAATACTTGGGAACCGGCATCCATCGAGCTTCTGCAATATCTGCTTCTGACCAGCCAGTATCTGCAGAGCACTGAACGTCCACATCAAACATGGATGGTTGTGGGCTCAGCTGTCCGTATTGCACAGGGAATTGGCTTGCATCTGAGTGAGACTTCCGCAGAACATTCCGATCCGAAGGAGCGTGAATTACTCCGGAGGATATGGTATGGCTGTATATTGATGGATCGGTAAGCTTCAGCCCCTTGAAAAATAAAAGACACGCACCCACTGAATATTTCCTCTCTACAGAATGGTTTCAGTCACACACGGAAGGCCGGCAATGATCTCTACCTATGTTGCATCCGCTGTGCCCCTACCTGCTACGCCCATAGACCGACCAGAAATTGTCACCGGTGCTCTTGATTCATCTTCAACGGATACCACCTTCTTTGTCAAATCTGTTCAACTATACGAACTTATCCACCGCACCATCCAGTCCCTTTATTATGGAGCGCGATGTAAAAGTGTACATGCATCTAACGACGGAGGTGACTCGAGTAACGTGAATAACAGCAAGACGGACTTGGGGATAGTCATGCAGTTTGATGCCGCGCTGGATAAATGGGATCGCGGCTTGCCGGGGCAGCTGAGATGGACATACTCTCAACCCCGCGATCAAGTTACCCATCGACAGGCTGTTGTCTTGTATATCCGGTAAGTTGTGTCGTCTGAGATACCCTCCTATACTCTCTTACTAACCTCCAATCATAGATTCCTCCATGCACGCATTCTTCTCCTTCGCCCCGTTCTTGCGTCTTTCTGCTTGTCTTCCCAGGGTGGTCAGCTAGTGCAGAGCGCCGACTCTCTGGAAGTTCGGACTTTGAAGGAATGTGCAATCATGTGCGTTTCCACAGCACAGAAGATAATTTCAGTATTGCTCAAATACCAGGCGATCGATGGATCGATTGGATATCTACCGGCGTGGTGGTATCGGGTGTACTACGTTTACACGGCAGCAACTGTGCTGATTGCCGCCAAGTTACGACCCGAGGTCCTCCCCGAACCAGATTTCAACCAAACATGGGGGGAAGCCATGTCAATTCTCAGAGATCATGAAAGGTTTGGCCAATCTGCCAAAAGATGCGGAACAGCGCTTCAGTTGCTTTCTGCCAAGATCCAGCAACCCGAGGGCCCTGGACCAGGGACACAAGCGGTGGAGGCGAACACCAACCAACGGTCGTTACAGACTCTTGATCAAGTAACGGGGCCAGGTGTGGAGGAGGACTTCTCCTTCGGCAGTGGAGATGTGAATCAAATGGGTTTGCAGTATCTTGATTTTGATGTGAATAATCTGACCTGGCTGAATGATATGCAAGCGGCTTGGGAACTTCTCAATCACGAAGGCTGAATTTAAAACCTCTGTATCAAAAACGTATTCATGATTCATATGAAGGATGAGATTTTTGTCTAAAGTCTATATTTATTCTTATATCTACAACCAGGCCTGACCTATTCAAAAGCCATCTTGTTCTTTACACGCCCTAAGCTGCTGATGCTGACCTCTACAACATCGCCATCGTTTAGATACTTGGGCTCCTTCATTCCCATAGCAACTCCAGAGGGGGTTCCGGTCAGAATGATGGTACCAGCTTCCAGTGTGGTTCCCTGGCTCACGAAGCTGACGATGGCTTCAACACCGAATAGAAGATCGCCGGTGCTGGTGTTTTGGCGCTCTTCACCGTTGACAAATGTTTGCAGGTGGAGGTCCGATGCGTTTCCGACAACAGCAGGAGAAACAATCATGGGGCTCAGAGGCGCGAACTTGTCGAAGCCCTTGCTGAAACACCATTGAGGGACACCTCCAGCCTTCTTGGGGTCGCGCTGCCAGGCACGAGCGGAGACATCGTTGGCGGCCAGGTAGCCAGCAACGTGGGAGAGGGCATCCTCCTTGCTGATGTTCTTGCCGGTCTTGCCAATGACAATGGCCTGAAGCACGGTGTCAGTTTTGGGGAAATTCTTAGGGAGTATGTATTGAGACAAAAACTTACTAGCTCACCCTCATAATCAACGGTCCCATCTTGGGCGACCTTGGGGATAGGGATATCCTCAACGTGGCCTGCAATACTAGTGGAGGGTTTGATGAAAACAGAAGGGTAAGGGGGAGGAGTACGACCGCCCTCCTTGACTGACAAAGCGTTAGTAAAAAGTATGGGAGATGGGGTTTCAAGGTCCCGGGAAAATGGCTTACTGTGCTTGATATAGTTGAGACCGATACATCGGATAATAGGTACATCAGAGGGCTTCAGGATGTCACGGATGGCCTTGACGTGAACCTTCTCTCCCTTGACGAGTTCTGATGTGGGGGACTGTCCCTTGAACTCGGTAGCGTAGAGAGTCTGACTGGAGAGGAGCTCCTCGAGCTCAGTCTCGGATTTTACAAGAGGCTCGCCGAAGGTCTCATTGCCATTATCGTCAATGAAGCGAATTAGACGACTCCAAGTTTGAGAAGACATTGTGGTGCTGAATTGTATTGAGTGTTGACGGCAGGGAAGACGAGTCTGGGGTAAGAAGTGGTACGATTGCCGGAAGCAGGATCTGAGAAGCGTGGAAGCCATTTAATCTAATATCCCTCGGCTACGAACACACCGGAAGATGACGTTAGACTTAGTAGTTATGAGCATCGAGTTGTTAGTGGGTACCTCGGAACGGACTGTGAGTGGCTCATGTGGCTTCCGAGATCTCGGAGCATTCCCCTGGGGAACGTTCCGTTGTTACGTCGGATGCAACACACCTGGGAGTAACCCGGTTCCAAATCAAGGGAGATGGACCGTAGGAGGCCTAGGCAAGACTTGAATGTGTTATGTCATTTTGACCGTGGGGATTTGTCTGGGGGCGGAGCTTGGGATTAATAGTTCTGCTGCCCACCTTCAACAAAACATATGATCATCGTGGAAATCGGTTCGCATTTGAAACAAACAAACAAGCAAATCAATATCTCGCCAAAGATGAGTCCATCTGCGATTGAAGTCGAATCCGGCAAAGGACCTAAAGCCATGGATACTTTCCTGCAGGCCTTGCCTTCCAAGAACCTGGAGCCCTTGTGGTCCAAGATGAACGCAATGGTTCCACCAACCCCTAACCCAACAGCCGAGCCAGCGCTATGGAAATATGAGGAGATGCTTCCTCATCTGCATTTAGCAGCTAAGCTTGTGCCGGAGGAAGATGCAGAGCGGAGAGTGCTGATGCTGGTAAACCCGAAGATGAGTATGTGAGATTCTCCGTTGATTCTAATGTCGGCGCCGTCCATTTCCCAACAGGCTAATTGTTGAATTCAGAGTCCCCGCATACCACTGATACCATCTATGGTGGTCTCCAGATTGTCAAACCAGGGGAGACTGCGCCCGCCCACCGCCATATCGCATATGCTTGCCGGTTCATCGTTGAAGGAGAGGGCTTCACTGCTGTGGAAGGCCAGAAAATGCCCCTCGTGCGGGGTGATGTTGTCGTCACACCCACGTGGCATTGGCATGATCACGGCAATGAAAGCGACGCTCCCGTAATCTGGTTGGACATGCTGAATCTACCTCTATTCACCTACTCGCCCGTTCACTATGCCGAAGGATACGCCGAGAAGCGTTACCCGAGCACGTAAGTGACCGACCCTATTCACTTGACATTAATTTTGTGACTAATTTGGAGAGATAGGCCCTCTGATCCTTGCGAGTGGCGACACCCTTGGGCACCTGTGCAAAAGACACTGGATGCAAGCACTGAACAACACGCGGTCTATCATTACAAACAGAAGAATGGGGCTCCTCTTTCTACAACCTTAGGCCTTCAAGCAGAGCGCCTAGCTCCCGGAGCGTCCTCTAAAGAAACATTGGATAGCTCTTCCTTCATTTATCATTGCGTAGAAGGCAAGGGCTATACTACGATCGACTCGCCATCTAAGGAAAAGGTGGCATTCAAGTGGATTTCAAAGGACACGTTTGCGGTACCTGCTGGATCAAAGATCCAGCATTTCAATGAATCTCAGGAAGAGGTGGCATATCTGGTTGCTGTAAACGATGGCCCCTTCTTAGACCTTCTCGGCCTCCGACATCCATGAACTTGAGTAAGCTGTGTAACCCTCGGTCAAGAACGGGATGTATCTTAGTTCTCTAGGATATGTATTTAAAATGATTCAGAGCAAACATGAGCGATGAACTCCGATCTAAAGTCTTCCCTACAATTAAGCTTAGATAGTCACTCTACCATCCCACAATTTTGAACAATACATTAGGCGTGAAAGATGACAGAAATAACATGAGTGAGGGGTGTACTCTCTGTGTCGCCTTATTCCAATAAGCTGACGTATGTCACTTCCACAAGTGAAACGATTGGAGTCTCGATGAATACAGGAAATGTGCCTAAACAAATCCGTTGGAGTAGGAGAAAACATAGTTAAGTGTTTTGTCCATCGACTGCTGTTGTTGATAACAAGGATGAATGCGATCCGATGATATATTCTTATAAAGCTCACTAGGACAAGTACCTTCTCGTTGAATTATCAGCCTTCTGAAATTACAACACTACCAAAACAAACGCAGATATATAAGCAGATTCCATTTACGTATATTTTAGTGACAACAGGGAATTTCTGAATCAAATTTAGCCACTAAACACTTTCACAAAGGGCTAAAGAAACTGGGATTGGGTAGATCAAGGAAATACCAAGTCTATCCATCCGTTGAAGAAACACATCCTTGGGTAGCACCCAGTTGCCCAATCCCACCTAACACGAGCCTATAGGATGATGAGAACTCACCAAGCTCTGCCAAGATATTGAGCAATGCCTGATGTCTGACAAGCAATGATGACGCAAAGACTTGGTCATCTGCCACATTTGATTGGACTTGCCGCAGATGGATGATGTTGCTCCCCCCTCCTGTCGCTTGGCCGGGGTGTCATGAAGCACTTAAAGAGAAAGACGCCCGCCAGTGACTCGCATGACCCCTCTCTGTAAGCAACTTTGTGAATCTCATGATATATCTCATCAAGATGGGTATTCTCTCCGTGCTCTACACACACTGGTTGATGCTCGCTGTTGTTTTGTTTGGTCTATACATCATCCAAACCTGCGCAGTATATTTTAGGCTGCGAAAGGTGAAAGGCCCATGGCTTACAGGAATATCAGGTTGGCCACACAGCCTAGCTATATTAAGTGGAAGATGCCATGAATGGTATGAAGAAGCGAATCAAAAATTTGGTAAGTGAGGGTGCCTCAAACCCTTCTTGGTTTGACGACGCTCATCAGCTGATGCGCCCTCTTCTATCCCAGGTCCAATTGTGCGAGTGGCACCCAACTTACTGGTCACTTCGTCCCCCAAAGTCTGGGCTCATGTCAATACCCATCCCGGGTATCGACGATCTCCTTGGTTCTACCAAGCTTGCAGAGCCGGGTACCGGCAGGACCATGTGTTTTCTTGCACAGACGAAGAAATTCATAGCAGAAAGAGGAAACAAATGCTAGCTGGGGTACGCTTCTTTGCCTTTTATGATAACATTATAGCATGTCCAGCTAACATCAGCTGGCCCTCAGTATTCCGGCCGAGAGAACCTGGAAATGGAGACATCAATCGACGAACTGGTCCAGGAGCTTTTGGATCTTCTTCGGTCTAAATACCTCTCCACTCAAGAGGCCATCGTGCCTGTAGACCTGGCTCAGAAGGTTCATTACTTCACCCTTGACGTCATAAGCAGTATCGGGCATGGCAACACGTTCGGACTACTTAGGACAGACTTTGACGTTGACGATTACCTCGAGTCGAGTCGTGAGGGCATGAAGATGTTCAACGCCTCTCTTGCCCTTGGCTTCAGTTGGCTTGCCCATGCACCCGTCATCGGCCCACTCATCTCCCCATCCCGGACAGACAAACGTGGTATTGGCAGAATAATGGATATGTGCTTCAGCCATGTGGATAAACGGCTAGCGGAACCCAATGATAAGAAATCCGACATGCTGGCATCTTTCATACGGCATGGCCTCAAAGGCGAGGAGCTTCGCATAGAGTCTGTTGAACAGTTCATTGCAGGCTCTGACACCACTTCAGCAGGCCTGCGCAGTGCCCTTCTTCACATCATAACAAACTCGCGAGTCTATAGAAAACTCCAAAAAGAAGCCAATGAGGCAGTGCGTGGTGGCATCGTACCCAAGGCTGGCGAGGGCATTATCACCTCCAGCCAAGCCAAACGACTTCCGTATTTACAGGCCGTTGTCCGGGAAACCTTGAGAGTCTGGCCGCCAGTCGCAGTTCTTTTCTCCCGTGATGTGCCTCGAGGAGGAGACACGGTTGAGGTCGAGAGCGGCGAGAACGTACATCTGCCTGGGGGAGTCAGCATTGGCTATTCCGCCCATGGGATGCATCGTAATGAAGAGATTTATGGCACTGATGCGAAGTCTTTTCGGCCAGAACGTTGGTTTGAAAGTGATACAGCCAAACTAACCGTCATGCTGCGCACGAATGATCTGATCTTTGGGCATGGCAGATTTCAGTGTCTAGGAAAGGTCGTCGCGCAGATGGAACTAGGAAAGCTTTTATTTGAGGTATGTGGACACTTCGTTCGTCGCTATGATCCAAGTTAATGGATGGTGTAATCCTGCATAGATTGTCCGCAACTTCGACATTGCTCTCATTGATCCGATGAAGCCGTGGAAAGTGAGAAACTACATGGGGCTATTCGTGATTTCAGATATGTGGGTGCAGGTAATGGAGTGTGATGAACAAGTCGAGTTTTAAAGCTAGTGTTTCTTAACAATTACATGCCTTGATCTATTCCGCTGTTCCATATGGTATTGGGAGAAAAGTTCCATTACCAGTTGGACAGGCGAATGGCAGGGGTCGGTGAGATATATGTACGTCGTTATGCATAACACATCTCGTGCTTGCACAAAAAGAGAGCATGGTCAGATCCTCGCCATTCTTGGACAGCTGTAAATAATATACGCGCCTTGACTCAAATTACCCCGCGACGCGTCCGGCACATGTCACGCTCGCCAACCTCACCTCCCACATATCTCGATACTACCAGAATGATGACTTCAAACATGGATCAAATGCCCCCTCCCTCATCTCAAATGCCCCCTCCATCATCTCAAATGCCGCCACCGTCATCCCAATCTCACTTTGAGAAATTCGATAACTTCGTCCCCGACAGCAGCGCATCTTTCGAGGACGAGTTTGCCCGCCTTGCATCCTCCCAAGACTGGGCCAGCGGGACCTCCGAGTTTCAGAAGCAACGCACGATTGCCCTGCGATCCGAATTGAAGCTACATTACTTCTCCTCCCAAAACATCGAGGAAGGACAGGAGGATCTTGAAGATGTCCCCCTCACCGAAGAGGCGAAGCTGGCTGGCTTCCAAGCCTTGTGTGAAGAAGTGGGCATCCCCACACACGGCACGATCGAAGAATGCCAAAAGCACCTCAAGAAAACCCTCGTAAACATCGTCGACTTAATCGATACCCGAAGAACGGGCAAGAAGGTGAAGGTCTGGACTGATTTCGAAAAGTTTCGAAAATACACACTCAAACGACCGATTAATCTAGAAGAGGCGAAGGAAGATGGTGGCATTTTGGCTTCTTTGCTACAACATTTGAGATTTCCAAGAGGGGAGCATCGGAGACCTCGTATACACAGAGGAAATTCCTCCAGAGTAACTTCGGGGAGGGTGATGAAAAAGGAGACACAGAAGAGTTCCAAAACAGGAGCAATACATCTACTGGTCAAAGATGGAAAGTGAGGGTATGCGATATGGAATAATCGAGATGAAGCCTCCTCGTGGTGGACGTATTCGAGTTTGGATTACAGTCAGCAGTATTTGCGGACCATGAAAACATGGGCAATTAGGGCGCAAAGATGTTCAAACGTTGACCGTGTTGTATAATTATTGAGATTGAGAGATTTCATGTAATATTTATCAGGCTTCAAAGAAGAACGCTCTTCCCAAATTGGCGATCTCTTGTCACCAATCTGATGCCTTGAATTACAGCCAGTAAGTGGCATAAGAGGAGTTACCTTGGATAGTATCAATGAAGCTTTGAGCAATGATCTCGGCTATGACAAGCATCCGTTAGATATATGAATTTAATGTTCAAGATCGCTACTTGACTTACAGGTACGTTCTGAAGGATGGAGCTCATCAAACCACATGAAGTTAGATTTAGGCTCTGAAGCCCTGGTGCAGCTGGCAACATCGGAGGATTGACAGAACTGGTAGACCCCATCAACATTGGCCCGAGGCCCGAGAAACCTCTCTGGGTTTGCATGAATATCCTTCAAAAGTCGGTTTGTATCAAAAATTGCCAATGTAGCCCCAGGCCAGCGGTTCTTGGGTTTCAAATGGAATGGTCCCCCAATGCTAAAGAGATCGTTGGCGCTTGAGGTGGACTGAAAAATCCGTTGCTCATAAAGAGTACTATTAATATCGGGCTTGGTTGGAAATAGGGTGCTGAACTCCAGACCTCCTTTGCCGACAGACTTGTATAGAGGCGTTATCTCCAGCGGCATGACATTCATGACAACGAAAAACCGTCCACCCGAGGCATACAATTTGTCGAGAACGTCCCAAACACAGTCGACGAATCTCTGGACTGTTGATCCAGGGGCCTGCGAGTCTGAAAGATATCCTGATATTCCAAGATCGTTGGCTCCAATCATGATTGCGTAGACGGTATTATCGGCCTCTCTGTTGGGATAGAGCGTGTCGAATCCAAGATCTGCCTCGAATGCGGGGATTTCCTGTTCTAATATCGTAGGAAAAGCAATTCCGAGTCCAGGTACATATCTTTCAACGATGTCCTTGGAACATGTAGCGCCAGAGAATGCATAGTTGTTGTAGTTGGCTCCGGTGATATTCGCAACAAGACGGCCCCAGGTTGCGCCACCAGTCGCCGCCTCTTGGGCTATCGGGACAATAGTTCCTGGAGAATGGAATTGCATATGCTCTTGAAAATAGGCTATGCGGCCGTCATCTGTTACACTGTCTCCAAAGGTGACAAGGTTTTTCATCGTTGTCATTCTACCACAGCTTCTGGCAGTAGCTGTTGCAGCTATAGTAAGACAGAGTACCCAAAACATGATGCAAAACTTGAGATCAGCAAGCGAAAGAGGATAGATATGTTGTTGAAAAAGGATATCTCTTGAATTAACAACAAGTTTGGAGATAATCGGATACTTATACATGGCATTGCGGTTGTAGTTATGGGGACCGGGGGGTTTTGCTGGTGCCTGGATACCCGAACTTCAGGATCCATAATCTCCAGTTTCATCTAAAGCAAATTAACCCACAGGCAGCAGTTCCCAAATGCAGATTCCAAATTTATCGTAATCTTTCATTACAAAAGTTAAGTCATTTACACGAAACATAGAATTCACTCACCTTGTGGTGTTAGCATAGAAGGTAGACACTAGTGGCTATTAAAAATACAGGCATCACTCAGTAAGGGGATTTAGAACTAGGATTGTATCTCACTGCTAGTTAAAAGTGATCGAAACTCCTAATAAATCATTTTGATGCTTCGTAATAAAAGTCTTTTCTATAAAAACTGCGGTCCAAGTGACCTAAATGTATTGTACCATTGGTATGCTACACAGCAAAGGCCTACCTTTGTCCCAATTTGCCGGTCTAGAATTTTGGGAAGGCATATTTGAAAACATTGTTAGGGTCAAATTTCTCCTTCAGCTCCTTGGCTCGAGGCCATTTATCCCCAAATAGTTGTTCGGCAGTTCTGTCTTCTGGCCTCGTCAGGGCGGGATAGGACCCCTCCATGACAGCGGGATCCCCGGAAGAGCGAATCTTTTCATACAACCAGTCGTTCCACTTCCTTGTCTCGGCAAGATATTTCTCCTCGGGTACCATATCCGTGAACGAGAGCAAAATGTGAGAGCCTGCGCCAAAGCAATTTGGTACCGTTGCTTCCTGGTCGATAACAGTCTTCATTGACCAACCAATGTTGACAAATGCAGGCATAATCTTGACAGCCTCCATAAGGATGTCGAATATCCCGGGAGAGAGCTCCTTGATGTATATCGATCTCTGGCCGCCATATGGTAGGCATGGTATTTGCAAGCTCTCATAATGCCCCAGGAGAGACTTCTGCTGGACAGTATTCATCTTGGCCGGCGGCAAGGCTGCCGTGAATGTCTCCAAATACTTTTTGCCTTCCTCCACATCTGAACCACCCCAGCTGAACATGATAGCAAGCATTCGCTGCTGCGTTTGGATAAGGAAGTGATGGATGTTTAGATCCTTGGGGAAAGTGAGCTTCTCCTCCGCGGAAATAATAGCCTTGATTGTTTCCGGGCTGTCATCAAACATTAACATTCCAATGAGGATCTGGACCTGGTTAGCACGATAGCAGTGACGAATATGGCGAGTGTATGGTTGTATACCTCTCTCTTTGGGTAGACCTTGATTGTCAACGATGTGACAATGCCGAGGTTGCCACCCATGCCTCGCAAACCTTCTAGTATTTCACCGGTGGCTTTCACAATTTCTCCCTCGTGGTTGACAATCTCCGCTCCGACAATTCCTTCAAAGCCCATCCCCAAGGCTCCAGTGAATGGTCCATAACCGCCAATCGTTGACCACCCCACGTAGCCAATTTCTAAGGCGTTTCCAAGAGGAGCGGTGAGATTGTACTTATCAAACTTGAGCAGCATGTCCTTTGCAAGGACACCGCCGCCGATCGTGGCTGTTGTTTTATCATCTGCCACATTGATAGAATTGATATCTCGCATATCAATAATTAGAGCACCATCTGCCGCATTCCTGCCATAGAAATCGTTACCGCCAGTGCGAACGGTGAAATCGATTTCATTCTTGACCGCCCAACGGACGATACCAGCCACTTGCTGAGCATTAGTAGGTATAGCGATGCCCAAAGGCTTTGTCTCTTGCCCGGCTTGTCCTCTCGTAGCCCGACGATCCTTCCATTCTGGCGACGTGGGAATGAGCAGCTTTACCTCAGGGTTCGCTTTTTGGAAACTGTCTATTTGGGCTTCGGAAGTCATGATAAAATAAGAGTGCTTGGTGTGATATGAGTTGCATTGTCACACCGAGATGCTGGAAACGGTCACATTTTTATGTAAGCTCGGGCACTTTTCTATCATGGGAAACTCAAAATGTCTCCGAGTGAAGGACGGCACTCACCGCGTAGAAGTCGCCCCAAAATCTGACATGTAAGCAGATGCCCCTTAGACCCCGCTGTTCTCACCAATAAAAGTAATAAATATATAGACTAGAAGGGAAGTAAAAGCACGATCCTTGCACTGACGTTTCAAATGGGTTACGACCACATTCCTAGTGAAAGTACGACACCAGTGACTATATACGTAGAATAAGAAAATCCTCGCACATGGCACATATCACAGCACTATAATAACTCTGTAGCCAGTAATTCGGTTTCAACTCTGGTTACAAAAATTGTGCGTTGGGCAAAACCCCGTTTTCAAGAGTAGGCTTATCAAGTATGGCCTGCCAATATAATGTCAAAGTGAATGGAACCTCCGGCCCCATAATAGCAACGGGGACTTTCTATTTCATTCCTATTCTAATCTATTGATGCTTGGGTGGATTGGCTTGAAAACACCCGGATGTAATTAATCAACATTCCCCTGACCTAAAAGGTCATCAAGAAGCCGAGAGAACGTTTCCCCCCCTCTTTCATGCCGACTCTTTAGCTTCTTTGACTTCTTGAACTTCCTTGACCTCCTTGGCGTCGTTCTCGCCCTTGGTGAAATTCTCCTCCTTGGCGGCCTCGACGTCTTTGGTTTCCTGGGCCTTCGGCTTGGCCACATTCTTCCACTCCATTGCCAGACTTCCAAATATAGTCAAAGATGATACAACAACAGCCACAAGGTATGTCCTGGTCAGAGCGTCGTTGTAGGCTTCCAGCACGGCCGGGAGGTCCTCCGGTGGAATCAGATTCCGCACCTGAGTTGCACCGACTGTGGTCAGAACCGAAGCATCGAAGCTCGCGTTGGGTAGAGCAGCCTTCAGGTTGCGCAGCAGCTCATTTTGGAGGACAGACTGGCCCACCGAAATGAAAATGGCACCACTGAGTGTCTGCAAAAGTTGTATGACAGCTGTGCCCGATGGAATTTCGTGTCGAGGCAAAAGAGTCTGGATGGCGATCATGGGTTGCTGCTGGCCGAAACCGATGCCGATTCCCACCATGGCTTGGTAGCCAACCCATTGAGAAAAGGGCGTGTCGACGTTCCATGTGGTCAGTAAGCCCTCCCCAATTGGAAGAATAATTGATCCCAGGATCATGAAGATATTATCTGCGTTACGAGTCAGTCAAATACTGGATCAAGTCAAATCCGTCCATGTCCACTTACAATATCCAAATTTGCTGACCAAAGCTCCTGCAAGCAGAGCGCAAACGACCACTCCAAGGATGAGAGGAAGAAGTCGGATACCAGACTGGACAGCGTCTACCTCTTTGATGACTTGATGCCACAAAGGAATGTAGTAGACCAAAAGAGGAAATGCACCACCATTCAGAAATCCATTCCATGCAGCAGCAGCCATGTTTCTTCTCGTGATCATGCGAAAAGGGAAGGAAGCATCGGCTCCTTTCCAATGTTCAAAGAATAAAAAGGCAATACCCAAAACCCCAAAGAGCACGAGCAAGGCGATAATCCGAGCGTTGCTCCAAGCGTACTCTGAGCCACCCCACTGCATAGCCAGCAAGAGTGAGATAACCGCGGGGAGGAATATGGCCAACCCGATGAGGTCTATCTTCTTCAACTTTTCCATCAAAGTAGTTGAAGCCAGTTCAGGTCGTGCAGGGAGTCGAAGGAACAGCAGAACAGTGAGTGCAGTGAATGCCCCGAATGGCAGATTGATATAAAAGCACCATCGCCAAGTGAGCTTGCTGGTGAAGACTCCGCCGAGCAAGGGGCCCAGAACTGAAGCAATGGCAAATACGATCCCCATGGATGAGACGATGACGGGACGGAGGCGGACTGGGACGGACTGGGAGATGATGATCATGACACCCGAGTTAATGCCAGCACCTCCGAGACCTTGGACAGCCCGGCCGATGATCAGGGCTATACTGTTGGGAGCGAGCGCACAAACGAGAGAACCGAGCTCGAAGAGGCCGACGGCAACCATAAAGGTGTACTTGATTGAGAAGCATGAGTAGATACGACCATAGAGCAGCTGGAAAGCAGCTGTCGTCAAGGCATAAGCTAGCGAAAGTCTAGAGTTAGAACATTTATTCAACACTGGTTATGTCGAGACGAGGGAATCAACTTACCGCTACCAAACCATCCGACATCCGACAAAGCATGAAACTCGTCGGAAATTTTTGGAGCTGCATTGGCCACAATTGTCCCGTCCTGTGTTCATGTCAGTTATCGAACATGTTCAGCATACTATGAATACCCACCAATGTAATAAGAAAGACTGCAAACCATAGTCCAAGGCCGGTGAGGAAAAGCTGTGGAAGCGGCATCGGAGAATCATCGCTGGCTGGTTTTTGGTCTGGCACTTTTGGTGATTCATCGCCTTCGGTTGGTTCAGTGACAGTATTACTAGGAGTTTTCTCCAAGCTGGGCTGGGCTGCTTTTTCTGCAGAAGTCCGTGGCGGACTGTCGCGGTCGTCGTTTGAGGCCATCTCGAAAGGAGAGTCACACGGTCTAGATCTTAGTAGACAGGCTGGCGACTAAAGAGGCAGAAAAATGAGTGTATCGGGGTTTGGTCTGGTTTTGACTCAAATAAAAGACATGGTCAAAAGGAAAGGAGGGATCTGGACATATATAGAAAATTTCTAATGTGTCGCCGGAGAGCGTATGTAATAATACGCAAAGGTGAGGACCCGATGAAAATATTCAGATGAGTGAGCCGGCAGGTGAGAACCGGCAGGTCGCCACATAAAGGCGCAGAGCCTTCCCAAGAACGTAACGGCGAGAGCCAAAGCTTTATTAGCTGCGCACAGGGAAATAAGCAGGGGATGAAATTGGCATGTCTTCGGATGGACTGTGCCGAAGAGTCTGCATTCGAGCACCGCGGAATGACGCGAAGGTTTGCTTTCTTTCGATTGTGCGTGCTCATGTTATGCCGTTTGACTCACCACCGTCCTGCTCAACTGCTGTGCTACAGCGCTGTAATTTAGAGCATTCGGGGTCTCTGGCGGAGCCCATGCTGATCGCTGGGCTTTGATTGGACAGATTCGGTACTATGGGGGGATAGGCGACAGGGTGCGCGTTGCTTTCTAAATCAGGTTTAGCGCCCAACTGCCGATGGCAGGGACAAACGATTCCCATTTTGTGACGCCCCCAAAAGCTGATACCAACCATCCACATCTGCCTCTCCAGTCTGGGTCTGTTTCCCCTTCCATCGATCCCTTGGCCTGGCCTTATGCCTAGATAGCGGCAGTTGCACGCTCCCGCTCAGCAACTTTCCATGAGTGGTACCCAGAAATCTCTTCCGGCGGTCCCCCGGTCCAAGGGCTGCCTCACGTGTATCGCTCGGAAGAAGCGCTGTGGTTAGTGTTCGTCCTTCGCATTATGCATCCGTCTATCCATAATGCCTAGATGCTCCAGATCCCTGCCCAAAGATTCCTCTTTTGACACATTGATGCTGCCTTGAACGAATCCAAGCTGATCAACGCGTAGACGGAAGGCGGCCCACCTGTCGGGCGTGTGAGGATCGGAAGCAGGTCTGCCAGGGGTACCGAAGAGAGGATATTGTCTTCCTCAATGACGGGTGGCGTGCCCCTGGCGTGGCCGCTGCCAGGGCCAAGAAGAAGTCGCGTAGTAAATCAAAGTCCCCAGAGACCCAAGAGGCGGGCCGTGGCACCCTTATACTTCAGTCCGCCGCGCCATCCCCTTCTTCCCTGCAGAAGAGCCCCTCAATAGACCGGTCGCAGCTGCATACTTCGTTTTTCCTTGCTGAGTTTGCCGAGCAACTTCTGCCTAGTTCCCATTTCATCGCCGATCTCTTTCGATCTTACTTCTCCATCTCTCCCTCAACCTCTTCAGACCACCAACCCCTCAGTACCTCTGCTGCACAAGCTGTCGATGCCCTGGCCCAGGGGTACTTTGGTCGCGCCAATGGCGACCTTGATTCTGTTAAGAGGAGCTTCAATACATATGGAGTCGCCCTAAGATCCATGTCAATCAAAATAGACGAGTTGCAGGCTGCACACTCTGGCTTCCACCATCTTTCTGAGGAAGAATGGCAGCACATGGCCTTTTACTGCATGGTCATGGCATTCTGGGAGGTAATGTCATTCTTGCGTGGGTTGGGAATATAGATATGCTAATGCCCATCCTTTGAGTAGCTGAAAATGTCACCTTCCACAGACAATTGGCAGCAACATCTTCGTGCTCTCGCCACCGCCATCACCCTCCGCGGCTCCAGTCACACGTACTCGAAGAGCAATCTCAGATTAGTTGCAACAGCACGATTGTTCATTGTGAGTTTTATCCACATCTAGTGTAGTCCTGCATATCCAGCCGGTGGGAGAAGACTAACACTTGGGATGGTGTAGACCCTACAGGCGCTCTCATCTCGACGGCCGGGCGATCTTTCCGTGTTCGGTTGGCGACAGAGCTCACCACTACCTTCTGAATGGGTGATCGAGGCTACAGCATCAGTGAAGACGAACCAAGACGCAGATTCTACCATTCAGTTCCGGGTTTACAGCTTAATGGATTCGCTCCTTGCATCGGCATCTGACATCTCGGTCGTCATGGCCCAGTACGACCAGCTGCTCATCAACATGGCCAACCCACTTTGGACGAACAGCGATGGTCTTGGCCAACCCCTGGTCGATTTATACAATGTTGCGAATGTCATCCTCAGTCAGATCGAGGGAGTAAGCGAAGACTTGGGTACAACGATGAGTGAGTTACCATACAAAGATTGGCTCTCTACTCACCAGCCCGCGTCGAACCAAGATGCGGGTTCCATCCGAGAGCGCGAGTTCATCACCACGATTGGATCCGACATCCAGTCTTTCTTTCCAAATATCTTGAGCTTTCCCTCCATGAATGATTTCAACACCGTGGCCTTCTACTGGACAATCTCCATCTTACTACGCCTACTCATTAACGATATGCTGGCACTGATGCAGGAAGTCAACCCTGAGGACATGCCCGAAAATCCGCAATACGAAATCGATCAGCATCGGATACGACTTGTACATTACGCTCAAAGCGCGATCCGTGCAATACCTTTCGTCGAGGCCAAAGAGAACAGGTCCCAGCAGCCGTTCTTCATGGCATCTGCGTTCCAGACCGCGATCGCAGCGTTGGGACGCGAGTGTGAGCATTTGAGATCGCAGGTCAGTGAAGAGGTGACCATACTGGGCTATGCAAGCATGAAGCGGGTCGTAGAGAGGTACATGGATTGGGCTCAACAGAGGAAAATCCTGCTGAGGATGGTTGTTGACATACCTCGGCATCCATGAGTATACACGGCGACTTGATGAATAATGAGGTACGGTCTCATGTAATATATTTTAGATTCCAGTCGCAACATGGATTCACGAGGGTCCGAAGACGAGCAAGCTACATGCAACCATCGCCTAAAGGCTTCTTTGAAACTACCTAAAAGACTAACCCAACTACACCAACACCATGGAGCCCACTAAGGCACCTACGTAGTCACGGATAGAAAACGATAGTATTCTCCCATTATTTAGGTACTCTCAGTTCTGTCTCTTTCTCGGAACAAAAAATCTCCGTATCACACTAGTCTCAAGTTGTTCTCGATGAACCGACCTACCCTAGAGCTAGGATCTGCACCAGCGTTGCTCAAGAGCTGAGATATATTCGACGCCTGCCTCCCGGCTGTAAACCCCAATCCTTCCCTGTTCATATTTATGATAGCTGAGAGGCTCGAATTTTGGGTTTGGGATCAATTTTAAGTCAATTGTGTAAACGGATGTCTTGAGCCTGATCACAGTCGTCTCTCTTTTACTTGCGACTTTCTCACATGCCATGAAGTATAAGAGCCACGCACAACAGACCAGACTAACTCAGCTGCTATTACGTAATTTGTCCCTTCCCGAAATTTGAACACTGTTTAGAAAACTGATCTTCAGGACCAAGCACACCCTCCCTTCGCCTCCCCCTTACACATCGTAGCGCCAGTAACCGCCCGGCCCCATCACGAGTACCGGCACATTTCCGGCCCGCGCGGCTGGGTCACGCGATGGAAAGGTCAGCCCTTGTCAACAACACACTGTTTCCATGGACTGGGGACGATAAGGTCCGGCAGTTTTCGTCTCGCGCTCGCCCCCACATGGGATGCCACTGTTTCAGCCGTCCAGTATGGCAAATGCCGGAGGATTGTTGAAATCACAGGTCTGGAAGTCAAGCGTGTTGGTATTGCACGACACTGGGAGCACTCGTGCCTACTTCCCTTCGTCACGTCGGCTGAAGTAACGCGTGCCTGGCAATTGATAGTTTCTGAACACACAATACACGCATGTACATGAGGTGGACGCAGTAATTGGTCCATTTTATCCTGACCGATGTCAAAAAACCGCCGGATTCCAATTCTATTCTGCTTGTTTACTGGCGTTTTGAAATCGCGTCCAGCAATGAGCTTAGCGCGCGCGCGTCGGTAATATCTAGCGATCAACAAGGGAAAACCGGGCCCTCTAAATCTGCTATATATAGCAACAAGGAGGAAACGGTGGCATGTTGGAGGCTATGCAGCATGGATCTCTTGACGCAGCATTAAATCTTTTATCTGATTTATTACGTGACGAGGCCTGCCAAATCGCTCAGAATACCTACATCGTTCGAGATCCGCTCATGCCGGTGTATGTTTGTCTAGAAAAAAAAAAGAAATAGTTCAAGGAAACCTAAGTAGTAACCATGCGGGTGATGTGATCGAACATGCAGATATGGTTGGCGTCGGCAGTCCGTGGACACAGTCCCAATTGGCGTAGGAATCAGAACCCAGAGCTATTAGTTAATACATAGTACTAGCATTCCTGATTCATGCGTTGGCAGCTCCCACGAAACCGGGAGCGTGAGGAATTATCCCGTTGCAGGAATGAATAACTTTCCTGAAATGGCTAATATTAGAATATTCCCGTCCCCCAGAGCAGCCTGTGTGTGGTAAATCTTGCTATTTGCGGGTATACCGAGAGAATCTGCCAGGAAGTAAGCCGCGTGTTTACTGGTAATACTCATCAAGATAGGAGCTTCTGTATACTGTATGCAGTCAGCAGTATAGGTGCCGTGTGAAAATAAAGGTATAAGGAGACTGATCCCAATCGTAGAATGGGCTTCCGTCTCATCATTCACAGCTTCACTCCAGACTACCATTTTTCTTACAACTGTTGTTTAACACACTTCGACATCTCTTTTTGTTTCAACATCTCCTTCTTGCAGCGATCAAGCCGGCTTGACCATTGTCTTATTACCGAACTGCATATTTTGCCCCCTTCGAACAACTTCACCAACAACATATCTGAAGATGGTTGGCATCAGACAACTCTCTCTCGGAGCAACTCTCCTGCTCAGTCTCGCTCAGCGAGCTGTCTGCGACCCAATCGAAACTCAAGATTTGAGTACTCGAGATTGGGAAAGCACCGGCCAGGTCATGGAGCGAGATCTTGAGATTCGCAAGGGAGGAGGCGGCCGGGGCGGTGGTACCGGCGGCGGCGGCGGAGGCAATGGAAATGGCTTCCCTGGTTATGAGCCCTCCGGTAGTGGCGGTGCTGAAAAGGGCAGCCACAGACATGGCCGCAATGGTCGACGAAGCTTCGAGATTCGAAAAGGGGGTGGTGGACGAGGTGGCGGCGGCGGCGGCGGCGAGAATGGATTCTCTGGCTATACACCTGGTGGCAGCGGCGGTGCTGACAAGGGTAGCCACAGGCGTGGAAGACGGAGCCTCGAGATTCGAAAAGGAGGCGGCGGACGAGGTGGTGGTGGCGGCGGCGGCGAGAATGGCTTCTCTGGCTACACACCAGGTGGCAGCGGCGGCGCTGATAAGGGTAGCCATAGGCGTGGTCGACGGGGTCTTGAGATTCGAAAAGGAGGTGGTGGACGGGGAGGTGGTGGCGGTGGCGGCGAAAATGGCTTCTCTGGCTATACTCCTGGTGGCAGCGGTGGCGCTGACAAGGGCAGCCACAGACATGGCCGAAGCGGTAGAAGGAGTCTCTAGGGGCGGAAGATTAAGCGTCAGGAGGAGATTGAGGGAATGGTGTAGTCTGTGAGTAGAGTCTTGAATAGCATAGCTAACGTGGAAGTTGTACTTGTACTGTTGAGCGGTAGTGATATATTCTCTTTGGTACGACTCTAACAGGATCAATTGCCACATGAAAATGAGTTGCCTTCCAAGGTCATCGTGAACTTAACGCTATGAATCGGTTTCTTTCAAACACTGCGTAGCCTGGACGGCTATGGATCAAGTATGTGGGTAGGGAAGCTCGCCCCAAGGCGACACTTCTAAGATCAGCACCAGGCTCCGTGTGTGGCGTTAATCCTGGTAGACAACTTCCCAGAATTGGGTGAACTAAGAGATATGTCACTCCGGCATGGCGTCAATCTTATTTCGGAGCTGGGAATTGAATTCATGGAGGGAACCCCCTGACCTGGTCGGAGTATTCAAGTCCGCCAGATGCTGCCTAGCTTGGTAGTCAGCCTTTCTTCAAGCCGGAACAAGTATCTCGGCATGGTCTCAACACATCGAATATTGTAACTACGTTTGAGGATTAATAGCCTTACAAGCGAGCAGAGATTTAGGGTAAGACTCAGTTTTTTCTCCTCAACTGCATTACGATGGCTACTTATATATGGCAATGGAATACTTGTCACAACCATTAGGATAACCTGGTTTTTTTCCCTTTTCTCGCCTCACATATCATCAATCTCGATAGTGTCTAGGGATCTAGCTAATGTGCTTCGTCGCTGTGAGTTGCTCGCTTGGACGAAGGCGCGGAGGCGTTGACCCTGAACGGTCAACACAGCGTCTTGGTATGTCATCGTGTGCATGTAAAGAGGGGGAAAAGGTCCAAATTGGGCCAAGACTTCCGGAACCTGTTCCTACCGAGAGTGCCAGCGGGCTGAATCACGTTTTTTGAGGTGTTGGTCCGCGGGGGGAGGACCATGATTTTAGCGAATAAGGAGATGATTGTCGCAACGAGAAGGAGAATCCCGCGAGGGATACATTTTATAGAACAAATTAGAATCGAAGACAGATCTAAAAAGAGAGGCCGTCAGGCACTGGTCACTGGCCGCAGTGTCGAGATCAGCATAGCTCCACACAACCATCTGAAAAAGGGGACAGAGGCGGCCGCCGGGACGAGATAATGCCGCTGCCGACTTTAGCAAGCCGCATATTGTCTGTTAAGAACGGAAGGGCTAGCGATGCCCAATCTTTGTGAAATTGCAGCCCGGATCAAGAGTGGCGGACAAAAGACATCCTTGTCTTGAGTGTGAGCGATAGAGTAGTATCATCCATCATCCAGCGTCATGTGCGGTAGAATTAGCCGGAACATACTATACTCGATTTAATGGCAATCTTAATCGGAACTAACTACTAGCACACAACCAGCACTTTTGTCTCGTCTTCTTTCTGGGTGCACCCATCAAGATTCACCATCAAGATTCAAAGGGAGGTTGACGATGAGACATTCTGATTCCCAAATCACGGGAAACTACCTGCTAATGCAAGGGCCCATGACTGTAATGAGCAACGGACGGTCCTGAATACGCGTAAAACTCCTTGCCTCAATAGTGACAACATACGTGCAGTAGCAATCCCCAATGCGGGGGCCGATTGTGGCAGAGCAAGAGATCGAAATACGCGTAACCAATGTCTGGGGTTCAGTGATTGGTAATGACGTCCACGATCACCGTTTGTTGCTCCATTGAGCGTTGGAAAAATATGGATTAGCTCGATTGGGTTACCGTTTGCTCCTTACCGTCCACTCTGAGAACGTGCTTATTTAGTTGGTGAGGCTAGTCGATTTAGCTGCCCGGATGTTGGAGCTTCCGAGACAAGCCTTCGATTAATTTCCAATTCTCGGCATCTCAGGATTCTTCCTCTCAAGACGTGTGATGGATGATCGCATTATGATCATTATGATCATGCTCGCGAGAACTGCGTTCCAGATGACTACATAAGCTCGCGTCGTTCCGCCCGGTAGACCAGACTACTCCAACCTCACTCCCATCCTTCACAGCTCAAATCAGAGTCCTCAACTTGTATCATAACAAACAAGACCTTCTTTTATAACTCAAAGCTTTAATCTCGTCAACATGTTCTTCTCTCACGCTGCTATCGCCCTCTTCGCCGCGGGCCTTGCTTCCGCTGCCCCGGTTATGGAGAAGCGCGACGGCCCAACTGATGGTGAGAATATATCTCGTCGTTTATCTTGGTACTCAGTACTAATATGTTATGCTTAGCTGATATCCTCAACTATGCTTTGACCCTGGAGCATCTTGAGGATACCTTTTACCGTCAAGGCTTGGCCCAGTTCTCTCAGCAGCAGTTTGCTGCTGCTGGTTTCGATTCCGACTTCTATAACAACCTGATGGAGATTGGCCAAGACGAGAGCGACCATGTCAATTTCCTCACCACTGCTCTGAAGGGTGCGTTAATCCCAGCTAGTATAGGGTGTATAATTATCCTAATCAACTAACACTCTTCCTACAGGTGCTGGCGCGACTCCTGTTGATGCCTGCCAGTACAACTTTGGTTACACTGATGTCAAGACTTTCCTCCAGACTGCCTCAATCCTTGAGGGTGTTGGTGTTTCTGCTTACCTTGGAGCTGCCGCCGACATCATGAACAAGGGATACCTCACCGCCGCTGGCTCTATCCTTACAGTTGAATCCCGCCATTCAGCGTACCTCCGTGCCAACTTGGACCAGTCCCCCTTCCCTCAGCCATTTGACACTCCCCTTACCCTCGACGAGGTCTACTCTCTGGCTTCGCAGTTCATCGTATCCTGCCCGGCGAGCAACCCACCTCTGCCAGTCAAGGCTTTCCCCAAGCTTACCCTGGCTCCCTCTACCGCGATGCCCGTCACGACTGGTAACACTGTCACTCTTTTGACTCCCGTAAGTAGCAGGGCTTTACCTCACACGATTATATTTTGGTTTAATATATGCTAATGATGCACGTAGAACTACGTTATCCAGGCTCCTAGCGGCGGTAAGGTTTATGCTGCCTTCATTGCCGTCACCGGACCTACATTTGTTGAAGCCATGCCGGTCGATGGTGGCTTTACTGTGGTTATTCCCGCTGGCTTTGCGGGCCAGACATACGTCGTCCTTACTGGCTGCAACGAGTCTGTCACTGATGACACCGTCGCTGCTGGACCTGCCATCATTGAGGTATGTTTATCTTGAGCTCGTTGCATCTCCAATCGATATACTAACGATGACCAGATCTCTTAAGTGTCCTACAAGGGTCGATCACCAGTTGTTGCGACTTCACATCAACAAGATTGTGGATCACGCTGGAAACTTTATGTAATATAACTGCTGATATTTGTAAATACTGTAGCTCTGGTGTGCCGGGCTCGAAAGTCACTCAATGTTTTATCAGCTTGGCTGTATTCAGCCTAAAAGTTGTTTGTTGATACTGTTATAAGATAATCATAATATTGGTCGAGGGCCACATAACCAGATAATAATTACTACTATATCAGAACGATTGGAGAATAGGACCATAAATGAAAAGCCGAATAACAAGAAGTCAACTGCTAATACTTAACCTAAGCTACCTAGTGAGCGGTGCCGCAAGTTTGCCTGATCAAGTGCGATACCTTCAGATAATTGTTGTAGTCTGAATTTCCCAATTCTCTTGACTACATTGAAGTCTTCATGGTAATACTTTAAAAAACTCAAGAAAAGTGCGCCGGCTCGGGGCAGGCTGGTAGATACAGGGTCCGAATATAATATCAACCAACACCCGCCGCGCAGTTGTCTCATCTGAGCAAGACTTTGATCACTATGTCTTGCTTTGCAGCTTCCTAGTAGAAGCCACGAGAACTGTTCAATCGCATCCATCATGCGGACCTTTCTCTCAAGAGTTCTCTGACCAGTAGCTCTACAAAAGAATGTGTCAGACATTAACCAAATATAAACCAGTATATTAAGTAGCTTTTAGGGTAAAGAGGTAGGCAAGATTGCTCATTGCACAACCGGATGCTATTTATTATGTAACAGATGTGCAGACCAGTTCCACCACTTGTCTAAATCCACGCTCTGCAAAAGAGGCCGAACCATCATGCAAGAAGTTGCCAAGATCCGACAGCCGCTCGGGGAGCGAGCTGTTTACCGCTTGCAAAGGCAGCCCTCACCGCGCTTAGCAGTCTTACGGCAATCACCGCAGGGGCGGTTGTCCCTGTTGTAGCAGACAGTGAATGTCTTCTCGCCGGGAAGACCCATGCCCTTGCAGCTACCGGGGCCGGGAAGCTAGGGGCCGTTCTTGTTAGCGAGGAAACAAATCCACTGTCGAGTGAAGATGGGAAACTTACGCGCTTGAAGAGCTCGCGCTTCTCAATGTACTCGTCACGAGCGAACAGAAGGTCCTCGTAGGCGACGTCACGGGCAGCAAGGGCAGCCTCCAGCTCCTCACCGTGGACCTGAGCAGCGGCGAAGCTGGAGAGGGCGAAGACAGAGACGATGGTCTTGATGAAATGCATTTTGAAGGTTGAAAAGAAACCGATAGAAAAGTGAAAAACTGATGAGTTATCAAGGAATGTTATGAGGAAAATGCTTGCTGATTGTTATGTAGAATGAAGGAAAAGCTTGATCTGAGGAAGATGAAGGAGGTTTATATATTTTCCATCATGGCCTTTGCCACTCCATCCGATCCTCTTGTTCATTAGTTTGCAGTTATATATAGAATATTTCCTGTCCAAAAAGGGATGATCGGTCGAGCCTTGAGCCTTTATCTAGAATAGTCTCTTAAACATACTACCGGAACCAAAAGCTCGGGTCATGGAACTTTGCACAACGTTGCAGTTTGGTGGGCCTGTCAAGGGTGAGTGGAGGAGTATGGGGCATTGAGCAGGCTGTTTCTGGAAGCCACAATGCCGTTACTAGCGGCGAAATCCCATTCCACGGCTCCCCTACAGGATTCCCCGAGCTAAGTCGCCGTGCGTAGTGCCTGATGCGGGAAGAAGCAATCCTTCGAAAGAACTGGTGAGGATGGCTATGTCCTGTAGCTCTACCACTAAGATAAGACAACGACCAAGCAATCATAGAATCATAGAGGCCTTATTTGGCACTGGGCCATCCGTTCTGTAACGAGACTACGTGGGGGATAAGAGAACTCAATGCAAGTGAAAGTGCCGAAGTGAGGTGTGACCGAGTAAGTTGGTCTAAATGTAGAAAATTAGAACTTCGGTGGAACTTCTACGACTGCCGGAAGTTGCCAGTCCTGCAGGCATGGCACTCACTTTGTTTAGCGGCATATGAACAACGCCGTTTAATTTAAATCTGACATTTGATGACTCGATGTCATTAGCGGGGGAGCGTAATCCTTCAGGAACAACCCCATGGCTGATTGGCTGGAATACGATCCAAGCCTGTACGCAACACGATCTATAGCGATCTTTGATACGACACTATTCAGGATGCTGGGGATTAATTTTTCTATACGCCTATCTGCGAGATCCTCCGAGTAGTGTTCAAACATGTTCATCACCTTGGCCCAACGCCCGACCCACAAGCGCTTCAACGACTCACTTGGAGCCCGTAAAACTGCGGCTTCAGCCCTCTGTCAACCTCATGACGATGGTGAGACGCACTGCATCCTGAATCATACTCTGGAAAGCTTAGGAGCGCGAAATATGGCTGGCCTCGAGTTCGCATTGTGACGAAAATCTAACCCAACCGGAGCGGAATTTTGAAAACGGCCCTTTGAGTTTGCGACCCCGGCTAAATTCGCGATCCCTGCCTGAATTGATCGCAACTTGATCTGTGCCGGACAGCAAATACCGAAAAATATATTTGCCGTAACCCAAAAAGTCATGCACCAAACGAATGTTACGAATATTAGTTAGCGTCTATCACATGAAGAGCCAAAAGCTACACATGGTAATTAATGTCAGCCATCGGAAAATAGAGGTCAAAAAGCAGAAGGTGAAACAGACCTCATTACAGCATTGGGTTGAATGGAAAGACTAATGGGAACTTCCACAGTTTGACGGACAGCGGCTGCCTTATTCCATCACCATCATCATTTTAAAATCACATCGTTTAACGCCTGGATTGGCCCTAATGGCTCCGACAGATCCCGGCTTGCACACTGCAGGTTAGTTTATGGCTCTCACGACTGAGTACGTGGCAGCCTAGGCATTCCTCGACGAAAAGCATGGCCAACCTTCGCATATGTCTCCTAATGATGACAGCGTCTATACACTAGGCACAGGAAAGATGAATGTCAATCCCGTCGATAAATAGAACAGGACTGCATTGTCTTGGGCGGCTGGGCACGGCTCCCAAAAAGTCGTCACATCTTTGCTTGATCTAGAAGTAAACAATGTGGACTCTAAAGCTATCATTTACGGTCAAACACCGTTATGTTGCGCCGCCAAGAATGGGCATTAGATAGTAGTGAAGACGCTTTTGGCCACTGGAAAGGTCCAAGTCAATTCCCAGGATAGATACAGCTGCGGAGAGCTATTGCATAAAATCACATTGCCGTGGTAAAGTTGCTGGTTGATGTTGGCAAAGCTGATGTTAATTCAAAGGGTACCTTATAGCAAAAACACAGCTGTCTTCAAATGTTATCTACTTGACCGTTCCCAGCGCATCCACCGTATTAAACCCACTGTAGGTGGCCATGCGCTCGCTATCTCTCGTAGTGGACCTTGTTGATTAATGTCCCAATTTCTTCAGTCCAGACTCTTACGTCGCCCTTCATCCTCGAGTACAACTTGTGATTGTCTAGTGAAGCCACACTGACAAGTGTGCCGGATAGGATTGTGCTGGCGTCAATAATGGTACCTTGAGAGAGATAAATGATTATCTTCTTGATATCAAGAATCATGTCCCAAGGGTGGGGCTTGCCCAATCATTATCACAAGACTCTCTTATCTGAGTGACTTCCTGACCCCTATCAACAGTTCAATAGCTCCTCTCAAAGTCGACTACCTTTTTGCTTCTTCATCCTCGTTGGTTCCGACATCAATCTGCGTCAATACAAGTCACATCGCTTTCGCATGCATGGAGAAACCGGCGAGGAAGAAACGACTGGCTCCACGTTCGCGCTCGGGTTGTCTCCCTTGTCGAATTCATCACCGGAAATGCGACGAACAACGCCCGATCTGTGGCTTATGCCACAAAAGCCAGCGGGACTGCGAATATGGCCTAAGAGTCTCATGGGGAGGCAGGCCCTTTCATAAATCTTCCTTTGGACAGTATCTATCAAGCCAAAGCACTCGGATTGGCCGTATCGGCTCGCGCGCTGGCGGACAGGGTAGGTTTGAACCCGAGACAATCATGTCAAGGACAAGGCGCACTGACGAATAGCCACCTAGTTGATACCAGGAACAAGGCGCAGTTTGTGTACGGGTTTGTGCAGCCGAAAGAGCCTCCAAAGTGTGCAACAGAAACCCGGAAGGCCCTGGCCATTCAACAGCAAACCCCGATGCCGCTCACGACCGCGAGGCCGTCCTTCTTACCTGATCTTCCGCCGCCGTACCGGGTGCTCTTTGATTACTTCACACGAGTTGCCGACTTCTTCTCGTGTGACGAGTCGGTCAAGGTTGATTTCCATGCTACCTTCATGCCAATAGCAATCACAACTTCCCATGTCATGGCTGCCATGCTCAACCTTGCTGCTGTGCATCGGGCCAACTCGGATGGGAGCCAGGATGCCAAACAGATGGCGCATTTACAATTGGTCGCGGTTCAGAAACTCCGGGGGAAATTAGCGAATCCTTCTGGTTCACCAACTGAGGCCATTTTGTCGACCATTCTGCTTTTGTGTTACTCCGAGATTGTGGCTGGGGGAGGGCCATCGCAGTCTTGGCGATTACATCTGGAAGGAGTAGCTTCCGTATTGAGCAGTGAATTGCAATCATGGAATATGGAATCATCAGGGGCTACGAGGGTATTCCTTGCAAAGTGTTTTGTGTCTCTTGTCGCTCTCGCGAATGGTTCTGGGTACCCCCCTTCCGAAGCTGTGTCGCAACTCGCGATGAAACTAGCCACCAGCAACAATGAGAGAGGTACAATTGATGAGTTTACCGCATACTCCACAGATTTGGTGCAGATCCTGATTGAGCTTGGTACATTATTGAGGAAGCGGAATTTGGGCTTGGAGGATCTGGAAACTGGCTCTCTGCCAATGAGGGCTATGAATCTTGCCCAGCGACTACACCAGATGCTTGGTCGAGGAACAGGAAGTCTCGGAGACAGAGCTTCCAATCAACTGTCTTCTGCTCGAAGAAATGAGTATATCCGTGTGGACGAAGCATATCATCAAGCACTTTTGATTCACATTCATCAGCGCCTACGTGGACTGCCGGCTTCTTCAGGTGAAATCCAAGTCATTGTACGGAGGCTACTGAATCTTGTATCCTCTATCGAGCTTCATGAAGGGCCTTGTCCGGGAACTGTGCTTCTGTTTCCCCTCTTCTCTGCTGGCATCGGTGCAGTACATTCAGAAGATCGACAACGGATTCGGGATCTGCTGACAGGAATGATGGGCAAATTTGGTCTTGGTAATGTCCAGCAGAGCCTTAAGCTGTTGGATGCTCTGTGGTTGCATAGAGATGCGCACGGCGAGTCAGAGATGAATGTCACATGGGAAGGGTTCATTGGTGAGTCCCAAGCGGAGCGACTTCGTAACTTACATCACATGATTATTGACTGCATGATACAGATGAGAACACGGACCTTATTCTATATTGATCCAATGGCTAAGTATTACATCTTAAACCAGATCCAGCTTTTATCCTGGGTCATTTAATGATAAGAGACTTCATGTCTTCCGATATCTCCTCAAACATAGCGTCCATGTCTTGACGCAATTTCTCCTCATCAAGAGCTAGCACTTTGAAGTCTTTCATAACTAACACGCCGTCGATTATTGAATGCTGAACAGCGGAACCATTGCACCCAAACACAAGGTGGCTTTCCAGCATCATCTTGCGCTTCGGAGGATCCTTCAGAAGAGGCGTGAACATCTGGTTCTTTGTAAGATCTACGACGATGAGATCGGCCTTTTTTCCGGGAGCGATGACACCAGCATCAATCCCAAGTGCTTTTGCGCCGTTCCCTGTCGCCATGCGCAAGATATTGTAGGGCTTCGCCAAGGAGGCATCCTGGTGTAAGGCTCGTTGGATCAGCGAGCCAAACTTCATAAGCTCAAACATGTCTGGACTATTCTCGCATTCGAACGCGTCAACACCCATCCCTACATTGACGCCTTTTTCTTGAAGAGCCTGCAGCCGGACAATGCCATTTCCAAGCTTTGCGTTGGAGCCTGGGTCGTAGGAGACTGAGGTGCCAGTCTCCGCAAGAAGCTCAATGTCTCTATCGGTCAAATGCACGCAATGCGCTGCAACAGTATCAGGTCCCAGACATCCAGAATCGTACGCAATCTCAACCGGCGTCCTTCCATATCTCGTCCGGATGTCGTCAATCTCCTGCTGTGACTCACACAGGTGGATGTGCAGTCCCGTGCCGAGCTTCTTTTTCATCTTGCCAACTTCGGCCATGAGCTCAACGTTGGAAGTACACATCCACTCGTGGCCCAGCCAGACACGGATTCGATCCGACTCTCTTCCATGATGTTGCAGATACGACTGTTCGTTATCTTCGAGGAGGTCGAGCTTATGCTCTGGTAGGGCGACTTCGTTGCTCAGAACAGCCCGGATGCCAATCTTTGCTGCGGCGTCGGCAAGTGAGCCGACAAAGCGGTACATGTCGTTGACGGTGGTGGTGCCGGATTTGATCGCGGTGCAGTAGGAATGCAGCGCGCCAATGTATGCTCGTTCTGGAGTCAGGGCTCGGACGCTGGGATACCAGACCTCCTCGAGATATTCCTTCAGAGGCAGCTCGTCTCCGAATCCCTACAGCGAAACACCGGTTAGTGACGGCATAATTGAGCAGGCTTTCAGACCGGGGGTGGAGGGGCGCACCTTGGCCACTGATGTGTGGAAGTGAAGGTCGACAAAGCCAGGCATGACGAGTTTGTCTGTACCATCAATAGCAGTGATGGATGGATCGCTCAATACTTCAGGGCTGGGGTTTCCATGGTAGATCTTAGCAATACAGTCGCCTTCGATCTCTACCGTACCGGGGTAGTAGAATGAGTCGTCTGCGTCCAGTGTCAAAATGCTCGCGCCATAAATGATAGTTCGAGCCATGGTCGGTCTTGGACAAGTCAGGAGGATTGGACTAAGAGTCAATGATAACCGGGAACCAGCTGCAACACTTCATCTCCTTGTTCGATATCATATAAGTACTGAAACTGACGACACCCAAGCCCTCAAAGCCGTCCTAAACCATCCTAGTTCATTGAGCTGGTCGGGATTGTGGAGAAAAGATAAGTCTCTCATTCTTATCATAGTAAACCTTGGTCTATAATTTCCTGTCTTGGTTTAGGTCACATCAGTGTCGCTCCGCAGCGTCACATTGGCCAATAACATAACGAATATAGATGCAAGCATGTCCGTTTCTTATTACAGTCACGCGAGAGAGAAGATAAGAAAGATAATGAGGTCTATTCTTTCCCCATCTGGCCGGAAGGGGCTATCTCACTTATCACTCTTTCACTAACTTCACTCCTCTAGTAACAGTGCCTGGTGGTTTGTTGAGGTGAAGCTTTGTCAAGGACTCTTGCCATCCTACAAATACCCAAGCCCGTCCCCAGGATGCTACATTCTCTGTGATATGCCAAAACAGAATCTTCAAGAATATTCACAAATATGGAGAAGAGTATGAAATTTTCCGCTGGTGAGCTTGACGCGACAGTCATGGAGGAGGCAAGTACGCCAACCAAAGTCACCAAGTTCTCGGGTCTGCAGAAACTCGGGAAACTCCTCGGCGTCGAGGTCGAGGGAAATGATCCGATTGCCCTTGGAGACAAGAAAGACCGGCGTTATTTCAAATTGTTTACCTTGTGGTTCTCAATGAATTTCAATCTCCTCGCGTACGTTTATCCATCCCAACATGCTCCAGTTGTGGAGTTCCAAGTTAAGTCAGGTCTCCCAAACTAATCACTAAAGCATTTTCTCAGTATCTCAACCGGCATGTCGGGAACTTTGGGCTTTGGCCTTAGTCTACGTGACTGTTCACTCATTATATTATTCTTTGCTCTCCTTATTTCCCTCGCAGCGCCATATCTTTCCCTGTTTGGAGCCAAACTAGGCCTCCGACAGATGATCCAAGCCCGATTTTCGTTTGGGTGAGTAATTTTGTCTATACTATCATGGGACTCGAGGCAAGCTGACTAGTAATCTCCCTTAATAGAAAGTATGGCGTCGCGATCCCGCTCATACTCAATATGGCCACTCTATTCGGATATGCCATCCTCGGGAGCATCCTAGGAGGCCAGGCTTTATCCGCAATCAACCCAGAAGGGCTCTCCGTGAATGTTGGGATTGTTATCCTTGCAATTATCGACCTCGTTCTCATCTTCTTTGGTTCGAGGTTGATCCATCAGTTCGATTTATATGCCTGGTTCCCAACCCTCGTTGCTATCCTTGTCGCGCTCGGATGCAGTGGGAAATATTTACACAATCAATCTGTGACTGAGCCAGCGACAGCTAGCAGTGTGCTCAGTTTCGCCTCTCTTATTGCCGGGTTCTTTCTTCCATGGTCAGCTATTGCGAGCGATTTTACTACTTACTTTGACTCTTCTTCAAAGTAAACACAAAGCTCGTCCTGTTTTAACGCTCTTGTCTCAGATACTAATACTTTATTCATAGGGCACGTGTGTTTACGCCCTCATATATCGGCCTTGTGGTTGGCGGTGTCCCCTTAATGATCCTTGGAGCCGCTATCGGAGGCGCGGTTCCTAATGTGCCGGCCTGGGAAGAAGGATATAACAGTACTAGTGTTGGCGGTGTCTTGGCCGCCATGCTCCAACCAGTTGGAGAGTTTGGCAAATTCCTTTTAGTTCTTCTTGCCTTGAGTGTCTTGGCTAATATGGTAGGCTCTGTCTATGCGCTCACGCTGAATTTCCAAGCTCTATTCTGGCTTTTGCGCATCCGTCTCCCCCGGTTAGTCTACACAATCGTGGCCACTGCCGTTATCATCCCCGTGGCTATTAGGGTTGCTGCCGAGTTCCTGTCATCGCTGAGTAACTTCCTTGGGATCATCGGCTACTGGCCAGCTTGCTTCGTTGCTGTTATTCTTGTTGAGCACTTTGCGTTTCGCAAAGGCCAGTGGGAGAACTATGACATTGAGCAATGGGACAATGGAAAGGATCTCCCTCTCGGTGTGGCTGCTCTGGCCGCTTCACTGTGCAGTTTTGGATTAGTGGTACCAGGAATGTCGCAAATTTGGTTTACTGGCCCTCTTGCCGTCCACACAGGAGACATCGGGTTTGAGTCAGCTTTTGTCGTCACGGCCATCTGCTATGTCCCATTCAGATATATCGAAATGAAGCTAATGGGGCGTTGAGAAATACCTTCAACTCGGTTTCAAAATTTTCTTTTCCTGATCTTTCAATCATGCCTAACGGACTTATCCTGCGTACAGGCAAAACACGGGAAGAGACACCCGAAGAATACAGATTTTTATCGAACAATAGAATCTCTAAAACTGAAAAGATAGGGTTACCAAGTGTAGTCGAAACTGCCTAGCCGGTAATATTTATTCATTCTTTAACTGATAAAGGAACCATAAAAAACACGAATGTCCAAAGAGACAAATTAAATGATAGAAAGAAAAGAGTAATAGGAGGGGAGTCTATAATCGCGAACTAAATGACCGCTTAGCGATGATAAGCAGATCGGCTTTGATATTCAACAAAAACAGATTTATTTGTAGTTGAATTCATGACAGCTTAGCAACATCAGGGTATTCAATACCCTGAATCCAAACCTTGTTGATGTCCTTGGTGTTGCTAATGTTGACGAACGGATCGCTGTTCAGCAGAATCAAGTCAGCGCGTCTTCCAGGAGCAATGACTCCACGATCGGAAAGATTACGCAGCTCTGCTGGAAAGCTTGTCGCAGAGCGCAATGCCTCAATCTCCGTCATTCCAGCCTCAACTAGGTTTTCGAGTTCCTCATGTAGCGTCAGCCCGTGCGGCATGTCAAAGAGGCCCTCCACGTAACCGACAGCATCAGTGCCTGCAATAACGGGAACTCTAGCTTCGTGTAGTCTCTTGACATTCTCCCGGTAGATCGGGTAGGTTTGGTTTGTCGCAGCGGTGCCGTGTAAGAACTCCCTGGCGATTGGATTCTCGCTCAAATATCGCATCACCGCCAGAGTTGGCACACTGAACTGGCCCTGGGCCTTCATACGGAGTAACCATTTTTTCGCAAGCAAGGATTCCCCGAAGATGTGATGAATACTATCTGTCTTGGACTGTATGGCTTGTTGATAGGGTATTCCCCAGCTCGCGTGGGTCGAGGATTGGATCCTGCGGCTGTGTGAGGCTTGGACAGCAGCGTCCTGCATCTCCTGCGTCGGCCCGTTCTCCTCGCTCACGATCTTCATAAAGTCAGACCCGTTTGCGACGGCCCAGCCAACATACAAGTCAGTCTGTGACACATCGGTGATGAGCATAGACTTCGGAATCGGGGTTGTTCTCGCGTGGTCGCTATTTGGTGCAATGATGGGCACGCCGGCCGTGAATATAGATGTAAGGCCGACCTGAGACTTGAAGATTTCACAATTGGTGAAGTTGAGGCAGTTCATGTTGAAAGTAGTCGTGACTCCGTAGCGACTGAGATCCTCCATATGAGAAATCTGCTGCACGTGTGTATGACTGTCGATGAGGCCAGGAATCAGAAAACCGTGATGACCGTCGATTATCTCGTCCGCATTTGTAGAGTCATTGCCAATAATGCTCCCATCAATCACAATATCTCTAGGGGGCAAGATGACATGCCCATCGAAGACTCGAACGTTCCGAATGAGGGTCTTCTTTGTAGGAAGCTCCGGCACTGCCGAACGACGGAGCAGAGGATCTTCAGTAGGATATAGACCTGCGTGAAAACCACAAGCTAAAGCACCCTGGAGCAGGCTGACTTGGCCGAAAAGTACGCGGTGGAAAGACACCATTGCGCGTGTGAACCAGTAAGTAAAAATAGATAACAAACAGAAACTGAGTTTAAAGCAAGTTAGTTTATGTTGAACTCCATCGTGATAGCGGGTTGTCGAATGGCTTTTATACTTGACAGGCACATCTTGTAAAGGCCTCAGCCGCGAAATGGCATCAACCTACGGAATAGGTTCGTTCACTAATCCCTAATGGGGAACTAGATTGTGAATGGAAATACTCTACTCCGTACCATTGGGGCTTATTTCAGAGTCAATCTCGTCCTCGGTAATGATCATTATGCCGATCTAACGAAAACTACTGGGAAGACGAGCCCTCGTTATTTTACCATACCTTCCTACATTTAATCAGGTGAGTTCGGGGTTCATGAAGACCCTCACCATCTCACCACGGGAATGTTTCATCCCATGGACCCAAACACCAATCGAGTGGGGACCTCGTTCACTAAACCCAAGTGAGAAATCCTGCTTATTCGCTTCGTCAGCTTGGGGCGCAGGGCATATAATCCTTGTCGATGGCGGCTCAACATCTCCGTAAGGGGGAGATATTGTCAGAAAATTGGGCTCCGTGATAGATTCCAACCAAGTCATTGGCTTCAATATTAAAGAAATAAGCATCAAGAATGTCGCGAAATTACCACACAAAGTCTCGTAATAGCTGTGGCCGATGCAAGCAGCGTCGCGTCAAGGTAAGAAAAGCCACCGAAGCCTCCAAAGCCAGGACGTTGCATGCGTTAGATCCCGCATGTTAATATGTTATCTAGTGCAATGGACAGAGTCCAGTATGCCAAAATTGCACACGTCGCAAAGAATTATGTGACTTTCAACTACGGATTGGTGTCCTAGCTCCAGAGAGACCTGTCATTGTCGCCCCTGCCGCAGCTATCTATCAAAAGGAGAATGCACTATTAGATTACTTCTCCGGTGTAGTCGCCCCTTCGATAAGTTTGGCAGACCCGATGGTAGGGATTTGGAGAAGGGAGGTATTGAACTACTATCAGTCATCCCCGCCGTTGTATCACATGGTCATTTCGGTATCCGTTCTTCATATGGCCAAACAGCACGTGGGCCTAGAGACTGGACTTGTTCGTGTAGTCCATCAACATTTTGTGGATGCAGTGTCACTTTTCCGACGGGAAATTACCTACCTAGGTAAAGAAAACTCTCTTCCCGTTTTCTTCTTTTCTATTCTTCTTCTCATGGTCCAATTTGCCACCTCACACATTCGCCATGGAATATCATTCGGACCAACTGGGGCTTTTGAACCGACAGATATGTTATGTTCCCTTCAGAAGGCTCAAATGCTCACCAGCCAACTCGTTCCATTCTTGGCGACTACCTCGTTGGCAAGTATTTTCGCGCAAACCAGGCCCCCGGTTATAGGGGGAGACGCCAAGCTGGAAAAGACCATTTTCATCGTCCAGGAGACTTTACATTCATTGAATCTCACTGTACAAGACCCAGCAGAGGAGGAAGCCATTAAAAGTCTGCTTCAATGGTTGCAAACCTTGAGATCAATGCAACCTGGCTGGCGACATATTTGCATCTGGCCTGTTTCGATTTCGCCAAGCTACATCCAGCGACTGCGCGACAAGAGTCAAATATCGATGATTATCTATCTCTGCTGGTGCTTGATACTGGGCAGGAGCTACAAACAGTGGATATTTACCACGTACTGCCGCCAAGCGATCAGGCATGTTGTTGCAAGAATCGATTGGGTATGGGGAGATTTCTTGAGCCAACTCTTAACAGAGGTCGACCGAGAGTGACTGTTACACATCCAGTTGGGATTGTGTTGCTGTGAGTTACGATTGTTCAGTGGTCCTACGGCAGAGACAAGAGGGTTTTAGAACATGTACCGTACATTACCGGAAACTGCAGCCATGAGAACTTCACAGCTGATGGAACTCTCTCTCTCGCTTGATGATCACTCGTTCGCATTATCGATTCGACAATACACACGCAGCATGATATCCACATCCGGTATGGTGTAGTGGCTAACATCGCTCGCTCTCACCGAGCAGCCCTGGGTTCGATTCCCAGTACCGGAGAGCTTTCTTTTTGGCAAGCCCTAAATAAGGTTGTACTACTCATCGTGATATTCTTCGTCATCCTTAGCTATTAATTACATGAGTTTATCCCCAAAAATATATAGACATAATCTCAGGTCTCTCCTCCCCTTCTCATCCTTCTGCTCTGTCTCTTTCTTATCTGATCTACTTCCTCTGCAGTGACATATTTATCCCAATGGGTCAGTCCTAAGCTTGGATCTGTGACAAAATGAAGCATCCGCGTGGGGTTCCCCTCAGCCATCGAAGTTATTACCGAGTCGATATCCAGAAGTGGCTGGGGTTCGGCAACACCGCAGAGAGCATCGTGCTGATAATACAACGTAATCTTGTGTTGTATTTTCTGCTGCCCCTCGTTCAGGTTTTCCCTCAAGAAGAGAGGATAGTAATCAGTCTTTACCGCTCCCATACCGTCATCATAGGGGCTGAGTTCCTCCTGCCACTCTTCCTTGCCAGGTTGTAGCGGAAACATTTCCCAATGAATGTAAAACTCGGGGTCCGGGTGCAGACTGTTGAAATGCACTACTAGGTCATATAGCAAGCCCATTCTGATCCCAGGCTCTTGAATGGGTTGAAGGTCTCTGCCAAGTCTTGCACGAGTACGGCGACCGGCTCGATATAGACACCAGTCGTGGGAAAATATTCTCACCTCCTCGAGCTTCGCGGGAGGTTGAACGGGGAACATTCGCCGCCAGGATGCATCTGGTCGCAGCACTTTGTGACGATGGGACTCATTTCTGTACCACTCTTGTTTCCCAATAGTATCATGTAGCTGATAAAACTGATTTGTATCAACTGGTCTTTTTAGAGAAATGAACACAGGGAAAAGAGCTGCGAGCACAGGGTTGAGTTGCGGAGGCGTGCCGGCTAGAACTGGTGAAAGAAAAAGCCGTTGCTGTATGGCGGGTGAGGTGGAAATGATCAATTTGAAGTGCGTGCCGATTAACTGGGAGAGGAGAAGATATTTGAGATCCAGCTGTAGAAGAATAGCCTCTAGGATCTCGATAGTGCCAAGAGCCTTGCGAGTGGCCGCGTAGTGCATATCCTGTTGAGCCATGATGTTTCACCTGAGTCAATTTACGATTCAAAGAGGATAGCGGAGAGTTCCAAGTAGTGCGAGGGGAGATTTCATGAAATAAGGCAACCGAATGACTCATCCGATCTGCCACCAAAAATCTCACAATTAATGTATAAAATTCAATCACTCCCGCTTAGAAGCCAAAGATTACATGCTTACAAGTAGGCTGCTTATCCCAGCTATCAACTGACCAAACCAAAGATGCTGATTGAGATAAAGCAACTGGAGGTAGTGGCTTAAGGAATGGCTCTCGCAAGGGCAAAGGGGGACAGGGCCAATCTGCTAGAACGACTAATTGTTGCACACTGACATTCAGCCTAGGCTACTCACTAATGGCGACGATGCTTGTTGTGTTTTCTTCGCTTTCAATAAGAACTCTCCTGCTGCCAATGTATTAAGCCAAAACTCACCAGAACATGAAGGTAGGGGTGAATCCTGGATGGTGTTCTCCCATCTCGCCAAATGATCCTAAATTGGGCCGTTTCATGTCATCAGTTTGTAATGCCTCGTGTCTACAAGGCTTGTGAGTCAGCCCTAGCACTTGTTGGCGTTGGCATTGAATCACCCACCAACCAACAAGGGCGCAGACTTGAGTCAACAGCTGCCCTATATTTATAGCGCTTCTTTCCACTTCAGCATACCCTCACCGGCGTCCTTTTTCGCTTATTTCTTATTTCTTTTTTCTAGTCCCGGAAACACAGACAAACAGAGATTCCCTTCCCAAACCGCAAACAGTTTATAACCATGTCAGAATCCGACATGCTTCACCTACATGTCCGAAGGGGATATCGCACACCCTTCATCGGTGTCACCTTCAAAGACCACTCTCCTACCGTAAACTTGATGAAAATCCTTCGGAAAGCATGGCTCCTTCGCCTGGATGAGAAAATAACAGCAGATCCGATGCATACTGGAGTACACAATCTAGTTCGATATCTCAATGAGACACCAGAAGAAGAGCTACTCAAACGACGTGACAATTATAGAGATAATACCAACAGGGCCCAAAGGAGGGCCATCTATGTAATGTGGAATCACCTATTTCACAATATATCCAACTTCTTGGTCAATGTCAACTGCAACAACGGCATATTCACGCCACCAAGTCATGGCTCTCTACAGATCCAGTTCCCTGAGGAAGGCGAAGAAGGCGAGAGGGTGAAAGTAGCCGAGTTCTCGCATAAGACACACCTTTTAATCCTTCCTGCTTTCATGGATCCGGGGACCAAGGTTGAAGTGACGATTGGAGACGAGCAAGAGCCACCTCAACAGAGGGAGGAGGGAATCAATATGACGGCGTTTGAATTCGATGCTACCGAGACGGAGTGGGAATATCTCGGAACGGATATCTATTTGGTCAAGGCCAACCAGAAGATCAGGGTCTACGTTCCTCGAGAGGCTGAAAAGGCCGGTAAACTCGCCGCTGTGCTAGTTTATGGGAAATACGATGAGAACTTTGCCGACCCAAAGGACCGAGAGCACATGCGTTTACATGAACTTTATGATCATGAAACTAGCGACGAGATCCACGAGCAACTCAAGAGAACAAGATGGGCTGGGACAGGGAATGCTTCTGATGAACGTGAGCTCTGTTCTGAGGTTTTAGCAATAAGGAAGTGGGTGGAGGACAGCAAAAAGCGGTCGGTTGAAGAAGCGGATGAAGAAGATGGAAAGGATGGAGAGGAAGAAGGCGAGGACGACGAGGAAGGCGGAGGGAATGAAGATGGAGACGATGAGGAACAGGGTGAGCAAAACGATGATGCTCCTGGAACTGACCAGGACAGGGCCAGCCACAAACAACCGGGCGAAGTGGTAGTGCTATCTTCCAGTATGCGTACTGCTGAGCAGGAAAGGGTCTGTAGCAAAGCTCCAAGTGTTATGGCTGTGTTATCGTCCAAATAGTAGCTTCGACCGCATTACATGCATAGAGTGAGCGAAGTGGTGCAGAATATATGCAGAAAGCATGATATCAAACGATATTAGTGCCGACAACTGGCAAGTTTAGATTATTGACATCAGTTCCTATAGATTTGGCTTTTTTCGTTTCTAAATGGCTTTGCTGTGTGCTCTATAGTAGAATAAGGAGAGGGGAAGGGTTTACACTCCCAGGCCCTGCTACAGAATTCTCAAACTCTAGAGTTCAAAATGCTCATCTCCAATCGAAATGAATACCAGAATGTACGAGTACCTAGACTTGAACTTGATCGCATACCTGGACGAATACTGAACTTGATTGAAAAGAATCTCCGGATTTAGCTAGTATGAGAGCCTGAAAGGTCTTATTTCGGTAGCTTGAGTGCTCTTAGCCCTCAGAATGAACTTTTCCTCACCGAAATTTTGTTATTACATCACTCAAGCGGTGAGTTCACAGACCAACACATCCCCAGAACCCAGGAATTCTTGGCCTTACAGGGATGCCGACAATCGGCTTTGAATCACAAGGGAACGTCCATAATGAGTAGGCTAATAACCAAAAGTTATGGGAGAATGTGGTTATAGGGGTGAGCTGATTTACTAAATCTCAATAGCTTGTATTCTCACTCCCTAGCACAAGTACCTGAGGGAGCTCTCTTCCAAGAGTTATCTATCCCTCTCACCTTTTGTAACATCCAATGATCAACTAAAACTCTCAAAGAAACCATCGTGACAGGCTGGAATATGTCTCTTTAGTTGTTATTCTTTCAATCGATTGAATTGCATTACAAAGCCTTGATTGAGTTCAAATGCACATCATTTTGATTTAGAAACATGATTCATCATTTGATATAGTTCATTAGACATAAATACAGTGCCTGCTGTACTCTAAAATTTCCAGCTCGAGACCTTGACATCAACCTCAAACACATTTGTGTTACCATCCGCATCTCCTACCATCAATAGTTTCGAGTCACGAGAAAACGCCAGCTCCGTGACAATTCTTCCACTAATTATTTCTTGAATAGATTGTACTTCCTTCCCCGATTTCGCGTCCGAGATAGCTATTCGGGTCTGACCGTATGCTATCGAGCTGTATGCCACAAATCGGCAGTCGCCGCTGACGCATGTCACTGTGTTAGGTACTTGATAGACATGTGTAATGTTGCCAGACAAATCCCATACAAGCACATGCCGTGTCGAGCCAGCCACACTAGACAGTTTCCACTCGGGCAGTCCCGTTCGAGGGTGTGCTTCTCTGTAGACATTGTGACTTGGAGGGACCCAGACAGAAATGACAGTATTCTCATGTCCAACAAGGATGGTGGGTACTGCCAATTCGATCTCCGCGTGGTGTAGAGGTCTGACGAAATGCCGCGGAGCATGGGACACCTCCCTGTAATCGGAAATGTCCCACGCGACGAGCATGATCTCTCGGTCTGGCGGCGGCTGCCCGGCCTTCGCGCTCTTCGGGCCTATGGCGGCCACCAGCAGGTGAGAGCTCGACACAATCGCCAGCTCGAGCTGTTGGGGCACATACGGGAACTCCGCCTTACGTAGATCGATGATGCGGACTTTAGCATAGGGCTTCTTGCTCGGCGCGGCCGTGTACACGTCAATGACGCAGGGCCTGGCCTTATAGACGGCCAGCGGATTCCACGTGGAACTATATGATTCGAACCGGTCTGCCGCCCAGCGGTCGACCTGGTCATCGATGGTCTGGACTTTCTTCTTCTTGGCCCAGTTCCAGATCTCGAGCGTTCGCCCGAAGTTTGTTATGATGGCTGCCAGTTTCACCGAGTCGGAGATGAGCATGTGGCCCACCTCATAAGTATCTCTGGCCCGCTTCCCGGCGTCAATATATGTCGGGACCTCGATTGTAGTTTGGAGAGCGCCGCTCGCGATATGCCAAAATTGGAGGCTGTAATTAGCATGTTTAATGGCGACGACTGATCCGTTATGTGAGACGTCCATGGCCTTCACCTTGGACAGCCCCTTTCGCTTCCCTACTATTCCAAGTTCTTTCCAAAATATTACCTCAACATCGATTTGGGGTGCTTTTCTGGGGCTAGTTGGTGGGTTTGAAGGGGCTCTATGAGAAAATATAGCTGGCAGGCGCGATGGTGAGGTTGATGTCCGGTCGGTTGGGGAGGAATAAGTAGTTGAGGATAGTGAAGACACCTCTGAATCCATGGTCGAAGGCGCAATTATTGAAGGCGCACCCTGCCGATTAGAGTGGGATCTGGACGGCGAAAGAGGAATGGACGGCAGAGGCTTCACCGGTGGCGGGTAGAGACTTGGTTCTATTGGGCTGATGGGGCTAACATTCGACCCGATTGATGGATTCCTCCCTGGGCGCGCCGAGTAGGCCGAGTAGGCAGAGATGGGCGATATGGACCCGCGATTACTGCTATTCTGCGGTGGTTGCGTGCCATGTTGGCTGTCATCGAATGGAAACGAGTCTTGCTCGACCTCGACTTCGGTAAGTGGCCATGCGATATTGGGCGTGTTGTGGGTGGGTATCGCAAACTGGCTGCCCGCTATGGGAGGAGGGTTGTGATATCGGTACTCGATGGGGATGGAAACCTTGGGCCGAGCGGCGGCCCTCGACCGCGAGTTCTGTTGTAAAGGGGCCTGGGGCTCGATGGGCTCGATGGGCTCGATAGGCTGAATGGGCTCGACGTGGTGATGCTCAGGATTCCTTGCATCCTCGATCATGCGTGTTCGTGCGTCAGACCGAGGGGTGCCACCGACACGGAGCCATGATAGCGACTGTAACATTCTATAAAGCCCCGTTAGCAACTGCTTCTTCTGTCCCAAGCAGGAAGAGGAGAAAGGCAGATGGGCTACTCACGCTGCAGCGTCAATTGCCGATGAAACTGGACGGCTATCCGTCCGTCGTTCTTCCTTGGATCTGTCATCTTCGTTGGAGAATCGTGCATCGGTTCTTTTGCTTGTCGTTTTGCGTGTGCCGGACGGAGTGGAGCGGCCTTTGAGGAACTCCATGTTGATTCATCTGGTATTTCAACGCCTTGAAGTCACATGCTTGAAAATTGTCATCAATTGGTTGGGCCATGCATAAATGGGCGGTCAGTGGCAAACATCAGTCGATTTGTTCAGCGATTCACAATTGACCGTGGACAGCGTGGGAGTTGGGATGGACAGGTTCATGCTTGCGTTAAAGGGAAAGACAAGAGGGATGGGACAGAGAGATATTCTTATTGATGCAGATCCTAGATAACGCAACGACCAGGGACAGGCACCAGCCAACAGGTTGGCTGGCCCCTTGGCATCTTCCCCACCACACCCTCCCCAAACAAGTTGATAGCCCCCAGCAGGATCCCGGCGTAGGGACCTCATTGAGCAACTGGCTAACTAGTGCCTTGAGGAACAGGGGGAGGAATCTACCAACCATTTCTCCACAAGGCAGGCTGTTAGACAGGAGGATGGGCGATCAGCATTGTTGGCGCTAATTGAGATGACTTATCCCCATGTTCTGGTCTGATCACCAACTGTCTTACTGAATGATATCAGAGTGACTGGGGCCTGGACCTGGGTAATCGGCATGGCCGCCAGGGGAATTTTCTATTGGTGGTTCATCCTGCAGTCATATCAGGTGCGTTGCTCGCTGAGCGCAACCCTACTATCCAACCAATTGAGACCATCAAGCTCTACTTGCTCAGCGGCCCTCGCGAGAAATAAGTCCAATACGGTTCAAGGGCCTTCAAGCGAAAGTTCAGCTCGGGTTTGAAAAGTATGCGCATAAGCGGCAAAGCAGGGGTCTGACTGCGTTATCACATGCCTAAAACTGCTTCGCGTTGCTGTCAGCTACAAGCGACTACCCTATGTCTGTTTAACCATCTAAAATTTATCTATCAATTTGAATTACCAAATTCTTAATGTGAATTAAATTGACAAGGCCTCATTTTTGTATCACCAACAAAATGTACAGAGAGACCTCGAAAAAGCCCAAACATAAAATCTCCACCCAAGGCTGATGTTCCAGTGGATGTCGGTATAAATCAGCAAAATATCTTTCCTTGGACAGAGTGTGAAATGGGCTCTCTCTGGAGGGTTCGTCGTAAAGTTTGTGACGACAGTGTTGATATGAGTTGATTCTTTGTTTTCTCATAATAAAGGCTGTCAATGCTAAGCTGTGGTAAGAGCAATCGCACGGTCATTTTGAAGTATCGAAAAAAAGAAAGAACACACCGACTTCTGGCTTTTGTACATCGGCTATCGGTCGCTAGGCTAGCAAAAGCTCAACATATTTTCCTCTTCTGCAGCCACCAATAAACATCCAATTGAAGGTGAGCCTAGTGCTGAGCTAAGCCAATATAAAAACGGGGCTCTGATAAGATAACATTATCACGTGAGTCACAGGTGGCCGGTCTCGGACCCGCCAAGATCCAATAACGACACGACACCAGACGCAATTGATTCTTCGAGGCACCGCAACTCCAACCGGCATTTGCCATACTCTTAGTCTCCAGCCTATTATGAAACTCTAGGCGACGTTTAGCAAAGAGTGAGGAGCTGGGTATCCCGATGAGCGAGCTCACACTTGAGCAACTGAAGGCTATCCACAGCCGTTTCCCAGGGCACAATTCGCTTGAGCCCGAGGTCCATGAAGCCTAAATTCACGGCCGGCTCATTATATAGGTCTTCAATGCTCAAAATTAGAGCTCCCCTAGTAACGCCTAACAAACCTCATAGTAGAACACTATCAGCGCCAACTGTAGGTGAGTTCCAGATTTAAACAAAGAGAAAATAGATTGTAAACATGAGAATAAATCTACATTGCAAGTGACATATGTATCCACAGAAAGAAGGCTGAAATATTTAAAAAAATTACTGGATAATACATCATGGATCTGAGTAGCCAAGTTGTAGAAATTGGTCAATACAACATGAAGCCGCTAGAAGTTTACGGGAGAGGAGGCGGCCTAGGACTTCGGGAGTCATGCTGTAGCATCTGAATGAGCAGCTGCATCTGATACGCAAGCCTGTGAGAAAGAAACCACCGATAGCGTTAAATTCGAGTAAAGCAGCATAACGTATGATGTCCGACAACACCCGTTTTTACCGACTATGATAATGGTAATTCGTGTTAAGTACTCTATGACGGGAAGTGATAGAGTTTTCGAAACCGAGACGCAAATTGACAACATTTGGCTAGAAAAAAAGCAGTCCTAGATTCCTCCTGGCGCCCGAGTCCATAGTTTGGCTAGCAAGAGATTGGCTAGGACTTGTCTGACTTTGGCTGGCTTGGCTGGTGATGGTCTGGGTTGCTCCGGTCGTAATCGTTCCAGTGAGGCTCACGTTATTTTCCAGGGCTTCAAAGACATTGACAAGTTGTTTTCCACCGCAAATGGTGTTGCTGTCGCCAGAGCACGGTATATTGCAATCGGCCTGGGTTTTCGTCCACTCGCCACCCACGAAGGTACTGCACCAACACTGATTGCCCTCCCGGACACCAGAAAATTTGAAACCACGGCGGTAGCATGAGTCCTCGCATTTGGGGATCGTCAGGTCAGTGTTTCCTCCGTCCGGACTAAGTTTATACTCTAGGACGGGAAATTCACTATCGTCATCGTCGTAGCACCCTCTTGCTTTCCAAGAGGTTGGGGATGGAAGCAATGCGGTTGACGTTGAGCTCGTTTTGTCAGGGATATTCTTCGAGGTTGAAGTTGCCGTTGTCAGTGTGTGCTTTGGTGATTCCGTTTCCAGCCGCCTCTGCGTAACGATACAATATGACTGTTCTTCCCACCTCCCGCAATCGAGCCCGACCGACGGGTTCCATTCAAAAAACTGCTCGGGGGTGATACTAAAATAGTCTCTGACAGACTCGCATGACTCATCACCAGAGTTGTCGTACCAATCGACGCAGTCTTTTGCTGTTTCGGGGTCCCATTGCAGCAAGGGCTTGGGGCCGCATCGCCCCCGGTGGGCAAGTAGCGCAATCAAGAACAGTAGTGAGTTCTTCATAACTAGATGAGGGACCTAGAAAACATTCGATGAGGAAAACAAGGAAGTCAATTCCTGGATCTGGGGTGAGCTGTCATGGAGCTCTATGTAAGCGAAAACTTTCAGCGCTACGAATCAGGAAGGGAAGGTGAAATTATAAACGAAATTTCGAATGAATGCCAAGCCCTTGGCAAATCTGTTCCCTTATCTGTTGCTTGACTCATATCTTGAGACTTTATTCTCTTGCAATTGGAGGGTAACCGAGAATGCATATTGGAAAGCAGGTCGAATGGGGATAAGAGCAGGCCAGAAATGATTGATTTTAACGCCTATGAATAAAAAATCCCTTGTGCCGACGAATTGCACGTCCAGACAAAACAAGTCGAGAACAAGAACCTTAGAAACAAATTGAGTCCTCACCTCCTATGCTAAGTCATCGTATATTGTGGTTTTTCTACTTGAACACATACATGAGGCTTCGAGAATACAGACAATCGCTGCCAAGGCCAGCGAAGCAGCTTGCAAAGCGGGCACAAATAACCCTGAGATTCCAGCTCCTGTGTCATCTGTAGGGTGCTGCTTCAGTCGATCGACAAATTGCGTCGGCCGGTAGAGCAGAAGGCGTGGCAAAGGAGAATTTGAAAGTGATGGAGCTACCAGGTTTGGGTGTTTCCGAGAACCGTTTCTCTGATGAGGAATGTACTAGCAGTTTATCCATGTAGCTCGCCCGTGAACAAAACTCGAATTAGGCAGGCCAGCTCGTTAATCCTAGTACGGAATTCAATGGTGCAGATGCAAGCACATACAAACCAAGTTCATTTCTGATTTCTCGACACTGTGCTTAGGAACCGACGAAACGCCAGGCTGAGTTGGTTGGACTTCTGCAATCCACTATTGATTGGCGCGGCATCAAATCTGGGAATATGAACAGAGTCTGTCAAACTGAAGTACTTTTTACGGTCAACAAGTTGGGAGTGCCTTGAAAACTCCTGGATCCTCTCATTTTCTTCAAGGGGGGACTCCTACAGCAGGAAACACTAATTATTGACATTTACGCAAGGTCTCGTCACTGGCGACTACATAGCACCGAAATAAACTTCCAGGTCATCGTCAAGATCCTGGTTGATTTGGCTTTTGGTTAAAAAAGGGATGCTAAGAAGATTCTCCAGTGAGCATCTCTTACTGGGATCTGTAACAATGATCTGCTTCAGCATTTCAAAGACTGCAGCTCTGCTTGGGATCGATAAGCTAAGACTGACCCTCCTCGTGCTTCTCACTTTGCCACGCCCCTCCTTTCAAGGCTACCTCCCTCTTAACGTTGGGCAGCCAATGGCGAGGCTCGTGATTTATATAGTGCGGTGCCCGGGTAAACCAACCCCCCCCCCCCCCAATGCCGAAGCAGGCGCTATTCAGCTTTCAGATATGATCCAGCTATGGAATTTGACTTTAATCGGTCTGGCCAACTTCAGGATTAGCTTTCTATAACCTACGCAGTATTCATTGTATTGAGTTGTCGGGCTCTGGCAGCTTCCATTGCTGTTAAACTTTATTCTCTTTCTCTTACGTATAGCCTACGCAGATAATTTGGTACAGCTCGAGAGGCGGGATAGTACACTGGCTAGCCGCGGCTGGAATGCGTCGTTGACCTAAACTGCCAATTATTAACGCCACGACAGAAACTTACCGAGCCGGATTCCGATAGACAGTAATATCGTCTAATGCCAGCTTTTGAAGGTGTCGGAATCATTATCTTAACTTTGAGCTGTTTGAAAGGGCCTCCGTGCCGTAACTAGAGCCAAGATATGTGACAGCTAATTGGTCTCGGCTTTGATACTGACTGCCATGATGTACCCTTGCTTCAAAATGCCAATGGAGGGCTGATATGATGTATGTCAAACAGCTGCATCACGGTGTACGAACTCTAGCTAGCTATCCAATGGCGAATGTAAAAGCATGTGGCTACCATCGGATTTTCCTGATGTGGCCTTTTAACGTTTGACGAAGGCTACAGACTTGTGTGGAACCTACCCACCATCCTCAGAGGCTGATACAGGACATTCAATCAATCAAAGTCATATTCTCGTCTATAAGGCGGATAAACGGCACTGCATATATTAGAGCATGTGAATTGCACAGCTACAGATAGCGAAGCATTGGCTTCCGAGTAAAAAACTTTGCTAGAATTCGCATTATAAAAAGGGCTATCATTGACTTGTAGGGTCGAGGAAGGATGATTCCAGAGACTCTGTTGATTCGCATCCAATTCCCTTCTCCAGGATATCATCTGGCAACTAAACGCAATGAAGAGGCTCAACGCATCCCTCAAGGGCCTCAAAACAAACTTGAGCGCATTTTGCAATCTGCAGTCTAAAAAGATCAGACTGGCTACTCAATTGTTTCTTTTCGTTATCATACTTATTTCTTATGTGCTATATCTTTTACTCTTTCTAGATCCCTCCTCATTTCATCAGTCATCTTTCCTTCAACCTAATGTATCTGGGCTTAAGCCAACTACTGCAGTCTCCTTGATTTCTGCAGTCTTTGTTGCGGCGAGCTCCACATTCGTAACGACGTGTGTTGAGCAGTCACTCTGGGCCAAGCTAGCCCCAAGAGCTGTCAAAAACCCGCTGACAGTAGGAGAGACGCGTCGTCTCGCACAATGGGCTGTTTCTCCTCTTGGTCGACTCTCCTATCCCTTAGATGGAACCTCGATTCTTCTCAAATTGGCTGGTCCATTACTTTTGGCCTGCGCTATTGTCAATTCGGTTCTCGTCTCGGGTATCTCGGTCTCGACTCATTCATCGTCAGTTGATACGACCTCCCAAGCTACCGTGGACATGTGGAGCGGCTTCCTTGATGCAGCGAATTTCCAATATAACGGCGGGCTCTTCTCTGATATTCCCAACGAGGTCGCTGCACTGGCATACCTTAACAACCTCTCCGTCCCATCTTCTAGCCTTTGCCAAAGCTCAGACTGTTCTCTGGGGGCACAAGTAGGGGCAATCCAGGCAGAGTGCATAACAGTTAGTGCTCCACATGGTCCCATGAGTTCCACGGATGAAGAGAATGAAACCTATACCAGCGAGTACAATCCCGATATTGCAGTTATCCTGACCCGTGGAAGCCCATACACCTATGCTAATTTTACATCCTGGTTCACTAAAAGCTGTGGTGAAAATGTAAATGTGAACCTGTGTCTGGGAGAATTTGCAGTTATTTTTGGCGCCTTTGTTAATTTAATGCCGTCAGCAACTGGTGGGCCAATTGTGAATACGATAGACTGTCTCCTTACATACGGCAGTCTGAACATCACACAGACCGGCACCGGAACTCCCGCAATTATGGCGGGATCCTATACCGAGGCAACCTCCGCGGGACCAAATGACTCTTCTATAGCCTCCATTAAGCGGATATATACAGACTCATTTGACAGAAGCCCATACTATTTCACCGCTAAGTCTGGAACGGAAGACACGACGGATACCCTCTACAACAGTGCAGTTGCCACATTGTTAATCTCACCTAAAGGAAACTCCTCTGATAAAGAGGTGGGTGACCGTATAGAGGCTATCTTCAATACTGCTACGTTGATGGCATTTACACGCGTTCCTGGTGCGGCGAACGTCACCACAACAACTACGACTTCGGGTCCGATTTACGTCTTTCACCCGCTTGTGTTGCTCATATTGCTTATTCCCCTTTTTTCTACTGTTTTGGGGGGATATCGCCGGCTAAGGGTTGAGGGGAATAGTCTCTGCCCTGGATACGATCCCGTGGAGATTGCCAGACGCGGGTCTGTCGAAGGGATCAGCGACTGGAATGGGGATAATCTTGCTGGTATTGACACGGTAGATGACAGAAAGGTCAGGATGTTGACGAAGCGTTATGGTGATCAGCGGACATATGGCTTAAATGTACTGTAGAGCAGTATCACAAGAAAGCTCTCATACCCTAATAGTAATTGTCTTTTTCATTTCCTTTTCATCCTGCAAAGGCTATGACAACGGTTTCATCAGCAGTGATGATCCAAACTCATCGATTTCGCTATCGGTCTTTACTAAATAACCTTGAGCAATCCAAAGAACGGTATTGTGTTGCATTTTGATGACTAGTGTTTCTGGTTGGATATGCCTGAATTCACATTGAACCTATTCAACTATCACAGAGGCTAGGGTGTTAGTCGTGCATCCAAGGGGACATGTTGTTCGGCACAACAGCTGGGGTATTTACAATATTCTATGTTGATTCACAAACCGAACTTTAAGGTTCTGAATCACATCTACAGAGATGATTTGGACCATTTACTAAATAGAGCTTACTAAATAGAGCTGCCTCAGATCTACGGCGTATTTGTCAGGTATTTTCTCTCTTCAGATCTGTGCTAATCTATAACTCTAAGGTAAATCACCGAGCGGTTTATGTTTTTGTGATTGAAAATGCCTTGTAATGCACAGGGAGCTAGAGCTATCAACATACTCTGCCTGTTAGACATTTTAGCGATCTCCTGACACAGCTCAACACAAAGTCAATTCCCGGAAAAGAATTCTATGGACGAAATATGCATCCGTAGCATCACAGACTTGTATGATTCCGAGATGGAAACTCCATTTTATATGGCATATCCATTCCGGGTTCTTGGACTTAGTTCCCCCCTGCTTCCCCAAAATGAGAGGGTATATCGGTGTGCATTACAACGAGGGTTGATAGTTGCCTAAGGGGCGTGGTTCCAAATCATTCTATTCACTTTATATTCCTTGTGCCCAGGGCATTGCTATATTTATCTAACAACACATGTTCTGTTAAAGGCGTATCTATTCTACTTGCAAGCCCTAAAGCTTGGCATTCAGCCTTGGCGATCCGTGGAAGCAACAACGTCTATTTGCCAATAAACGAGCTTGGCAAAATCTCGATACGAGCTCGCGTGTCACTGGCATTCTCGAATTGCCAGACACGGGATGGCATATAGACAAGCCATGCTTATGTGGATACCAATGCAGATTATGCTTGCAAATATTGGTTTCTATACGCCGCCAGCCCCGGATCGACTGGGGGAAGATGCAGTGAGACCGACAAAATGAATCCATGCATGGGGCAATTACCGCTATACGAAGATTGAAAAGTGCTGCCTTTTTAACCCCAGTCCGTGCTGGCTCTCAACACGGCCACAAAATAAATAAAGAGCTGACCCTTTCACCTAGCCGGTGATCTTTTGGTATTGCCTAACCAAATGGGAGCAAGTGCACTGAGAGAGCGGATAGCCTGGACGGAATACGACCAAGATGCGTCTTTGTGTACTTCTGGCTACCGTTCAAGTGGTGCTCGCCATTCCGACTCTGCGAACCGAGCCTGCTCCCCTATTCCTACGCACTGAGGATACTGATGTCATCGCTGATCACTACATCATCAAATTCAGGGACACAAAATCTCGAAGATCAATAAACAACGCCATAAATACCCTTCAGATTGCCCCTGCCCATACATTTGAGCATGTGTTTAAGGGGTTCGCTAGCAAGCTCTCCCCAGAAACTCTGAACGCCCTTCGCAACCACCCAGATGTAGGTAATACTTCAAAATAGGCAAAAAATATTCCTTGCGTTGTTTCAGTTCTGATTGTAGGATAGGTTGAGTATATTGAGCAAGACTCCAGTGTCTCGGTGGATGGCTTTGTTGATCAAGCTGATGCACAATGGGGGCTTGCGCGAATCTCTCACCGTGAACCCAATCTCTCGACTTATACACATGACAGTAGTGCCGGTGAGGGAACCTGCGCCTACGTGCTTGATAGCGGAATTGATGTTGCGCACCCTGTAAGCTCTCTCCATGTGCTTCAACGATACCCTTCCAGCCTCGAATGGTTTCTCGTCGGACTAGCGTCGTTAATACTTTTCTAGGATTTTGGAGGTCGCGCTAGCTGGCTTGCCAATTTCATCGATTCGTCGAATCGTGATGGGAAAGGTCATGGGACGCATGTAGCAGGTATCATCGGCTCCACCACATATGGTGTTGCAAAGAAAACAACGCTCTATGCTGTCAAAGTGATTGGTAACGGAGGCATGGGAACGACATCCAGCATGATTGCTGGTCTTGAGTTTGTACTTTCCGATGCTCCAACGCGCCACTGCCCAAAGGGTGTCGTAGCCAATATGTCGTTGCGAGACAACCCATCGGCATCACTAAACGCTGCCGCTGCCGCCCTGGTTAGCAATGACATCTTCCTGGCGGTGTCAGCGGGAAACAACAATCTCGACACATCTAGCCAGTCTCCGGCATCTGAGCCGACTGTATGTACCGTTGGCGCCACAAACTCCACAGATGCTCGCTGGGAATACTCGAACTACGGCCCCGGGGTAGATGTTTTTGCGCCAGGTGTGTCCGTCTTGTCTACGTCTCCTGGAAATTGGACCGTAAGTAATATCAACCGACGGCAAGATAGCAAACAGAAGAGACTGACAATTTACGTAAAGAGTGTCAAATCCGGTACATCTCAGGCTTCGCCCCATGTAGCCGGGTTGGCTGCCTACCTCGCCGCCCTGGAGGGAAATCCAGGAGCTGATGCGCTCTGCAATCGGATTAAAGAGCTTGCCACGGACGGAATACTGTCGAACATTCCTGACGATACTGTTAACAAACTCGCATTCAACGGAAACCCCAGCGGTTAATTAATTGTCATCCCAGAGATTTCATGGAGGGTGTCATCCTGATAACCTGAAGACGCCAGTCATACTATTTGGCATAATACGGGTGAGAGTTCGGGTACACAGTGAACGAGCAATGGAAGATGCCAGACCCGACATCTCAACACAATGAATATTATCATAATACCTTAAGTTAGTTGAATTGACTATTTGATACAACAGAGCAAAGCCGATTTCATCATAGAAGTCATCAAATAGACTCAGCCTGTACTGCAGGACTTGCTATAGCGAGATACACATAAACTTACGAAAATTCCCAGAGCACCATGGCAAAGAGCGTGCCCCAACACTGGCTTGCGGACAGCAATCGGAAGTTTCCGCTCAACCAGCCCCGTCAACATAGTAGCAATCTTGACAATTTTAATCTAGAAAAGGAGACACGCAATATAGCGTCAGTGATGTTTTCCTGGAGGTCTAGGCCGCCTTACGGGAAGTCATTTAGATCTCAAAGCCAATCATTATTGGTGTGGCCTTATTTTAGATTCTTTTGTGATCCAATACCCTTATCAAAGTAAACAAGCTCTTCTTTACCTATCCGTTTATCTTTCTCGAGGAAACAGCGAGTACTTAAATCAACTGCCATAAGGAAGAAGAATGGTGACTTGCGTCTTCAATCAGGGGTCGGCACGGGGCAGTCATAGCCGAGTACAAGGAGATTTACTGCACTAGTTCATTATCTACGTAGTGAAGAAACTGATGTCATTATCTTAATCTAAGGCGTTCCGAGGAGCGAGACTGGCCTGGTAATAAATGAGACACACAGAAATTATTAGATAATAGTCGATGAAACGCAAAATGACATCCCAGCTCCCTGCAGGCGAGTTAGCTGTCACTGTCCCAACAGTAACATGTTGTGAAGCCAAGGTGGCGTGACCTCCACAAATATTAGAACGGAAATTCCACAACCAGATCCAAATAAACCACCAGTGGCATGGAAATAGGGGTATGATAAGTTACGGGAGCTAAGGGAAACTACGCATTTGTTTCTCAAAATTGCTCCACCGATCTACCCGTGTGCCGTGTTAACGGATCGTAGGCGAGGCCGCGGACGCAGAGTCGCATCCGCTCAGCTGATTGCGCAAGTCGCACGCCAGGAGGCCCCTGTTTTGTGGACATCCGACTGATATCCTTCGACTGGGATGAAAGCAATAAGGGGGTTAAAATAGCACACGGCATCCAATGAGATGAAGCACGCGTATCTTGTCATGTTACCTTGATCGTTCGAGAACTTTACGTTGCGTGGAGCTGTCTGTGGCTGTGGGCTAGGAAGAGACAGCTTCTGCCCCAATCAGGCTGCACGTGGATCTCCTTGTGTCAGCCCCAAGCTTCCGATGGCCTTGCATTGGGCAGCTTGGAGCCTCATTCCGGGATTCCCTGGGCATCGCGATGCCTCCGGACCTTGCTGACACGCCACGGATCATCTCCTGTCATCGACATAAATCACGAGACTACTCCCATCCTTCTCTGGTCTACGCTGCCGACCTATCCATCTACTCACCTCTCCACTTTGATATAGATTGTGGCTTCGATAGGCCAATTTGGAAGCAGGTAATCCATGTACAACACTCTCCGTTCCCGAGAATCTCCCCACTAGTAAGGAGCAAGGATGTAGTATTGAGAAATATAAATATAATGCCATTTGCCAGTAGCGATTAACCCCGAGACAGACTAAGGCCAACAAATTGTTACAAATCTCACAATGGAGGTCACATACACTGTCTTTCGTGGAGGGCCAGAGGGCAAGATCTCCCAAGATACCGTCACTCGAGTTCTCGAAGATCACGAAGTCTTCATCGAGACCACGCATTCCGGACTTTGCGGTACCGACGAGCATTATCTCAAGTGCGGCCAGGTGTTGGGGCACGAAGGAATAGGCATTGTTCGCCAAGTTGGGAGCTGTGTGCAATCGGTCCAGCGTGGCGATCGAGTCGGCTTTGGATACACCCATGAGATATGTGGAGTTTGCGATAATTGCGCCACAGGTATGACCTCTCTCCCACTACAATCACCCAGCGGACTCGGTGTTAAATGATGTACAGGTTGGGACCAGTACTGCAGAAACCAGAAACAGTATGGCTTTCACGACCTTGACAACGGAACCTTTAGCCACAACGCCGTTTGGGACGCAAAGTGCGTGTACAAGATTCCGGATGGCTACAAATCCGTATACGCGGCACCGCTGATGTGCGCGGGAGCTACCGTATGGACTGTCTTGAGCGAGTACGGCGTGCTCTCAACCCAGAGAGTTGGAGTCATGGGGATCGGGGGGCTTGGGCACCTCGCTATCAAGCTTGCTGCCGCCATGGGATGCGAAGTTGTAGTACTATCCAGCTCGGAAGCGAAGCGCCAGGAGGCTATGGACTACGGCGCCAGCGAATACCACGTCTTCCGATGTGGTGACAAGCCTCCTGTGGAATTCAAACCCCTGAAGCATCTACTCTTGTGCGGCAGCGCTTCTGTCGACTATTTGAGGTAACCACTCCGATATCACGTACTTATCATTCAATCTGCAGGACTAACTTCTAGCGTAGTCTCATCCCGCTGATGGACACTCACGGCAGTATTTATCCATTGACGGTAGCGTTTGAGCCTGTACCGATCCCCCTTCTTGATTTGGTATGGAAAGGAGTCAAGATCCAGGGATCGTTGGTGGCTTCGAGGCACAGCATTCGTACCTTGCTGGACTTTGCTGCGCGCAAAAACATAAAACCGACCATTATGACGTTCCCACTTGACGCATGCGGCATCGAAACTGCCATGCAAAAGCTAAGGGAAGGACAAATTCGATATCGAGCCGTTCTTATCCGCGGTATAGACGAGGAACGGACAAGAGAGTGGCAAACAACGGTGGAGGAAGTCAAGGAAACACACTGTAAGGTTGAGTTGAACGGTAAGAGGAGGGTTGACATTAATGGTGGAGTAAACGGCAAACAGAAGATTGCAATGAATGGTGAAGAGAAGGTTGAAATAAATGGTCAAGAGAAGGTGGAAGTGAATGGCGAAGAGAGAGTTGAGATAAACGGTAGAGAGCTGGTTGAAGTAAATGGTGGAGAGAAGGAGTAGAAGATTTGGATGATTAGACGGCGGAGGATAAATTAGAGCAGATAGCGGTCATTACTACAATATTAGAACCCTTATTACATCGAGCTAACGAGGCTGACAATGCTGTGCATAGGGGAGGTTACTTTGACCTTTGCCTGCAACAATCAGTTACCGGAGACATTATAAATCACGTTGATTGTCTGCGCAAATATAAGCAGATGCAGTACTGAGCGTTAACGGTTTGTACGTAAACAAGCCGTCTTATTGTGGGTACTACGTATGAAAATAATTATTAATTACGGCATCCGACTCTATGATGAAGTCAGATGATTAATTAGCTCCGATGAATGCTATAATGCTCGCGATGAGAACTTATTTAAGAGTTTCGTGCCACCTTCATGCCATTTTCTTCGCTCCTGCTACACTTATTGCAATATTGGGTGCTCTAATAGATCTCTTTGCGAAGTTATAACGATGTCAAGCTCTGGTAAGGACGAAACGCCAACAGCAGGAAGGTGAGAAAACTCGAACATCGAAGATCATCTCAATGCTGACATTTGATGAAAGTTTAGACCTAGCGGCTTTGGTTATTCAGGCTCATGGTGGAATAGATCGCTGGAATAAAGTCAGCCATATCGAGCTGTCCCTCAACCTCTCCGGGTCAGCCCTTGAATGGAAAGGGTACCCGGGGCATCGCCAGCCCACATGCTACCTCAATGTCCGGGACACAAAAGTTGTGTTTCAAGGGCTTGGACCTGGCAGTCCAGAAGATAAATGGATTTATACTCCCAAACGGGCATGGATCGAGCGTCGAGATGGCACTGTGTTAGCCTCGAGAGACAATCCTTATGCGAATTTTCTTGACCACACCCGGACAACGCCGTGGGATGATCTGGATTTCACATGTTTCGCTGGATATGCCTTACATAACTACTTGACCTTTCCATTCCACCTCGTTGAGCCCGGTTTTAAATACCGAGAGGTTAACTCGCATGAGGAGAATGATGAGACATGGCGCGTTCTCGAGGTCACTTTTCCGGACCATCATCTGGCGCATAGCAAGAGCCAACTCTTCTACTTCGACGAAGAGTTGATGCTACGCAGAGTAGATTACGCGCCAACAGCTTTCAAGGCACCAGCGGCACACTACTGCTTTGACGTCAAGGAGACGAGTGGCCTCAAGATTCCCACACTCCGACGAGTTGTTCCTAGGATACCGAACGAACCTATGGTGAATGGCGTGCACGCTCTTCGAGGGAGGACGAAGTTGGCAGGACCCACTGTATTTTTGCTTGACTACACCCGCGTGGTCGTTCACGATGAGGACACTCAGACGTCGGAGGGGGTTGAGATTTAGGAGTCCATGAATTGGAAGAAAGATGCACTGATAATGCTTACTGCCGGTAGTTTGTGATTAGTTATTTTCAATAACAGAAAGATTGATAAGGCAGAAGACCGAGGTACTATGTTGATGCTCTCAACAAACGTCAAAAACGCAAATGGCAGAGTTCAACATTAGATACACATCCGTAGCTTCCTATGCTGATCTCCTAGGTAAGGCTCAGGTTGGAAATTTCAGCCTCAATAATATGCTTGGCCTTTTCCTCCCACTCGGTGAAGAAGTTCATTGCATCGTTCATCCGTTTGCCAGCCACGGAATCTTTTTCAATGGCCGCGTCCAGTATCTTCCCATTCCGTGCAACATAATCCGTATCCAATGATGCTGCTGAGTCATTATTTTCCGTTGCTGATAACGGATCTTTTTGTGCCAGTGACTGAAGCCGCTCAGGGGTCGACAGACCGGCATAAGGGTGGGTTGGCTTAGCATGAGTAATTGCAGGGCTTTCATCAGGCGACGCTATCAACTGTCGAAAATTGTCCTGCGATACTGTAACGTGCTGACATCCGAGCTCTGCCATTGCTAACACCTCCTCCGGAGAAAGGTGGCTAAAACACTTAGCATCATCACTTGAATCGCGGTAGATGCGACTGACCTTGCAATGACCATGGTTGGCTGCTCCTCGCCGGTTTCTGTATAAAAAGTCTTGAAAGCTTCCAGCATTTGAATTATCCTAGGCGACATGGGATGCTTCGATGTCACTATTAGCTTGGCACATATTCCCACGATCGTCACTAATCATACCTCGAGTGCCGTATCCGCCACGTTTGGTCGCAGTGCCGGGTCAAAATGTGCTGCGATTTCTGCGGCACGTCAATATCAAGCCACCCAAGAAATTTTAATGTAGGACTGTGAAATACCATTGAAGTATGGGCTGATCAGAAGACACCCGGATTGGCTTGCAGCAATGGCTTGCTCTAGACAAAACACCGCCGTAGCTAAGGTCCTGATTCCTTCGGCATTCAATTTCCTGGAAGCTACGGCGCCCGAGCCAGTGAAGGGGATTTTGATCGTAAATCTATCTCTGGGAACGCCGGCTTCTTCAAAAGCCGCCGCGAAGCGTCGACACTGGTCAACTATTGCCACGTCGTCGTGAATGTGCCTAGGTGACGTTTGGATCAAGACGCGACCCTTGATGAGAGGTACGTTATTCGCACAGATACGGACGGACTATTCCTGCGTTAGAAAAGTTTCATAATGTAACAGTCTATGTGAATATTGTCCTACCACTCTCTCAAAGACAGTCTCCCAACCTTGGGAGCCGTACTTCTTGACACAATCACTTAGAATTGGTCTGTTCGTTGCGGAGGTTATGGTCTGCGTTATAATAGCCTGATTTGATGTTTCTACTGCTTGTCAGCTGAGGTCCGCGCTTGAATCATTGAGTAAAATGCTTACGGTTGTATGGCTTCAATGGAAGGCTCTTGATGAATTCGATGTCAGCATCATCGACATCGACATTGCAGAGCTCATCGAGCCTATTAAGCAGGGTGCGGCCAGCCATCTTGGGTGCCTAGCTTGAAGGACTGGGGTCACGTTGGAATGATAAGAAGCGAAGTTGACATCACTGCCTCGGGAGCTTTCTTCTAATTCAAGATTGATAGCTCTTTATAGTTGATCGACTACAGGATTAGCAGGTCGGCGAAGAGAACGTGCGGGTCGATGCACCTCAAGGGGTAAGACACCGCGGTGACCAAGTTGAACGCCGCGGAATTGATTCGGTGGGGGGCCAACCACAAACGACCTAAACATAGGCACCTTGAATGATGTTGCCATTTCCTGCTTCCTACGTAATACAGTATCCAACCTACTGACTTTTTTTCTGGTCACCAGACCTTGTTCGCATAATTTGTGGGGAGATCCCCGAGCTTGAAGCAGGCCAGTCCAAATACTCGATGGGGAAATGGTCCGTACTTCTTCAAACCACCTTCCAGAGTGCATCAACGACATCCAGGAGGTTTTCTATCAATCTAGCTAGTTTCTAGCTAACTTCGATATTTGCCAGAATTGTATCTCCCTTACCTGCTCTGTCGATGGTATCTAGTATCCGACACTCCGCATGCTTGGCGGCAGAGGATCTGATCTTTGCTGCTGGCTGGAGTGGACCACAAAACTAACCCGTACATAAAATCTGTTTAGATACTGCGTATAGCCGAACGCTAACGTTATTTCGAGCCTCCGAATCTAGGAGAAATGTGGACTGAGGAGTCTGCTGACCAATATAGTTGGACCGCTTTGTAGTACCACCCACTTGGCCTCTAAGCCCCAGACAAGGCGGGATTTCCTCTTTCGATATCTGCGTCTCTTCGCTTCCCCGCGGGCTTTAGCCCTCCGCTTGCTCCCCTTCAACTCACCAGCATCACATTTGGTTAAGCCTGTTCCGTAGACTTCGGTAGGGAGGCTATCCGCAACTCAATTACTAATTAGCCACAATGCGGCGACAAGCTCAGACCAGGAAGTCCTCGCAAGGAAGTCCTCAGATCCCCAACCCGCAAACGCCAATGCCGGCTACAGCCTGCTACTCTTGTCGCAATGCAAGGCAAAAGTGTGATCGCCAGCACCCCTGGTATGTGGCCACTATGAAGCAACAATAGCCCTCAATCTCCTTTTTGTTTGCATGGATAGATCCTGGGGCTCACGAAACTAAATAAGCTCCCGCTGCAAGGTTTACGGAACGGCTTGCTCGTACCCCAGTAAATCTAATCGCGGCCGGAAACCTGGAAGAGTGAAGTGAGTGAGTTTCCGCCAGGTGGGATAACTGTTGAAGGTTGACATAATCATTTTTTATGCTAGCAAGCCACTCGGATTGAAATATCTATTGTCTCGTATTTCAGATCCGGTCCTGAAGGAAAATATCAAAGCTGCAATTGTGGCAGAACGAAGTCACGAGACACCTGATGAAACCGGTTCGATTGATCTAGAACCACAAGCAGAGCACTGGAAAACCCCTAGTGATCAAGATTCTTCTCGAGAAATCGCCAACGACATACTAGGAGACGAGAACATATCACCCTCACCCCTGGAAAATGGTTCACAGCTGTATCTAGAGCACCCAGACTCCGATAATCCCAGGCGCGGCACCTATTCAGCATCCCATCGGCACAGGGCTACTGACCAGAGTGAACATTTTCCGATAGTCACCAGCGACGATCTATCTGAAACTGATCTTGCTGAATCTCAATGCTCCCCACTGTTGATCTTAGCAGCAGCTGTTGGAGTGGAAAGATTTCCTCCTGGATCAAGTAGCAAAGGTTGGGCAGGGAGGCCAGTGCCGCCACCTCGCTTTCCAGAGCCTGTTTCCCAGTCAGGCCAGTTTCAAAAGGATCGTGCCGCAATGATAGCAGATAGCAAATTGGCAAAGTATTTTGGTCAGTCCTTCATCATTACCGAAGTGAATATTTGGCAGGGCTTAACGACATACGGTTAAAGGCCAATGCTAATCTTTGCCTTTCAGCTCCAAGGGAACTTGATCTGAGGGACTGGGACGTGATGACTGGAATACCACCAGACAGTTTTTGTCGACTGAATCCCGAAGTTTGCGACCCTGTTTCTGCAGGTCTTGTCAATGAACAAGAAGTTTTGCAATACTTCAAGCTGTATTTCAAAATTCGCCACCCTTCCGTGGGCATTCTCGATCCAGATTTACACACGGCAGAATACGTGCACGGCTGTTCATTCACATTATTCTCCGTCATCTGCGCTCTAGGATGTGAGCTCTCGATTAGTCATCGAGACATTTTGCTCGCACCTCTGCTCTATAATATGGCCGAACGAAACATAAAGTGGTCCATTCTGAACTCAGTGAAGACTGTTGAGATTATTCAGGCCATTATAATGTTTACGTTCTGGAGCCATGCCGCTCAGAATTACGCTGACGATCCTTCCTGGCTTCGCTTCGGTCATGTAAGTCTCCCTGATGAGCTAGTCAATATGTTTCCCTGTCTAACGATATGACAAATATGGTCGTTATTACATCTAGGCCTTGTCAATTGCCCGCGAACTCAAGATTAATGACTCTTTGTTCATTCAGAAAAAAGTCAACAACTTCAACGCGTCCAATAGAAACATATACGCCGGCATCCGTGATCGTCAGGTTCGCAACTATGAGAGAACGTGGATTTTTGTTTTCCTCATGGACAAAAGTTTTGGCATCACCATAGGTCGCGCACCCTGTGTTTCCTGGAGAGAGATGCAGCCGGATTTGTACGCTTGGGCTCGTGCAACTGGCAGCGCAGCTGGCGATCTCGCCATTACGGGGATTGTTCAGCTACGCATCAACTTGGTAGGCATACCACGCTGCAATCTCTTCTCTGCGTTACTTACTGGGCTCTTATAGTTGCAAGCCTTGGAGAAACTTTTTGGAATGCATAAGACTCTCAGCTCTATTGCTGAGTGGGATAGAAGTGCTTCATCAAGGCTTGAAGAGCTAAAAGGGACGAGTTATTCTCGGCAAGACGGCACTCAATTGGAATCAATGTTCGCGGCTGTTTTTACCTTCGAAGTCAACCATGGCCTTTTGCTTATTCGAAACAACACGTACAAGCACTTAGTAAAGCTAAACGCTTCGCAAGATAAGATCAATAACGTTCTCCATGAAATCTTCAACATCAGCTGCGAGATTATCCGTCTATTCGTCCATGACGCAAGGCTCAGCTCTCTGGCGTCAGGCTATCATAATACTCCATTCGTCATGATATCCCATGCAGCAACAGAAGTCATCAGGGTGAGTAACCCAAAATGTGTCCTAGAATACCACGCTAGCTAAAACAGAGAAGTCGTTCAAGTGTCCCGCAATCTCGCAAGACGCGCAAGAGCAAGCCTCGACACTGATCCGGAACCTAGCAGAGCACTTTGGCAGAATTGCAAATAAGCTACCAAGCACCTCTTGGGCATCGCTATATCTGGAATACAGCTTGTTCTTAGTGCGTAAGCTGGAAAATATCCCATGTGTTGCGTCTAGGGGGTCACAAGGAACTTTAGACCACCACACGGGTCAAAACTACAACAAAATAAGCATCAGTCTAGATGACGAACCTCAATCGTCTTCAAATGCCTGGGACTTCAATGGTGCAGCATTCTTTGAGATGGGGAACAGTTTATGGCAGGATAACTCTGCTAGTTTTCTAGGTGTTGATTCCGGGCAAGGGAGTCTATTTGGTGGAACAGGAATGTAAAGTATTTTGAAGTCTCCATACTTGCTTTTAAGTTGGAATCTTTCAGGAAGTCTTTCAGCGCCACTATAGGATCCAACCATACGATTTTCTGGAATAAGTACGCTTTAGTTAAATTTGCCATCTGCATGCAGTTTCTAGGATCAATTCATAAATCGGGGGTTGCTCAGCTCACTTTGTTGCGGGTGGTGTCTGAAGCCCAGTTTCGGGTCAGTGCATAATGTTGTGGTCTCAATAACTCACCCCATAAAGTTTGTTTCCTGCTTAGATCGAGCCCAGAAAACAACTACATGAAGGCATCAAAGCAGTTACAGGTTGTGACGAGCGAAAAGCTTTATAGATTCAATCAACGTGATGTTAGAGAAAAGACACCAACGAGATCTAGCCTTTTTGTGCACAATTTAGGAGAGCCCAATTGAACTGAACATGATCCTCTGGCCAATGACTCTAATTTTGATGCACTGATTTATCTTTATTTAGTTAATGTGGTATTTAGACATGCCTTTGTACTATTTCAAATAAAACAAAGGTCAACGAACAAAGGCCCGAGGTGTTCGACATGCTCGTAACATTTCATACAATTGAAAAGAGGATAAAGAGATTATTCAAATGGATATTACTGTATTAATAAGTGAGAGATAAGAGAGCTATGCAGGTCATGCGGCAACTGCTGGGGGGTAATACCCGAACACCAAGAAATCGACAAATTGATGCTATGCCCAGTATCACAACACGGTCAACATACCAGAGTGCAGCCTTTTGCCCGGCTCTATATAATACTTAAGGCTAATAATGACTTTTTCCTGGCATGGCGACTCTTTCGTCGACATGACTGCGTACTTATGAAAGATCCCATATCCAATTCGCACATTGTGTTCATTGTGTTGAGATGTCGGGTCTAGCATCTTCATTGCTGTTTTTTTTTACTTGTACTCGAAACTCTCTCTCCCATCCAATTCGCACTTCGCTGCCTGGTTCATCACGCAAAAGCCAAGTTTCGAACAACCGACCGAGCCTGTGCCTCACACGATCAACCCAGTCACAAGCAAAGGCAGCATCAAGCCTACAAAACCCGAATGCCATGATAGCAACAGTGTAACTGAATGATAACAGGCGTTGGTAAGGTGAGGCATTGTCACCCATGCGCGCATGCCCATTCGATTGTAGGACAATGCCCATCTTATGGCAGGATGGTGCTCATCCGGTGGCAGTTCAGTGGAAATGTTAATCTCAGGAACAAAGGATACGGAAGAGAGTTGGAGTGTAAAGTTAAACAACAATGGAAGATGCCAGACCCGACATTCCAACACAATGAATGGAGGAACAAAGGATAAACTTGCATAAATAGGCGTGCGCTCTCCAGTTCTCCCCGTCTGAGAGAAAGGTGCTTTTCAACGAGTTACACATCACAGAAAGTTCATTCAACCCAACCGCTTTCAACTCTCGTAATCTCAGAATCTCATTCCAGTCATGCCCCCATCATCGGGCATTGAAGTGGAATTGCCCGGCACTGACGTTAGTGGCCCGGAGAGCTATCTACAATCGCTGCCCGCTGAGCTGATACAGCAAATTGCTGAATATGTGTCCGAAGACCTGGTTATGGCCACGGCACGGGATCTGCTATATCTATCGCTCACCTGCACACGAGTTTTTCCCATTGCCATAGAGCTTCTCTACAAGTTCAATGAGCGAATGGTCAACAGTACTTGCCCCTTCAGTACAAGCTTGTGGAGCGAAGGGGGGGGTGCTCTTCTGCGACATGCACCGAGGTTTCCACCTTCCTGCCCTCGGATGGGCATGCAAGCGTGGGTGCCGGGGAACTGTAGAGGCAGTCATAGCCATAACACCAAAGCTATGTAATTCTTCTCACGTCTGTAGTGCTATCGAGTCAAAACAATACGAGATCGCACGGCTGCTCTTAACACAGAAGATGGTTATCAATGAACTCAAGGCTGGGATAGAAAGAGACAGCCCAATCTTTGCGGCAGTGGCATCAGGCGACCAACAACTAATTGATCGCATCATCGAAATCCAAGGTGTGAATTTCGAAACAACTGATCGTCGTGGGATGTCAGTACTTGACCATGCCTGCAGAATGGGCCACCGGGAGCTAGCACGCCGGTTCCTGGACGAAGGAGCAAACCCTTACCTTCATGCAAATTCATCTCTACAACATGCGATTGCTTGCCGGGACACAAAAGCCGGCTGTGCCATTGTGAGAGAGATCGTGACGATGAAACCCCAGGTCAGATTCGTCTCGAATGAAAACAAGTACGCTGTAAGTGGCGATCGTTTAGACGTTCTGGAAATATTCTTGAAAAGAGGCGCCATTGATCAAGCCTTTGAGGGTGCACCTGGGCATCTGGGTGACATCTTTGAAGAGGCGATCAGCCATGGTCCCATGGCAGTTTATCGAAAACTGTTGAGTATCTATCCCACCGGGCTATTGACCGAGAGATTTATTTTAGACACATTGACGCTGATATCCGTTCAAGGCGACACGGCCAAAGCTAAAGAGCAGGCTCAGCGGCTAATAGATCATGTTCGGCCGATACGCAACAATGATCTCTCATTTCTAACTTACGAGAACGTGCAGCCGGCTTTATCAAATTGCATCGATTACGACAATGTCATGCTGGCAGACTACATTCTTGGCTTGTCTGGTGGTCTTCGACTTGGTCAAATACCATTATGCAGGCCATGGAGGGGAATGTCTGAAGGCCCTCGGAGCATCGAAATGCTTAAGATGCTGAGAGAACACGGCTTTGACATCAACCAGATCGCTAACAGAGAGACGATGCTACAGAGGACTATCGTCGAGATTGCCAGGGATGGATGGAACGAGGTTCTTCAATATCTAGCATCCGAGGTCGAAAACATAAATCAGTATAACGAGTACAATGCAACTGCTCTGCACACTTGGCTTCGTTCGCTCAAATATGCCCTCTTTTCGGAGGAAGTGCAAATCCTACAATTCACAGCTCACCTTCTTGATGAGGGTGCCAGCCTTTCAATTGGTAACGCGCGTGGGAATACGGCACTTCATGTGGCAGCTGTGAATACCGTTCATGCGTCAGTTATTCAACTTTTACTGGACCGTGGCGCAGATACCAATGCAAGAAACAACGCAGGCGAGACGCCACTTCAATATGCTATGAGACTTCAGGGTTTGAAAAAGACTTCGCGTAAGGCTTTGAGTAAGGTGCAGAAAACTCTTCCTTTGCTTGCGGAATGGACGTGGGTTCTGAGCATTCCTCCGGTCAGGGAGTTGCTTGACGAAATGAATTCTTCAACATAGCAAGGCAAGCCGTCAAAATCATGTGCCAGGTTGAGCGGGTCTTATATTGTCAAATCTTGATTCTGGATCAGTATCGTACAATAACGGCTGAAGGGTCTACTAGAGGCCCAGGTTGTGAAGGGAAATTTCTGCAATCGCTTGCGAATATTACTATCCTCTTTAACTAATTGATAACTATCCCATAATCATTCCATCATGTTTTATATGGTACAATGTTCTCGTTGATCGCTGAACCGCCCCTAACTCGAACTTATAGCTCCATGGTAACAGACGTATTTTCTGAAAGCAGTCAGCAGCGGAACATTATCTCAAGTTCTTTGACTCAGTAATAATAGAAAGCCACCTCGTCTCACGATCTTGTAGATGGTCGCGTTGTGATCCGAATTGTATATCGAACCTGACGACCAAGACAGGCTAAAGTATTGAGACCGATGCATCACAGAATGACTTGGTTTGGAGACTTTCGGTGACTCATAGCCCCTTTATTCGCACAAAAACCTTCTGTTCTATCATCTTCGCGAGAGATGAGATGCTATATGACAAAAAAAGAAGGTGTGATTACTACCCTGTCCGCATGTGATGCGGTGGCAGCCTCTTGGCACACCAATCAGAACGGCTTCTCGTAATATTTTATAATCCTCTTTATAGGTGGCAGCGCAGTAAATATCAGCCCTAAATGAGTCAACTTATCTTTCTCGCATGCAAATTTGGGACGGAGTCATGCGGACTTTGGTCACCCATGCGAAGTGACAGGGTTCGGACTTGCTTGTTGCTGCCTATTACCACAAGGGAGGACGCATATTTTCCACCTTGATTTTCAGTCAGTATTTTTCACTGCTACTTCAACTTCCCATCTGTTTCTTTGATTTAGACATGGCTCCAGTCACCTAGCCGGCGCAAAAAGATGGATTGAGAGCTCGGATCCATGAAATCTCTCACTCTAGTCGTATGTCACAAACCTGAACATTATCCCGCTACCTGATTTCACCCCAACATACCCCAACATGGATGGAGGGGCGAGTCTTCATAGCCACGCTCATCAGAGTCCCGGCGACCGCAACGAGGAAGTGGGTAGCTCCTCCACTCGGGCTGAGCCGACCGATAGTGAAATTCACGATACACAGGCAGACACAGACCCAAAGTACAACCCACATAAGCACAAAAAAGAGAACTCAGAGGCACGACTCGGTCCTCTTACTCCAGCCCAGCGAAGGCGCGCCATAATTGGCGACGAGGAAGGCGGTCCCTCCTCGCAACCTGAGGCGTCTATCAAGCAGATAGCTCGCGCCTCTTCTCCAACATCTATTACGCCGGATGAACTTCATGAAAATGATGGCGACGACAAAAACACTCCTGTTCATCCTAGATTGCCTCTTACGACGCCACATGCGACCGCAGCCGCAACTCATGAGCCCGTCTCTAGAGATAAAGCCCGTAAGAGAGCCCGTGGCTCCCACGGGCCAGTGTACCAGAGCTATCAAGAGTATGGCAACCATGGCCCCCAAAACGAGACCTCGAAGTTTGGGATTCCCTTAATCTCTCTCATTCCTGATACTCAGCCTGTGGACAGAAACGGGGTAACCAGTCATGGCGGCCAGCCCTACCAACATGATTGGGACGGTGCCCACGAGCGGGAGGCTTACCCTTACCCCGAAGAGATACACACTCCAGCCTTCATGGAAAATCAAGCTTGGGCCAATTCGAAATTGATCCTGCACGTATTTGCGATACTGTTGTCTATCTCCTCTTTAGGTCTGATTTTGAGCCTGATTCCGAATAGAGACGTAATTTCGTCTTCGGTAATGTTTTCGTTCCCGGTTGTACGTCTCACCCCATTTGATTTTAACTTATGATGACGTCTAACATGTCCTCGGTAGCCTGCAATCGCCATAGGGTGGGGTTTTATCGAAGTCATGGCCTTCATCTTCATTTTGAAGTGCAGGCCCGGCCCCGGCATTCTCAATGGGATCCTCCCCCTTGGCCAGCTCGGCCTCTCACTAGTTCTGGCGCTCGCCTGCGTCGTCGTTGCGTACTTGCAGTGGACCTCCATCTCGGCCATTGATCGCAGATGCAGCCGTACGCCCAGTACAACGTTGGTCTATAATAATTGGCAAGACTTGTGCCAGTCGCAATGGCCTGAGAAGAAGCCCTCCGCGATGGCCATAGCGATTATCAACATCATAACCGCGGTTGTCTATGTTGTTCTGTTCGTCGCCGCCTGCATCGATACCATTTACGGAAAAGAGGAGGAAGAGTGAGGCAACAAGTTGGAAAGAAACTGGGAATAATACCGATACCATGGAGGGACATTTACCGAGAGACACCCCAAGTGTGTAAAATAGACCTCATCATTAAAAGAAGAAATTAAAAAAGTATCTACAAAATCGAATTCTGCATTTCCGCAGCTGAAAAGCGTCGCCTGGCCTCATGGGACGGCAGCATATTCGGGTGGCATCCATTCAGTTCCACCCCTCCTCGACACCCTCGGACAATATTTCCTATACCCAAGCAGATTGTAAAACACGGAGTCGCTTGTCGACAATATCCTCAGCATCCTCTCGGAAGATATCCACCAAAGAAGCTGGGTGCGATCGGGAATGCGTTCGATGGGAGGATCGCGAGCTGGCAGCTGTCCCCTCGGATCGGCGATATAGGTGAACGCGCTTGTCCATGAATGCGCCCGAAGGAAGGACTGCAGCTTGGGGAATAGATAGAAGCATGGCGGGCTCAATTAAGAGGAATAGGCTCTGGGTTCTTTTCAATCGTGGTGCTTTGCTCTTGTCGTGGGTCAAGCAGAGGTCCCTTTTCTGGCTGTCCTGCGTTCTCGCTTCGAGTGTTTTCTGGTGTCGACGAGGAAGGGAAATATAAGGGGCGGCAAAATGAAGAGTTGTAGAAATTGGTTTTGTAAATGGCGATAGGTGTTGGCCAAGCGAATGGATCACCTAATGCAAACGTCCGGCAGAGGTTGACGCGCGATGAGACTTTTCAAGGAATGCGACGGTCGCGTTTGCTGTGTGGTTTCAGCTTCAGTGTGAGGTCAAGGGAGAAAATGATTCCTCGAGTCCGGCTCGAAGGTTTCTTGTGGGTAAAAAGGTGTCGAAGAAGCGAATTGAAGGAAATGGCGATAGTGCACCGGGCAGGTCTGCTCAATCTGAGGAAAAGAAAACAAAATCAAAGAAAAGTAAGAGCTGGGAAGGGAAGATTGTGGATGGTATCTGTGTTCCTCCTCGCCGCTCTGATACGGCGGGCATCCCAAGTAAGCTTGAGCAGGGGGTAATCACAAGCTGTTTTTAGTAACTCCACAGCTCCCATTTTTAGAACAGGGGCTCGATGCCTTGGTCTTGGTGCCATCAAAACCCTAGAATGTGCTATTATGTGGTAAGCCGGCGTAGCATAGCATCGTGAGTCTCAAAATGAGAAACTTACGGCCATATAGAGCGTTTGAATCTCAGTTTCCAGAACTATGTAGCCAAGAGAAGGCAAAACTTCATGCTTGATTGGTTGGCCTGATGGCTACTCAGGTAACGTATGTAAGCCTACGAACTGTATATGCAAAACCACTCGTAGATAAAACGACAACTAACTTGCTCACAAAAAAATTCAACACTCTACACTGAATCACGATATGTGCACATTCTATATCTTAAAGAGAGACACCTCCGTGGTCTCTTAGTTGTCACATTGACTTGAAGGCATGGTACATGCCTTGTCTAGGGTAGTTCAATAATTAGATGAAGTAAGAGATCTCTGCTTCCACTGGCATTCATAGTGGCCTTGCGTGGTATCCTCATAAAGCCCTTTCAACTGCTTTTATGGAACTAGATTTCAGTATTTAGCTTATGAGTGGTGTTTTCTTATATTACATTGAGCCGCCTCAAGGCCGTAGGAGTGACACATCGTTTCTTCCCAGATTGATCTCCTTCACTCTCCATCCAGGTATCCATCCACACTTAGCCGGAAGCATATCTCGACATGGCCCGGAGCTTAGGACCAAAACACCAGAAAATAAAAGGGGCAGTCCATCCAATCGCGATACTCAAAAAGGCTAGAACGGTGGTCCCCCAGCCATAGCCCAAGTCCTTATATAAATAAGGGGCGAAAAGAGGGAAGCCGAACCCGGCCAGGCTGCGTAGAATAGCGCAGGCAGCCAGAGCGCTGGCGGCGTAGGTCTGGTAGCAGTCGACTATATATGTTTGCATCCCCTGGAGACATGAGATGGTCCCAGCTGTATATATCAAAGCGCCGATGTTAGGCATGATCCAATGCGCGCGACCTTGGATACTCCATCCATACCAGAAGAGTCCGATCGTCGTGATGACGGAGCCGACCATCATACACGGCATGCGAAACTCCGGTCGGCCGACGTCGTTATTCTTCACTTTCAAGCTCTTGTAGATCCTGTCCACATACCTAATGTTGATGAACAGGCCGGCGAATGATCCAACAGCGATTGAAAGGTAGTTGAGGCCTCCAATGCTCTGTTTTTCGCCGTATTCTTTCGTCCAAATAGTGGGAAACGTCGCAAACATCAGATATGTCACTCCAAAGAGGTAAGCCATATACACCGAGATACAAGTGACGATAGGCTGAGTTGCGAACAGCCGCGCAGGTCTCATAACTGCATTGCCAAGCTTGACCGGCAGACTCTCGTTCTTCTCTTCAGTATGCAGGTTAATATTTCCTGTCGTCTTGAACAACGCATTCCGCTTCCATCTCAAAAGGGTGGCAGGATGCGATTCCTTCAGCCAGAAAACCCCAACCAGCTGGACAACAGCAGCTGCTGCGCTGGTCGACCAGAAGACCCAGCGCCATGTTGTGTACTCGGCAATGAACCCTCCCCCTATAGGCCCAACAACGGGGCCGAGCATTGGACCCGATGTGTAGAGCCCAATGGCTTTCCCCCTCTGCTCAGCAGACCATATATCACTGTAGAATATTCAGGATTAGCCGCCTTTTTCCCTATGAGTCGGCCCGGGTATCATATCATCTCACCTAATGGCTCCTCCAGCTAGAGCAAGTGGAGCACTGCCACCAATACCAGCAAGGAAACGAAATGCAAAGAACTGTGACTTATTCTGCGCAAACCCACAGCCCAAGTTCCACGCGATGTACCACAGGTTGCTGATCTGGAGGAATTGCACACGCCCGTAGAGCTCCGAAGCGGGACCAAAGAATATGGGACCGACGGCGTAGGCAAGGATAAAGATGGCAAGGGACAGATACACTTCGATCTCCGAGTTCATGCCAAGCTCGGCACCAAGACTTTCCATTGCCGGAGCGACCATGGCCGAGGACACCGGCGAGATAAAGACGAAGAGAGACACGGCGACAGTGTACCTCCACTTGATGCTGTCAGGCCAGTTCTTGGGATTTTCAACGTCGTCGGGCCCCGTCCATGTAACAAGGTTGGGATCTTGCGTCTCAGCGGAGCTGACATTGTGATCTTGACTCGTGTTTACCTTGCCTTTTTCAAGGTCGTGGGTTTCAAGGGAGGGTGAGTTTTTGTTAGTACTGGGAGTCTGCAAGACAGCAGCTATTGGGGAACCAGGAAAACTTGTACTAAGTTTAGGCGGCTTCTTTTCACCACTGCTGCTAAGCTCTGTCATGTTTTATCAGTGTGGCGGGAGTTTGAGTTAGGAAACAAGGCTTCTGGTTTCCCCAGTAGGCAACAGTAAAAGTGTATTGCAAGTCTGCCTTTGCTATGGTGGAAAATACTGATATGATCCAAATGAATGCGGTTCATAAAGACTAAATATTTATCTGCTGTTGTTTCTTTGCTTTCTACATCCTGGGCCTTCGTCCAGGGGAGATGACGCCCGAGGGCCTAGCCAATCAAATCACATAGCCTCGGCCGGGCCCGAAAGGTGAGCCAATTCGCACCCGAAACTCCAGCCAATCATGGGCCACCCGGGGCTCAAACCAATCGAATCAGGCTGTACATATTCACGCCCGCTGGCAGAGTCATTGTTATGAAGAAGGCCTGGCCTGCTGGATGTGGCCATGACTGAACTTGAGTCCAGGGTGTATTGATGCGGAGATAATTGTTCTTTTAGTGACTGGAACAGAAGAGGATTAATAATAAATAGCTTTATTAGTTTCATGACGATGGCTTTAGTGTCATATCGAAGGCTGAACAAGTGTAAGCGAGCAACTACCGCTTTTGGACAGCAACTGCCAAAGTGGGCATCTTACCCAGACGGTATTAGACCATTAGTAATTCAAAGGCCGCTCCGTCCGACATTTTCACGAACTAGGTCAACATCATCATTCCAATACCTCCACAGCTGAACCAGCGTGTTCCACCGTTGTTTGTACGCACCTCGCAGTGAACCAGTGACCATGGAGGAATGCGGGGCCAGTGGGTTTGATTTCATCGCCTATCAGCCTAAGGGGAAGCAACGGGACGACGTTCGGTCCAGGATTCGAAGCCACGCAATGAAGGCTACGAGCGCAAGTCGCCGAAGACAGAATCAAGCTGACGTCAAACTCCCCGCCGAGGCCCCAAGTACAGGTCTCCATCACCCCATCCCGACCTTCGCACTCGAACTTACCAAAATTGGGGAGTACGGGCTGGATCCTATCGACCTCTCTGCATTGACGTCGATCCATTTGGGAATAAGGTATGCTACCTACTCTGAATATTGTTTAATGCCTCATTATCGATGGAAACCTGGAAGCAAATTAGGGGCTAATCTCGGACGGTGTTAGAGCATCGACCATACTTCGAACAGAGTCAACTCTATCAAACCTATTAGTCTGCCGACAACAGTCCTACTTCTCGTTTATCCCATCACGAGTTGGACAAACTGAGGCGCTCCATAACGCATTTCAATGTCTTCGCACAGTTGCGCATTCCACCCTCGCTCCATCTCGTAAGAAGAGTGATGGTCTGATCATGAAGGATTATGGAAAAGCTCTCCGGAGCCTTCAATGTGCCATAGACGACGAAATGAATAGATACACTGCAGAGACGCTGTGTGCAATCGGCCTACTAGCAATCTTTGAGGTAGGAAAAACACTTACCGAACAGTTACCTCCTTATCTTGCTCTAAGGCGCTGATTTCCTGCAGGTGTTGAATCCCACCACAGGGCATATGTGGAGCAGACACATTTCTGGAGCCTCACAGCTCATACAAGCAAGAGGGCCATCTGGATTCAATTCCGACTTTGACAAGTCGTTGATAACCGCGTTGGTCTACCCAATAGTAAGCAGCCAACACTCGCACCTACGTCGAGAGGTTTTCATGGTAAACTAAAGCGCCCTGGTTATAGTGCATTGAAGCGTTATTCAAATCTCAAGAGTGTTTTCTTGACAACCCCGAATGGACCAGGGTCCTCGAAAGTGCTGTCATCGCGGAAGACACGTTCTCCGATAGGTCTCGCCTCGGTGTGACCCTCATGACCTTCATGACCAGGATCCCTGCTCTTGCGCTGATGACATTTCACGTCTTGTCAGCGGATGAGTCCCTGCCGATAGCTGAGCTTCAAGCTGCAATAGCGAAATTGCGTTCGCTCCGATCTGCCATTATCGGTTGGCGCCGCAGCTTTAATACAGCGCTTCTGAACTCTGTGAGCGTCTGTTCTTGTAGGACCACGTGCCGCGGGGCGAAGGATGAGACCAGCAAGCGCTATGAACTGCTTGCAATATCCATCGTTCTCCATATTCTCACTGGTCGCTTGCTGCTATGTGTCTCGGCCAACGAACGAGACTTCCTCGAGGAGGAAGTACAGAGCCAGGCCGCGGAGTTGAAGGAGATCGAGGTTTCCGTAGCTGGGAAGCATGATCGTGCGACGTTTCTAATCTCACAAAAAGCGATGACAGCGAATGCGACCATCGCCACGCACTCTGACTTCCAAGAGTCCGTAGGTACTGGGAGACTAGTGGAAGCTTGGAAATTGGTGAAGTTTTTGGAGCTGACAAAGCAGAAGGAGGTATGACGGTATCGTCGGAACGATGATAGGAATAGGATCTTCTAAAATGATGTACTATTAGAAATCTAGCCACTTTACGCTCCCTCTAAACGTGCTGCGCTCCGTGGAAGTCTTGCCGGCTGTGCCATCTCTTAGCTCGAGTGCTTCTAGCGTCACTCACCCATTCTCGATTAGGATGTTGCAGCAACTACCATTTTGGGTCAAGCGTGGGCTTGCTTACATGGAAGCATGTCTGCTCAAACAACAACACCTTCGTAGTCCGGTATATTTTGCATTATAAAAGGGCAGCCTTCACCCGAGTTGCCCATCAATTCAAACTTCTCCTCATCCCAATCAAACAGCAATTCCTGCCCCTTCTCTGCCCGTTCATCTACTCAGAAAGTCAAACTCCAACCATCTTCTTGCACAACATGGCTTCCAAGTGGGATGAACTCCTTGAGAGAAACCGGTTCGCCCAATCCTTGTCTCAGTTTCCATCTCGACTTCTACTGATCTACGATATAGGGTCTACGCGGAGACGAAGCATCAGCCGAAGGAGTTCTTGGGGATGGCCCCTGTGGCATTGCCCTCTGTCATCATATGTCCGTATCTCGCACTCTAGTATTGATCGCATCAGCTAACATCGCGCCCCTCCAGTTGCCTGTCTCGACTTCCGTGCATCTGTTGAGGAATTTCTCGACCTGAAGCCGGATGGTAAGATCATGATGCACACCGTAGCCGCATTTAGGTTAAGCCCAGTGCTGACAACAATGTTCATGACAGAAGCTTTAGTTATTAGAAATCTGGGCGGTCGCGTCAAGAGCGGCCTTCATGCGCTTCTGTTTCTTGAGGAAGTTACACGGAGCCAGGCTCTAAAAGAGGTCGTCATTATTCATCACACCAGTAAGCCACTGATATTACCTAACGTCAAAAAATATGTGCCAGATCACCATGATAACCAACCATTATAGATTGCGGATGTTCTATCCAAACGACCGAGGGTGTTCGCCAGAGTCTGAAGTCTAAGTACCCTCAAATGGCCGATGAGATCGATCAGCTCGACTTTGGAACCTACAAAGGCGGTGATCTGGAGAAGTAAGTCATCCCTCGAACTCGTTTTACGTGAAAGATTGTATCTAATGTTTGAATTCCAACGTAGCCATAATCAGGTAGTGCGGGAGGATATCAAGCTCTTGCAAGATTCTCCGCTTGTTAGGGAGGAGTTGAAGGCCCATGTCCGTGGCTATGTGTTTGACATTAAGACTGGTAAACTGAGCCTTGTCCCTCAGTAAATCAGGGTGCCCACACAGACATGAGCTCCAAGTATGGAAACGGCTTCTGGTTGCCAGATTAGGTACAAATGTTTCATGGGACCAGATTAAAATTCCATAGCTTTCCTTTTTTGAATGGTATCATCTCCTCTCGTTTTTCTCAAATATCCACATGGGCTATCTCGGAGTCAACCATAAGTCTTGCGCAGACGGTACCCTTGACCGTGACCTCATCTCAACAAGATACGATTTCATTAAAGCACCCTATCTACCACCATCCCGAAAGTAATCTCCGAGAAATTAACATAAATATTGCGCAATACGGTTGGCTGTAATTTTGAGCAGCCTTACTAGCCTTAGGGTGAATTCTCTTGCAAAGATGATTACAGCCTTGAGCCTCATACCAATCGCAACAATGCAACCAATTGACATAAACCGTGCCGTTTAAAACCACTGTGGGCGCCTCAGCAGTACCCAAAGATGCCCTATCATGAAGGGGGAAATCTCCGCGATCCAAAGCTGCAAACCCTTTCTGGTTAAACCGAGTGGTTGGTCAACATCCGCAAACAGCAGTTGCCAGCCAAGTACAGCAACCAGAGTGGCATCTCTTATGAAAACAGTCCAATATGCGGTTCGCCTACTTGCAACAGCTGTCGGGGTGTTTGCTGACGCCAACAGCAAGCAGGCGCCCAATGTCGCCGTTTGGGTTCCGAGCATTCGCACTAGAAGCAGTGATGAAGAGGGGAACGGTTGAGGCATTGCTAATGAGAGAATGTTCCGAGGTGAATGGATAAAGATGAAGCCGCCAATTAGCTTCAAGACGCCTTCTGTCAGCATCAAGCCCCGGATAGGGCTTCCCAAACTCGTCGTCATTTCTTCGATGCGTGGATTTTGATACAAGGAAGTCTGGAACAAAGCTGAGCCTGGTAGCAAGACAGAAATTTTTGGTTTTCTCTCCAAATAAAATAAAAAAGCCTCCGATGTCAGGCAGTTCAAGCCGGAGGCTACTTTATCAATTTGCGCATAAGCTTGGTCTTCCTCTAACAGATGGCCAATTTATCCCACAAAAAGCCTGTTACTAAAACCCTCCGAGATATTATCTAAATGAGCGATGCACAATATTCTCCCGCGCGTTCACGTGAGTAAAAACATTATCCCGCTGGCCAACTCCCGATTTCGAGTCCCCACTGCCAAGATTGATGTTAGCCACTCATTTGATAGCTATTTCTACTATGATACCTATGGAATAACTAGAGATCAAACCCCGGAAAAAGGCAAGAAGATGAAGGAACTCCTTGTTTTAATCATCCCATGGCTGATATGGACACGGCTATCCAAATCTTTCTTTCAACTGATACTCTTTGGTCGGGCTATAAGTATATGATATCAGGCGCTTATGATGAGGCTCGAGTGGTTTACCGTCGCAGATAACTTCGGTGGGACCTATTAAACTACCTTCTGATCAATCTCGTGTTTCCAGGTCAATCTATGACAAATTCCCATCAAGAATGTGAACAGACTTGAAAATTATCTCACCCGGCTTCAATCGATCAATCAAAGCAAGCGGCCAAATTCGCCGGGACCCACCTAAGAATTCCGGCGGTTCTGGTCTCACACGAGTTAGTGAACGAGAGCCGGCGGGCTTGGGATGGATGGCTTACAATTCCAAGCTATGATGATTGAAATTCCATGTATTTAAGACTTGCCATGTCTGCGGTTACTATGTCTTCTTTCCTCAGCCCAATTCAGAAGTGTAAATTCACGACGCCATATCATAACACCAATCTCACTTGCACCATCCTCAACATCTTCTTTCTAGACTATAACTTATCAACATGTCTCCAGCCACCGAAAAAACCATTGCTCTTGTTACCGGAGCCAACCAGGGCATTGGAAAATGCGTTGCGACTGCGCTTGCCACCAAGCACAATTACCATGTTATCGTTGGTTCTCGCGGCAATGCTGCTGGAGCTGAACTCGCCGCATCTCTCCGGGGCTCGGGGCACTCTGCTTCCCACGTACAGCTAGATCTGACCTCTAGGCCTTCTGTTGAAGCCGCTGTGAAGGCTATCGAGGCGGATTTTGGCCGGCTCGACGTCCTCGTCAATAATGCGGGGGTGCTTCTCGATTTCAATCAGATGGATCCCTGGGAGCTGTTTGAGCGTACCTTCCAAACCAATGTCATCGGTACCGCTATGCTCACCGAGAGCTTGCTGCCTCTTCTCAGGAAAGCAACTCAGGGCCCACCACGTGTAGTCTTTGTCTCCAGCAAGATGGGTTCCTTTACCGAGTCCCTGGACAAGAGCTCCAGGTGGTATCCAATTGATATCAAGGCCTATGACTCTAGCAAGGCAGCCGTCAACTTGCTCATGGTCAACTATGCACGTCTTTTGTCGGACGTCGGAGGCAAAGTTAATTCTGCTTGCCCTGGATTGGTCAACACACGACTTAGCGGGAGCCCTGATGATGGTGACACTCCGGAGGTTGGTGCTACTCGCATCGTCGAGCTTGCCACTTTGGATTCCAACGGCCCAACTGCCACTTTTAGCAACCGGTTTGGAAATATCGATTGGTAGATGGGGGGTTCTGAGTAAATATGGAGAATGGAATAGTCGTCAGCCTTCATTGGCGCCTTTCCGTATTTAAATATATCTAGATATCTCCTACTGGTTGTTTTCATTGCCTGATAGCTCGACTCCCTCGGTTTTATGTGAAAAATAACCTCGTGTATTTTGCTGACCTTCAAAATTCAAATATAGCTATACGCACGCTAGTCTGACTGTATGAAAACTAAATGGGCATGCCAACTTGGGGTGTGTACAAAGCAGAGCTCGCCACAAGTCGGCAAGCTCGTTTAGTCCTGAAACGCCATGCCATGTAATATATGATCTTACAATAAATTCCAATACCCCAAGCCCGTCATAGATTCACTGCACTGGCTTCGTCAACCATGATCCGCATGGAGAGACATCGTGCAAGCCTGAACCAACAGTCAGTTGTCCAGGGGAAGTAGATACCGAATTCACTTGGCTGCCTTCGCAACAAGAAGAAGTTGTACAATCTCATGATCCCTATTTTCTGCAGCCTTAGTCAATGCTGCTAGCCACATCTGCTGATTCATGTTCACAGCCGCCAACAATATGCGGACGATCTCAACATGTCCATGGCAAATTGCCTGGAAAAGGGGAGTCCGTTGGTAGCGACCCGGCCAATTTAGATCAAATAATCCAGAAGCTACAAGGGCTCTGACGACATCTTCATGACCCCGAATAACTGCCTCATTGACAGAGTTGGGATGCACTCCAGAGCAGTCATCCTGTGACAATAGCAGTTTGATTATATCGGCCCTCCCATTGAACACAGCTTGCTCGAAGGCTTTATGCCCGAGGTGCATGGCAGCTGCCGAGCTGCTCTGCTTCTTGGCATCAAGTGCCATCTCAAAGGCCGTCAGAGGCCCTTCATTCTGGGCGATCCATACGAGTGCGTAGCGCGGATAAGGAGGTTCGTATAGTTCGCACCGCCGTATGTTGTGAGAACACAGGTGGGTGTTGAACATGCTATAGAGCTCCCTGTTGGTGCAGACAACGGCGTTCAGGTCAGATTCTTCCCATAACAGAGTGATGATACTTTCTATCAACTCGTTTGGTAGGCTTAGAAGAGGCATTCTCGAAAGAGAGCGACCGGGGTTTCAGATGAGCTATTAGTTAAAGATTAGATTGAAGACTTTGCAGGATTAGAAATGCACCTCAAAATTGTTGTGCGTCTTTTATACACTATGCCGAAAGGAAGTGCGTGCGCAAGGATATCCCGATTGGGAATAACATCAGCTGATTCGTAACCCGGATATTTAGGAGGATATCGAGCTGGCACTTAACATGGTGAGATATATGGTCAATGCCGATCGAACTTAAGTGAACATATCCAGTTGAAAGTCTCCCTACATCTATGCGAAGCACTGCTTATACAGATGAATGCAAAGGGTATCTGTTTTGTACACCATCAATCATCCTGAGCCTGCTGCCAGGTACCGGCTGTTACTACTCGGTCAATCGGTGACTTCTTGGTGACCGCTGTGGATCAAACCATCCGGCCGGCCGCTGTGGTCATTATCTCCTTCTGCCGCTTACGTATGTCCGGTCTACCTTCCGTCGACTCTTGCTGATATGGTCAACCGTCCAATCTCTGCATATGGTGACTGTCCATTCAGTTGCCAATTGCGGGATTTGAAGCTTTAGTCAGTAGACAGATGTCTTTACCGTACATGTTTCGTTATCCAATGCCAGGAGATTACCCTTGTGTCCCTCCCCAGGCTCTATGTGTCAATTTTCCTCCACTAGTTGACTTTCTTGTTGGTTTATAATAACTGCCACCACACTCATAAGCACCCCCATTTTATCTGTATTGGCTCCCCAAATCTCAAGCAGTTGGGCAGACATTGGATCCTCTGGGTGCCGCTGAGCATCCAGAAGCGCTCCAAGGTTCCAAAGATCGATATGCAGTCGTCCCATGTTCTGGATAGCCCTTTCTTCCTCCCACTCCTCACCAGATCTTGCTTCCCACATTGTTTTGGCGGAACAAAGTGCCACCTGGCGATGTGCACCAGGGGGGACGCAAGGTATTTCGGCTTTTGCTTGTATGACTTCGCGAATGGCGAAATAAAAGCAGTTAATTCTACAAATCTATTGATTAGTGCAATGATGTAGAGCGCCGGAGCAATTCAAATCTTACCGTCTCCTCGATTCCGAAAATATCCACTCTTCCCAGCTGAGACTGGGATGTGTGCATTCAGGAGGGGCCAAGAAGCGTCCACCACAAAGGTCTCTTGTCCGAAAGGACAGAATCTGTACAGCGTTATCATCGAGGAGATAGTCCAAGAGGACGGTTGAAGTGTGTTGCTCTAACTAACCTGAAACACTTCTAAAAGTCGAGTGCCCCGGATTGACATGTCTTCGGCCTCGTCTACAGCCAACATGATCAGATAGATCAATGTGGCCTGCGCTGCTGTCTGAACCACTCTTACGTCCATTTCATTGGCCTATATCGTGTTAGAATGGTAGAAAAGGCGGGACAGTGTTCGCATGGTAGGCTTAATGTATTTGATTCTTCCATATCTCTCACCTCATTCTTAAAGCGGCTCACTTCGTTGTCTATGGTTCGCCACAGGAAGTGACTGTTCTCCGGTGTTCGGGTAACGAATAACTGCGCAATGCTCATACAGTTAACGAGGTTCTCGGGTAGCTTTTCCGTGTGCCAATGAGGATGAATGAATGGTGGGAAGGTCTGTCGACGGAGCATCATCTGAGGATAAGAGCGTATACAGTGCATTACGATGGTGGCACTGGCTTCTGCTTCCGGGTTGGGTTGCTTCAGTGCTGTGAGAGTTGCTGGCTCGTCGACTCGCTCAGCTGACTGAGCGGGTGCAGTTTCATTAAAAGGCAAGGCAACTAAGCTCTGGAGGGTCTCAGAGGCTGCGCTTGTCGGTTTCGCCACGCTTTCTTGTTTATTCGAAATGTGAGAAGACGTCAAGGGCCAGCTACTCTGTGACAGTGTTGGATGAGTATTGGATTCTGCGAGCGGATCTAAAGTCCCAGTCAAATCCGTCGCGGGGTCTCCAGTGGTCAACATTTGCTCAAAATGCAGGTTGCTCGGATTTCCAAATGGGGTTCCATTTTGCAAATCAGGGTCTGAAAAGAGTCCTTCCAAAAGCTTTGCACCATATACACATGGCAGATCCTTTGAGCGACATCTTTGACAAGTCGGTTCATCCAGGCTACATTTAGTTTTGGCCAATGCACAGGCATCGCATGGCTTTGGTCGGCCCTTGCGCTTGAACTGGGCTCTGCGGCAGTACGAGAGGTGTCGCTTAAACGAGTGATCTGACAATATCTCAGTCAGTCTTCCCATACGTCATGGACAATGACAATATAAGGCCTCGTACCGACCTTTCACGAATGCTTTCCGGCATATCGGACACAAGCGGAAGAACTCCCATTCTTCCGCGGGCTCAGAGGTCACACCAACCGAAGTCATTTTCCCGCGTGATGATGAAAAGAGACGGATCACCATTCGAGCTTGGTATCAGATGAGAATGACTTGGCGCTGGTAGCTCATTACTAATGCATCCTTCGAACCCTCAACTACCTTACCCTATATGCCACCGGAATCAGGAGGGAACACTGGCTTTCTTTCCACAAACTTTTCCTCGCCTCGAGGTTTTCCATTTTTTTATTATTATTTTTAATTCTAATTTCTTCCCGCTGTTGCTCTATGTAGCATTTGAGCTCCTTTAAGTGGGCTTTGAGGCTACTTTAACTCCCTATTGACACATTACGCTTTCAGCATACGCTGATATCTGAATTTACAATTAACAAATCATCATGTCTCAGGAAGGCTACAGAGTTAATGTGGCAAGCAAAACCAGGATGTAGATGTAGCCTGCAAGATATTCGGTATGAGGAGTGATGAAAAGAATCCAGAGTATATCCCAGAAGCATGAGTAAAGTCTATCAATCACCTAATCTAGCCTTCAACAATTTCACAGGATCTCCATCCGTTATCCCTACAAGGAGTGTACAAAAAAACCGTCCCGGATGTCATGAAAATTAATCCATAAATCAAATCACAGAAGCTACACTGAGAGAATACCAGTGCGGGAGCGCTACTGGTGATGTAAGCACCGTCTAGAGGCTATCCAACCAAGCCGAGCCACCAACACCAGACATATTGATTATACCTGAACCGAGCATATGGGTTGCACTTTTCAAGTGAGAAGCAGGCAAGTTTAGGCAAGGCAACTAAACATGGAAAAGTAGAGGTGAGCATCCCATGCTTTGACCAATGAACTTCCCGCTTTGATTGGACAATGCTGAGACTTGACACAGCAACATCCCGGTTTAGCACGTTGCCAAGAGTCTCAAACGTACACCGCACACAACCCCGGATCATTGCCAAGCTCGTATATGCAGTATCAAGGCTGGCAACAACAAAATAATCACACCGAAACTAGCGTTTGTACGTTTCAATTTGCCGCATTAGGAAACGGAACATGGCCCTCCACAACACGGGGAAACTTGGTCGGCATTTGGGCGATCTCGAACTTGAGCCAAGTCTGCATGAAGCTGGCAAGCTTCTAATATTGACAGTCTTCTGTTGCTGTTTGGCTGGAACAGGCAGGCCAAGCGCGTATGTTTGAACGCATCGCTCGATTCTCAAACACCATGGTGGCCCCGTGTCAATGGCTGCCACGGCAGACTTGCATCCGTCGACAGTCTCGGAGATAGCCTCGGAGCTCTACCTCGTTATTGTTTCACTTACTTCATCCGGAATAAAAAAAAGCCCCTAATAAGCAGCATGACACATACATATATAACTCTATTTGAACCCCCCAACGACTTTGAAGTTGCTTAGACAAACCTGGCTGAACACGAGTTTCCGTCTGCATCTGATCGACAATAGAATTATCTATACAAAGAACTAGAACTACCAAAATGGTCGCCTTCAACATCATCGTCCTCGCCGCCCTCGGCATCCCCTCGGCTCTAGCCTGCGTGGGCAAGAACAACATGCCCTCACCCTCGCAGACAATCAGCAACTCCGCCCCCATCGAGGTAGCCGCGGGCAAGAGCTTCGACGGCCAAAACAGACGTTACGATCGCTCCGGATACACCTGCAAGAACCAACAAGAAGGAGGTACGTGTATTTGTCCCCCACTCGCTTCGCAAAATGTAGAACCGGAAGCTCTGACTAGTGTGACCCCTTTTCAGGCCAGGCCGACACTGTGTTTATTCTGCGAAAGGGCGCTACCCTTAAGAACGTCATCATTGGTAAGAACCAAGGCGAGGGTGTGTACTGCCTTGGAGGAGGATGCACCATCGAGAATGTCTGGTTTGAGGACGTGTGTGAGGATGCCATCTCCATCGTATGTTCCCATTCCAAAGGTCCACTATCCGGCGTTGCAATAAAACTGACTTTAGATTGCTCTTTGCTTTCGCTTCTTTAGAAAGATGATGCTGCCGGCGCTGTCACCACCATCAGAGGGGGTGGCGCTTTCAAGGCTTCAGACAAGATCGTCCAGCACAATGGCTGTGGCAAGGTCCAGGTATGCGATACAAAAAAGCGCACGGCTTCAAGCTCACAGTCACTGATTCCTCCAGATCTACAACTTCTATGCCGAAGACTACGGTAAAGTATACCGATCGTGCGGAACTGTAAGTACATCCCTAGTCAACTCATCAACACCAGCAAGGGGATCTGGGAATGATTCTAACTCGAGCCTCATCAGTGCCAAGCCTGCAAGCGCGAAGTCTACGTCGAAGGAGTCACGGCTCGCAAGGGTGGTGAGGTCGTTGGAATCACCAAGAGCAACGGCGACACTGCGAAGCTCGTCAACGTTTGCACCGACGCCAAGACGCCATGCCAGAACTACAGCGGACCTGGCAACAAGGATGGGGCCTGCTAAGCTGGACGTGTTAGGCGGGCGGCTGGGACTCAGTGATCCATTATCCACGTATCGATGAGGTGAAATATACTAGTGGCGGCCTGCGTTAGCCAAGAGTATCTATCCCAAGAGATTGATTCGTTATTCTCACTGAAGCTGTATGAACTAAGCTACATCTGCCTGTCCCCTCATGAAATACAGCACATTCATTCATAACACTGCTCCTGGCACGGGTCTCTTTATACAGCTTTCTTTGGTCACTGCGCCCATGGAGGAGCCAGGTATAGACGAATTCTAATCCTATCTGGCTTAAGAGTCATATCATCTAGTGCAATTCAAAAAGCCTTCAGTAGGGGTCTTAGATGGGACGACAGGAGTGCCCTGAGAGAAACCTTCACTACATACATCTTTATTGAAAGTAGCCATCTATTAGTTACATGGTGGTCTGGTTTGATCTTCCTCCCAAGATGTTTTAGCGACTGATGGCCACTTGGGTCAGTGATATGATCTTGAGGTCCCGAACTCTCGTTTAGATAACTCATAAACCATTTTCCGAATTCGACTTTTTCGTAAAGTAATAGAGATACGACCCATCTCAGAATATGTTGAGATACAACAAAGAACCTAGTGTGCATGTGAAGCACAAGCCCCTGGAGGTAGGACCCTGGTACTCCATGTAGTTAATCGACGGTAACTTAACTAGCCATATATGCGTGCCCGTTCCTTCACTTCATCCAGCTTGGGAATGTTGTCCATGAACTTGACCAGCAGGTCTCGAGATTGCTCGGCATTCATGCACCGAAGCACGTCGTCATCCGGGGGCAGCTGATCGGTCTTTGCAACCTGCAAGCGGAGCTGGTTAAAAAGAGGATCCAAACCGCTAGAGGCGGAGCTTGGCGCTGTCTCCTCAAGGAACTCGCGCAGGCTGTATACTTCAAGGTTGTCTGCCCTAACCTCGTCTCGCTCCCCTTCCTTGGGCTTTCGCACCTTGATGTCGGATTTGCAACGGACAAAAGCATACTCGAAGCCCTGGTCGGCAGGCGCCTGGAATCCCTCAGGGGCTGCATTCCTACTCAACAAGACTGTCCACTGCCCAGGCTTGAGATTTCGCATTTCAGAGTAGCAGCCGTGAGAAAGGCTGCTGTGGTAGCTGTTCCTGCCAAACTTGTAGGCCTGGGCGGGGAGAGGACCGATCTCGCCTATATCCTTGTCGCCGGGAACTGAGGAGCTCAAAGCAATGCAAGCGGCCAGCTCGGATCCAGAACCGCTACTCATTATGTACCTCTGTGAGTTCAAAGCCCGTACATAGCGCAACAAACCATTGACGAATCGAGCAGGACTGAGGAGAGCATCTCCGAGAAAGAAGTACTCATATGGTGCCACTTGCCCGTGGACATTAATAGTATCAGTCTTATGGTAGACTAGAAGTTGTGCGATCGGAAATCCCGGGATTGCATCAGGGGCATCATTTGTGTCAGGGAGCCACGTTTTGAGGCGGATGGGAATCGACATGACCGCAGACACGACCACCTTCTCCAACGCGACACCTGAATCCAAAGATGCGAGGCCAAGAACGACCTGGGCGGCCGAATCATCATCGAGCCGATCGGGCCTATCCAGCAAGTACAGTGACTTCAAACAAGTCAAACCTGAGAGGACACGTGGTAGCGACAGTGAGCGGGAAGCCAAGGTTCCAGAGAGATTCAGCGACTCGACAGACGCAAAGGAACCAGCTTCGAATGTAGACTGGAGGCCAACGATATCAAGATTGGGAAAATGTGCCCAGTCGAGGTGAGTTTCGCCAGTGTAGGCGAGTCCCATGAGCAAAAGCGAATGTGGTGTTTTACCAACTTGGTCCGCCCGGCTGAGGAGGATCTTTTTCAAAATGGCAGCGGAGTTGGGGAGCACTTGAAGCTGATCTTTGGCTGCATTGAATTCGTCCAGGTCATTTGACACGAGGAGTGCATCGACAATCCTTTCCACGGTCTTTTCGACCAAACTCTGCACAACTGGATGATTATCAGGCCCAATTGTATCGCGCGGGACAGCATCAGACACTTCCCATTTCCCCCATGGCCACGTTTCTGCGCAAGCCAAGGTCAGCTAGTGGCTAGGGTGAGAGGTTTAGGGACGGAAACTTACCTGCAAGAGTTGCAATGTTGATGAGAGGCTTCGTGTCTAGGCTCTTGGGTAAGTGGATGTGGGCTTGAGGGATAGGGTCTTCCTCGGGGTAGTAATTCTTGACGTATTGCCAGCCTGTCAAGGGCTGATACAATGGACCCTGAAAGTCTTCTTCTCCTTCATAGGTATCTGAAAAGGGTTGAGAGAAATGTGGGTTAGAAAAGCGGAAGTGACACGAGAGGTGCATCGAGAGGACGCGGGTTACTTACCTAGAAAGTTGACGAAGCAGTACTTTACATTTTCCAAGTCGGTGATATCGATGACAGTGATACCGTCGTTGTTGTCGCCCTGGTCGAAGCCCATTCCAAAGGGCTCCTCGTGGACAACACCGGCCTGGGCCAAGTCTTGGTTGAAAGAAGTGCCCAGCATCAAACAGTTGGTAATGAAGGGGAACGGGCAGATACCTCCTCTCTTGTCCCATGAGAGTTCTGGCGGCTCCTGGGAGGGGGCTTCCTTGTCGCGGTAGTATTCTTCTGCGAAACGGAGTTCCTGCTGCAAGGCGAGGCGGTTTTCGCCGTGGCCGAAGATGTGGAGGAGCTGCAGACACTGGCGAAGGGCGGTCAGGCCGTAGAGCCACTGGTGATGGACGGCGGCCAGCGAGCGATAGTGCTTGCCGGCCTTGGCAATCACGAAGAGCTGGTGGCGTTGACCCATGGCGCAGCTGGACTTTCAAGATCGAGGGTGGTGGTGAGAGAAATGTGGTGATGAAGGAAGAGGAGAGAGGAAGTGGGATGGCGAGTAGAGGAGAGGAGCGAGAAGGAGAGGGTGACAAGAGAAGGGTGAAGAGAGAGTGAGCGAGAGGTGAAAGCTTCTCTGTGCATCCAGCACCTTGTTTGCAGAGCACAAAGCAGAGAGCCAGAAGCAGATGGAATTCACGGTTGCACAGCCTATTTCAGTGGGTTGATCATTGGCTCAGTGGGCGGCTGCTGCCTAAAGCCACCTGCAGTGTTCCGTTCCAGTGACCTCATGCGCTGCGTTTACAGTGAGGGTTGTACTGCAGTCGAGAGACAGCCCTGCCTCACTCAGAACCAACCATGCAGACAACAGGGCAACAATCAGTCTGCAGTATCCATGCATGTATCTGATGTAATGCGATTTTTTCGCTAGATAAGACGAGGGCCCGCTGTCGCTTTGGTTGTGGCCTTTGACGCCTGGAAACGGCACTGAACATTTCATCCACAGTACTTGATTCTGAATGCACCAGGATGATGTATTTGCCTGGCCCATTTGTGTACCAGATTACTTCAACTCATACTATCTCTCGTGAAATAGAAACAGGCTCTTACGCCTTTGTGGCCTTGATGCTGTTTCTTGCGCAGATATCTTGCACCGCCTTCCAATCCCCATCCAACTTGGCCTCATCAAGGTCTGACCCAAACTCCTCCATCTGATTTTCAAATTCCTCGCCCTCCAGATCCGAATCGTAGTCGTCGTCCTTTATTTGATGAGCCCCGTAGCTCTCGCAGGTTTCCGCGATGACGAACCGCCTGAACCGCCGATCAAGCTCTGCATCGAACGTCACCTCTCCTTGTTCCCATTTTTGCACAAATTGCGGCGGCAAGTCGTCGTAGTTCTCGCTGCCCCCAAATGTCGTGCTCTTAAGCACCGGATATGGCTCTATCCTCATCTTGACGAGCTTTGGGGGCTGAGAATCTTGGATTTCGTCAAGAATTCGCCTCCAAGCATCCAAGCCCATTGTGAAACACCGACGTAGATGAATCTCCTCTAGAGACCGTTTGGCATGCTTGCCGAGAAACTGAGCCAACCCATTTTCGAAGCTCGACCACTCCAGTTCAAACTCCTTCAGGCAAGGGAGGTCCAACACCGCCCAGTCAAAACTTTCTTGTTGGTCAAAGTGCCCAATCGTGCCCTCCAGCTCACCAGCCAGGCGTAGGCGCTCCACGTTGGCTAGATTTCTGATCGTGTGATCCACGAAATCGGCAATATACTCTTGGTGCGCACACGTCATGTTAAGTGCGCCTCCACCCTCGCAGCCGGCGAGTTGCAGGTCAAATGATTTCAAACCTCGCACCAGGGCCAGCCATTTATCGGTTCGAAACACTGAATAGGACCCTTCCGAGGTGGGGATCGGAGGCAGATTATACAACTCCAGCGCCTCGAAAGCCCCTGCGCTCTCACATAGGGCGACAAGGCTCCCGTTCAGTAGCCTCCTGCAAGGCTCCTCTGATTCAGCCCCTAGTGCCCCTTCTGCCATTTCCCGGGTCTCCATCCAAAAGTGAAATGCTCCTTGAGGCCAGTTGTTGTAGTCCCACCCGCCGAGATCACAACGAAAGCGAAAGGTTTCCAAGCCGGGGAATTTGTGTAGAGAGCGGAGAACCTCAGCAGTAGCCTCGCTCAGCTCGATCTCATTATCATGATCATCGGACTCCATGGGTTGAGGGTCGTGGGGAGTGTAGATAATAGTACGGACAATACCAGCACGGGGGCTGTTCGCTATCGCCATGACGGCATCGCCCTTGGACTCCGTCTCATCGAGGGTGATTTCTTCATACAGTTTGCGTTCCACGACATCTTTGAGACGCGTGCTGGTAAGAAGCAAGGATTGGAGATCGTCTTTGTCACAACCATTGATAATCATGGACTTGATTTCAGATGGAAGTTCATCAAGATTTGCCAATTCGTCCATTTTCGATTTCAGCTATTAGATTGCTGATTATTTAGCGAGAGATTGTGGAAGAATCACGTTTCAAGAGCTTAAAAGACCGCAGGAGAGTGGCAGGAAGAAAGCAAAAACCTAAGAAGTAATAAGTCTACTTATTTATCAATTTTTCTTCGCCTTGGTGGGGTGTAGAAAAATGGCGCGTGTCGCGTTATGCTTCACCCTCTCACTCGCTCAAGAACGTTGTAATACGGCTGCTATAGAAGCTTGGCGGCTAGAGTATAACTAAATCAGACAGGCATTGGTCAACTAACGAATCCTTCGCCTTGGCGTAGGAGATAATGTTGCGGTGATATCCACTAGAAAAGGGTGCCATTATTATCGGTCTCTCGTTAGTCCACGGTTATTGTAGAAGGCATCAACCTGGCTAAAAATTGTCTACCGTGAATTCAGTCACATGGAGTGATTCTGTTCCTTCGCTCACTCGAGTCCTTTAATTCTAGCTCTCCATCAACGCTCCGTTATTAGGCAATAATAGCCGGTCTGGTCTGTGCAGCAGCTCAAAGGTATTTTAGCTTCTGGCTTAGCCCATGTCATACTATTTAATGGTCAACACTCGGTTTAGATAAGAGTAGAGATCAGTTCTGGTGTGATGGGTTTAATGACAACGGGGCATATACTCGCCGTTCTTGGTATACGGAAGAGAGTTCGAGTATAAAGTTAAAAGCAGCAATGAAAGATGCCAGACTCGACATCTCAACACAATGAATAAGAAGAACCAGGCACAAAGTGAACGTATCGTTCAAATAGCAACAAAATTTGCCAGCTTATTTCCTAGTATGTATGCATTTAGTCTCAAGGGCGACAGCGAGGGGCGAGGGGAGAGGCAGTTCTGGCGGCAAGTGTCGAAGTGTTGTGAAAGTAGATAATGTTATTTGGCTTTCTCCATTACGTAGCTTATCTCTCTCTAGTTATTAAATTTGTTCAACGTCAAGAGCCTCCAGATCACCGTTCCAGATATCATAGACGGGTTGTCTAGCCGCGTTAACCTGGCCTCAGTTCACTGTTCGCCCTGTTGGGCGAAAAATATGCTCCTCCTGACAACGCTTACATTGACTCCTCAAGACGGCGACCACATCATGAGATTCTTTGGGGCTGCCTGCAGCGGCATTTGTCGGAGGTGTGTGTTGCGCCCATAGGTCTCCTTTTCAAGACAAGGTAACTGGGACTGCGACGTTTTCATATTCATCACCCATTTCAGTGTGTATAGTCAAGATAAGCAATCCTTTCCTGTCTCCAATGAGTGACGACATGAGTATCCTCGTTGTTTTGATACAGCCATATGACAACGACCATCTGCCTCCATCTTCTGAATTCAGATCCCGGGGACGCGAGCTCGCGATTAAGACGAGCAACTGTTGCAAAGTGGGTGCGAAACACCTCCTATGCCACAGGGGTATTTGTTTCGAAGACGGGCAGGAGGCCCGCCGCGAGTCTTAAGTATCAGATTCGCCAAGTAAGAGAGGAGAAGAGCGATGATAATCCATTTCAGGTTTTTCAATATGAGGTCCAACCCAGCACTGGCACCCCTCTTGGCATAAAAGACCGAGTATCTGCCTATATCCTCCATTGCTTCCAGGGCGCGCGTCGTTCTACTCGGCGGCGCCTCATCGTCGGAGTCGCTGCGAAGTCGTTGTCGCCGTTCAGGGTTGATATCACAAGGCCTTACGGTCGGTTTTCGCCGCACGATCGCCATTTAGGATGGTCGCTTCTGATGAAGAACAGCCCGACGGCGGGTAGGTAGCGGGTTGCTTAAAGGGAATGTGGTCACTCAGGTTTGGAGGCGTGAATGGAAAACCCTGCGGGTCGTGTATTTTCATAAAACGGGCCCCTTTTCATAACAAACGAAAAAGACGAGCTTAGTGGATGCCTAGCGAGCTTATTTATTACTGCCAAGGGACATGGTTGCCGACAGTGCCGAATTAGGCATTGGCCGAGTTACAGCCAAATGTGAATGTCCCAATAGAATAGAAACAGCGTGCGCCCGCGCCAGCAAGAAACATAGCGTGAACAACCAATCGCGATGAAATTATTATCCCGGAAAATTAACAGGCATAACAAATATTCGGGGGCTGCAGTGCTGCCTATTCAAACTCACAAAATATTAAGGCGATTCCGTGAATGATGTCAACAGGTACAACGGAACTTTCGTTCAACAACCAGTCTAACCGTTACAAATCAAATATTGGGACTTCTTGGTGAAGTTTGACCGCTTTAAAAGCATCGCAGGCGAGTATCTCTACATCTCATATGGTTAGTATGTTGGAAAAGATGATAGGAAGAGAAGAGACTTGAATTTATTCCTATTGCCTAACCTATTGTCCTCCAGTAAATGCCTAAGTCATAGGATGGCTGGCAGCGTCCACTAATTATAATTGTAAAACTTCCATATTATAATACAAATCTAGATACTAGCTCTAGCCACCCTTCGCCGGACTGGAACTTTTCGTCTAAGGAAGAGGTGACACTATGCTCTATCCTTCGACAGTTTTTTCCACATCTGATTTTATATGACTATGACTCCCGCTGTCCAAAGATTGATTCTTCAATACTCCATGTCAGTGTGCTTTTTAATGGGTTGACCATAGCCTAAAGTGCGATTGTATGTGAACAATGGCCCAAGCATCAGAAGACAACTACACACAATAGCCATCCCAATTTGCGCAATGGGAAGAAGGAATCTTAGGAGCAATATGTGGTTCTATCTACTCGTCAGAACTGCTCATGGAAAAGGAAAAAGTGGCTTGCAAAACCTCATCATGTGCAATTAGTCGGATGAAATTCTTACGCGTATTTCAGAAAGTGGTTTTATTAACTGATGAGAGAGTTTGAGTATAAAGTAAAAAACAGCAATGGAAGCGGCCAGACCCGACATCTCAACACCCTGAATGCAAGGTGTTCGATCAACAGGTCTCGATTCTATTCCAGAACCCCATCTTAGCTTTTTGATAGAACAAAATAACTATAACGCATC